AGCACAGGAGCACACGCCACGTTTCGTGTGCTCACAAACCTGCCTCTGCCCACCCAGGGTACTGACCGTGTTCCCTGCACTGTCCTGTACCTCCCGCGGCTGCGTCACAACCACCAGTTTGTACTTCTTAGTCCCTTCATTGAAAATGTCTTAAGAATGATGCTTTTCTCAGTTACTTTTAACTTCTCGCTAAAATGATTCCTCACACACTTGAGGTTTTTGAGCACAGGGACAGAGCCGCAGGGTCCTTGTGTCTTCACCAGTCTAGCAGTGTGGTGTGTATTTTCCAGTAAATGAGTGAATGATGAGCAGAGGAAAAACGGAATCAGGCTCTGAAGGTCCCCTTCAGATTCCGTCATTAGACCCCATCTTTGGTTTCGGTGTTCTTTACTATCGGACTGCGCGAGTGGGGCTGAGAGGTATCGGTGTCGCGCTGAATTTGGACACAGCGTAGGGACTGCGGGTTTTCTATAGAGGAGTTGCCATACAGATGCAGTATAGGCACATTATTCTCCAGAGAGGGAGTTGGAATTTGAAGGTGAGAAAAAGATATTTCCGATTAAGAAAAGAAAGAAACGCAGCCATGTATGTTTGCAGTAAAAGCACCCAACTGTTCTAGCAACAGTTATGTAACTGTTCTTTGCTAATTTAAGGGAAAAGTGCATTTTTTAAGTCTACTATGAAGGCCTATTTTAGTGTCTGAAGTTTTGGATTTTGAATGTACGGATGACCAAAAATTGAACTAGATTTAACAGTTTACTGGGCTACTACTGATCAATGGATGTATTTCTTTAACAACACACTCACTGCATAATCACCAAAGCTAAATTTTTAAAGATTAGTTGGTGAAAATATGGGACTACAATAATTTTTTAGATGATCCATGTTTTTAATCAAGGTTGAATTTTAATCAATCTGGATTAAATCAGCTCTGATATTTTTATCTAGCGCCTTTAGCGATCATATGGATGTATAAATACACTTCATTTGGATAAGATTATTTGTAGTCAGGTTTTGAGAGTATGCCAAAGGATTTTATTATTGTTTTCCCTCTAACAGATACATAAAACATACTGTCATTAATTTTCTAGATATGATTCCAATTTATTCATTGATAATAAATATTAACGTTGTCCTGAGAACTGACACCAAAAAATTAACATATCTTCTTAGATATGTTTAACATTAGATATGTATGACATTTCATCCTATAAAATAAAACAATTATCAATTCAGGGTCTGATGATTAAATATTTGTGTGAACTTAGCCTGGCTGTGGCAGCCAATTGTTTCATTAAATACCATTGTAGTGGTAACAAGAAGTGATTTTTTAGATGTGTTTAACATTTAAAGCAGTAGATACTGAGTTAAGCAGGTTACCTTCCAGAATGTGGGTGGGCCTCACCTAATCAGTCAAAGCCCTTATGAGAAAAGACTGAGGTTCCCGGAGGAAGAGGAATTCTGCCTCTAGACCGCCTTCAGACCCAGGACCTGGGTCTGCCCAGCTCTGCCATTGTAGTACAGAAATAGCCATGTAAGCAGATGGGTGTGTTTGTGTGCCGGTACAAGCTTATTTACAGAAACAGTGGCTGGCTGTATTTGGACCAAGGTGTGTGGCGTGCTGACCCCTGGATTCAATGATTGCTTGCTAATGCATGCAAAAAAGGTAAAGGGGGATGCACATTTTAAAGGATGTTTTTTTTCCAGCCCAGTTGGATCACGAAACAGTTTGTCATCCTTTTGTAGTTCATTTAGTGGTTATTAGTCATTAATAATAATTAGCAGTTATTAATATCCTCACTCTTCAACTTTGGTTTTACCTGTTTTATTTTCACACAGGATTTCTTAAAGATCAACACAACAATAGCAACTCGTGATCATTCTGTACCAGTTTAGCCTTTTTTCTCTCATGCCCTGCTGCTTCTTAGAGAAATGATTCATGAGGGAGGAGGAGGCTAGGCCCAAAGTGGAGCCAGAAAACAGCTGGCACCCAAACGAACAGACTTTCTGTATCTGCAATGGCTCCAGATTCCAAATGTAACCCTTAAAGGCTTCATTTGCTCTTGGCCCACGGAAGCACCCTCCTTGGTAACTCTGGTGATAGATCACTGTTCCCGGTCCCTCCCTTTCTCTTACACTGTCGGTGCCAGAAAGTGCTGCAGGTCCTTAGGATCTGAACCAGCCAGAGGCCTGGTTTCCTCGCGGCACTGGAACTAGTCAGGGAACCGTTTTAAGTGCTGGAAGTGGATTGGGTTAGAAATCTTTAAATCTTAAAATGTTATCATTACAGGCCACGAGCCAGAGAGAAATGAGGCTAATCCAAAATAATATCAGACAAAAAATTTTTGAAATGCAAATTAAAGTAGTGACCAACAGTGTTGCTATTGTACGTATTCAGATGTTCACCAGATGTACATATAACTAGTAACTATTTCAGGTAATAATGCCTGCCGTACTCTTATCCCCAAGAGTAAATTGCAACCTTTTCTTAAAGAGCTACTTAACAACAAAAATATTTGCATTTGAAAGTAACATCATGTTGGATGTGTTTTCACAATAAGAAAGGGAATGTTGAGACCGACACTTCTGCTAACTGAAAATCACAAGGTGAACCACCGAATACTCAGGTGTACATGTTTGAGAGCATTAATGTTCTCAGTGTCACAGAAGTGGAGACTGTCTGTTAGTGAACGAGGTCAGTTAGAAAATTTTGACACTCTTGTTTAATCAGTGATAAGCCATCAGATCTTACTAGTATGTATTAAATCGTTTGAAAGTAGTTATATAAAACCTTACTTGCAACATAGGTAGCAGCCATGGGATTACTGTCCAGAATATATTAAAGGCTCTCAGTAAGTGAGAGACACAAACTAATGGGAAAGTGGTGATACACTCAGAAAAGAGGAAAAACCAATCTATATTTTAAAAATAATTCTAACCTTTGTCAATAATCAGGGAAAGCAATACTAAAACAGTGATTTTTGTTTTTACCTAAGATATTGACAAAAGTTCAAGATTTATTTTACGTTTATAGGACATTGGACAGGCTCAGAATCTTTCTGGGAGTGTAATTGATACAGCCTCTTCGAACTTCACATTTTACTCTATAAATGTTACTGGAGTTATTTTCCATAAACATGCATGCCACTTGTTTAACTGAACAAAACAGGATCTGTGGGTTCTGAAGTACATTTAGAGAAAAACAAGCTATGGAGAGAAGAAATAGCCTTGAAAGTGATGTCTGAGTGCACATCAGCCAGCACGGTAGTGGTCCAGGTCAGAAACATCGGTGCCAACTGCACTTTTTCTGGCGTGTTACTGTCTTCAGTTCTGACAGTTGGAGTCGTGGGTTAGCAAATACATTTCTTTAAGACACCAGCACCTCCAGAATGGAATGGTCATTAAGGGTCATTCATACGTAAATGTGCATGTGCTGTCAAATTGTTCTTCCAGTTCCTGAGATCAGCTCCACTGAGGGAGTGGACATTTTGATCCAAGGAAGAGCTGTGGTCAGTTGGAAGTTATTTGGAAGCCTGGGAAGTCATTGCCTAGAGAGAAATGCATGCAGGGTGGGGTGGGGTCAGATGTGACAGACACGCTTGTCTAGGGCCCTCCTGATGCCCCCAGTTCTACCACCGCCACCAGGATCCCTGAGAAAGGGAACTCTTACCTCCACCCTCTGATTGGTAAGCAAACGAGCAGAACAGGCCGTTTGGACGTCGGAGGTTGTCTGTGTCTGCCAGTCCCATTCCGGGGATCAGAAATGGTAAAGGAATCTGAGAGCTTAGGAAGGAGCTACGTCAAGGTTGTTGAGAAATCTGGAGGTCACGTCGTATTTGGGCTAAAAGAGAACATTTTTAAGGGTTCACAACTTTAAGTATGTGAAAGTCGTTTAGATTTTCTGTTTATTGCTACAGGTCGGAAGCATAGAAACCATAGGTAGGAGCCACCCAGAGGCTAATTTCAGCCCACAACAATCTTATGACCATCCTTAGAGCCATCTAATACTGGAACGGGCCGCTCTCCAAAACCGTGGGCTCCTGCTGGCTCTAGAAACGCCTACACTGGTACTCAGTAGCTCTCTTGGAACGGAGGTTGGTTGGATCAGGTGATCTTAAAAATCTTTCACAACAATGTACTCTGCTTCCACTGTTTCTCAAGGCAGTGAAATTGTATATCCCAGGACTAAGGCCTGATACACTGTCCCCCTTACAGAAGCTCAATAGGAACAGGAATACGTAAATAAGCCAAGTCAAATCTCCATTTTTTACAACTGGGATAGACCAGAACTTCTGAAAGGCCCTAGCACAAATGGAGGAAGTCCACATGAGAAACACAGAGAGTAGACAGTACAGATGCTAAGAAAACCACCTGCATTAGTAAATTCAGCTTGTCGTTGTAGCGTGTTTAGCTCCATGGGCCCTGTGCTGACCTACCTGCCACCTTGGGACATTTACTACAGCCCCTGGGGGGTGGCAGTTTCTCTGGCAAGTCACCCAGGCCCCTCATTACTTGTAGGGAGCAGTTAGTCATCAGGCACAAGAATGTGTGCTTGTAGAAATTGGAAAAGGAGCGTGCGGCGTGGGCACAACATTCTTTTTTTTATTTTGGAGCGCTAACTAGGTGATTGCCTTCTTGTAAACAGCCATAAACGTCTCTGGAAATGGAATGACTGGGAGAACAGTGCTTTTATCCTAACTCTGTGGTTGGAGGGAGAGCGTGAAGCCCATCATTACTGTAGCAGTGAGACCCAAGGGGCAAGCTTGACAGGTTTTGCTGACATGCCCGTGGAGGCCCGGCCGAACGCGTCTCCCTTCCCCGCCCTCTCCCACGGTGCTCACCTCTCCTCTAAATGAAGGTGGACAAATATTTAAAGGATGTTGGTTTGAAGGGAGGGTCCACTTATTAACCTGTACCACCCTGTGTTTGTTAGGCTCTGTGGTTGCCCTGTGCCTCCTGTAACCTATTTCCTGTCTCTTTTTTTCTGTTCATTTCTGTAGTGTCCATGGAAAACATTGGAGAACAAGGTAAAATATATTCTATTATTGTTTTAGATATAAAATCTTAAAAGTAGTTAAAAAACAAATAGAATTCACTTGGATCTGGTTGGAATAAATAAACTATTCATTAAGAGTGCAGGGACAAGCTGGGGTTAAAGAAATTCTATGCTCTTAGTTCCCGGACTGAATTCTGTCAGGCCGCTGGCAAAGACTCTACCCTGAAATGGCCATAATTGTGCCAAAGATGCTCGTGGCTTCAAGATACGGGAATATCAGTCATTTCCTGTTTCAACTCAGAGCATTACCCATGCCTGTGTCTCCCGCAAAATGCACGGGAAAGCTCATTGGCTGTACATATCTCACACCGGTTTAAGTGCCTTAGTGGATAATTTAATTTTTTAATGATTCTACAAATACGAGTATCATTTTTAAAAAAGTTACAATTGCTACTAATGCTTAAAATATCAAATATGCTGTATTTTAAATTAGTGTATTTTATTCAACTGTATCTTACAGAATTATTATATATTAATGTATATCCCAGAATTAATCATTTTCACCATATACAGGATTAATATTTTATATTCTCATAGTACTTCAAGAATACAACACCAAAGTGTGTGTGTATATATATATATATAAATATATATATATATATATATATATATATATATATATATATATATAACCTGAAAAAAAGGATCAGAACACTTTTCTTAACAGTTGCACCATGTGGTAAATGAGACACTCAAAGTTCCACTTCGAGTGGAACTCGAAGAAATCTCTCTTTGTCCAGATGGTTCTCTGTTTAAACTTGTTGTCACTAAAACAGTGATGGCCACCAGCTTTGCCTAGAGCTGAGCAAGTAAGCAAATAGCTTCTCAAGTAGGAACCGCTTTTGCTGTTCTTGGCCCATGAAGTGAAGTTCTTCAAGCCTGAGCATTTTGACGTTTGGTTAATGCTGCGCCTGTGAGTTAGAGGTGCAGGCACCCTGCCCACTTTCACAGTTTAGGGAAGGCCCCTGTGAGCCATTTTGCGATGGATGGGCCTGCCTGAGGGTGGGCGGGCTCTGGTCAGGGCCGTGGATCTAATTATGCCTACTAGGGATTTCTCCAGTATCTTGCTTTAGGTATGAAAATTCACTCATTGGGTTGTGCCTATTCTAGTATGATACAAATGAACTCATTGACAATAATAAAAATTACTACTAAAATTTCAAAATAGGATGCATTTGTTATGGTTGGTAGCTTTGGCATTTTAGAGCGAGCAGATCATTTGTGAATGTTCGCATGTGACAGTGACAGTCACGTTTTTCTCACTCTAGTTGTGTGCCTGATCGCTTATCATCTGCTTTTTGCGATGTTCGTCTGGTCATATTGGAAAACCATCTTTACGTTGCCAATGAATCCTTCAAAAGAAGTAAGTTAAAATCTTAGTAAAGCCATCCTAAAGTTAGAAATCAACTATACTAACATGACTTGGAGAATGAATTTTATGTATTTTTATTAATGTTGTAAACTTAGTGTAATAATTTTTAATATTGATGTCTTAGTAAATAGTTGGATTTTCACTTGGTAAATATGTTTTTTTGCACTGAATGACCATTGTATTTCCAATTTTAAATCCGCTATGCGTTGTATTTTCTACTTTAGACATCGGGATGGGTGGATGGGTGGATGAACAGATAGAGCTGAAGGTGGACATGCTTCTATTATAATTATCATCCTGATGGTGTGTTAATTGGCTATTAGGCACCAAACAACAACAAAGTAATTATTATATAATCTCTTATTCAAAGTCTGTAGCCAGGCCACAGCTGGCGGGTATCCAGGCTTCTATTTTGTTGCTCTGACACATACAGCTTCCATTCCCAAGGTGACCTCTTGGCCTAAGACGGCTGCTCTGGTTCCAGCCATCATGTCTGCATTCCAGCCAACAGGCCAGAAAAATTAGGAAAGAGGAGTAAAAGTGAATATCCTTGATAAGGACACTTTGTAGAAGTTGCTGATGCTATTTCCACTTACATTTAGAGCTTAGTTATATGGCCATGATATATTTGTGCAGAATGCTGGGAATGTTGTCTTTTTTCTTAATGTCCATATGGGCCATGTTACAAGTAGGAAAGAATGGATGTTGAGGGTCAGTAGCTGTCTCAGCCACAGAAGCTTTTAAGTAAACTGATAGGATCGGATACGCATTTCAAAAAGATCATTCTGGCTATTTGTTTCTGGGTCTTTAATCTTGGTTAAATCTTGCAGCAGAGGACTGAGTCTTACTAATTTTTATATCCTTGTCCCTTAGGTCAGGACATGTTTGTTGAATAGAAATAAACCCTGTCCCAGGAACAATAGTGTGGTTTTAGTAGGTGAGCCTTTAAAAAAAAAAGGCTGGGCATCACTGTAAATTGCTTCCTGAAGTGACCTGTCTGAATGCAGCTGTGGTCCCAAAGGCCAGTCATTGTGCTGTGGGGCCTGGGACAGGATATGGAAAACCAAGCCACAGTCCTTGCATTGAGCAGTATGTTAGGCCTCAAATGTGTTAACTGTAGCTTTTCCCCTACCTTCTGCTTGTTTTTCTTTTCATACCTCTTTTTCTCCCCCCATCCTATCTGCCTCTTTTCTGGCATCTCTCGTCCCCGTCCTGGCCTGAGTTGCAGGTTTGAAGGAAAATGCTGACCTCTGTCGTAGGTGATCTCATCCACTGTGCTGATGATTATGACCTTGCCAATGGCCTCTGTGTTCAAAATTTCCAAATGTATGTCTACTTCTGACCTCTCCCTTCACGTTCAACCTTGTATCTCCCTGCCAAACAGAGCTTCTTGATCATCCCACTGACACCTCGATTATAACACATCAAAAACTGAATTCACCACCCTCTCCTTCCCCACACTGTGGCTCACCCGGGTCTCAGACCGGTGAGTGCCACTGACATTCACCTTGCCATTTGGGGCAGGAGCTTGGCAGCCATGCCTGGGTCTTCCAGCTTCCTCACCCCTCTGCCAGCGTCCAAATTCTGCTGATGTTTTCACTCCATAATGTTTCCCTTTTTGTTTCAACTCCTTCCTTCCCAGTCATTCACTTAATTCATTTTTAATTATTTTTTACTTTTGAAAAAAAATTTTAATTTATTGAATTTAGAGAGAGAGAGAAATAGCCACTTGTTCCACCCATCCCATGCATTCATTGGTTGACTCTTGTAGGTGCCCTGACCAGGGATCGAACCCACAGCCTTGGTGAAGCAGGACAATGCTCTAACCAGCCGAGTTAGCCAGTTCAGGGTCTCAGTTATCTCGTGTGTCTGAGACAGTGCAGTCTCCTCCTGTCTGGTGTCACCATTTTCAGTCTTGTCTGTGTTCCCGTCTCAGAACCCTGTAAGAATTCATCCTCTGGCTCAGAGTGAAGTGACCCATCTGGAAACAAATGTGATGCCGCCACTGTGCTGCTTGTCTCTGCTCAGCCACCCCACAGGGTGAAGGCCAGGCTCCTTATTCTGACAACAGCGACTCTTGTCTGAGTCTCTGAATTCCCATTTTACACTGGACTCCTTCTTCATTGTATGTCATTTTCTGTCTACATTGTGCATTCTTTTCTTTCTAGAGTATTCTTATTTTCTTTCTCATTCAAATAATTCCATTTTCATAATGTGGTGGTTCCTCATTATCTCCTAAGCCTCTAAAGCATTGGATTATCCCAGAGCTCAGTCCCTGGACCTCTCTTTCATTTATCTACATACATCATGACTATACATGTCGTCTCATTCATTGCTGTAGCTTTTTTCCAGTTAACATCAGTAGTCGGGTCCTGCATTCTAAACTCCAGACTAGTTTACTGCTACCTATTTGGCATCTAATAGGAATTTCAAATTCAACATACCTGAAAACAACCTTCTGATTTCCGACCTACTCCCTTAATCCACCCCAACCCCCTTTCTAAAATCGTCCTGTCTCAGCAGTGGCGGCTCCATCCGTCCAGTTGTTTGGAAAACACTGGGGTCATCCTCGGCGGCTGCCCTTCTCTCAGACCCACAGCCAGTCCATCCACACCCGTGAGGGCCCTCAGCCTGAGCTCATGCCCCTAAACCTCCAGCTGGTTCCTCTGGCCACGCCCCCATCCTCTCTCCCTTGCACAGTGCAGTCCCGTCAACAGGTCTCCTTGCTTTCAGACTTCTGCACATTTTCAGCACGGTAGCCAGAGTCTTTCTTTAAAAAACGAGACAGGTCATATTATATTCCTCTTCTTCTCAGGACTTTCCTGTGGTTTGTGAGCCCGCCCGGAGTAGAAGCCTGGCTGCCCACTGTAGCCTAGCAGGGCGCACACGGCCGGCCCAGAGCCCATCCCCCCTCCTTTCTCGTTCCTGCTGCTTCAGTCCCATTGGCCTCCTTGCCATTCCATCAGCATTGCTACACGTGTTTCTTGAAAACTGCTGTTTCTCCCTGACCGGGAGCACTCTTCACCTGTCTGACCATGTACCCCGCTTTCTTCCTGTCACTATGTCTAGATTCAAGGGGTGCTTTGTCTTTGAGGTTTTCCATAACCATGGACGCTCCATGTAAAACAGCAAAACCCTGCTTCCCCTGGCATTCCCTATAAACCAGACCTTACTCCATTTTTCTCCATAGCATATCACTCTGTAACACGTTTCATATTCCATTTTTTAACATCCCTAGAATATAAGCCCTAAAATGGCATGAGCTTTATCTTTTTTGTTCACTAATCCATTGCCGGTATTAAAGTCCTGTCTCACCCGTGAAAGGTAATCAATAAATATTTGTTAAGTGATTGAAAGTAGAGAAGAAGTTAGGTGTATAGATGCAAGTTGGTGTTTAAAGTTTTGGCAGGAAGTTGATATGACTTCTGATTTCTCCCTCAAATTATGTGTGAGGTGATTGGCTAAGAATGATGAGGGAGTTGGGCTGAGTGAGGTTTGGAGGAACAGAGAAGGGTTGAAATAGTGGTTGGATACAGTGGGGAAAAATGAAATGATTCAAAACACAGGAGCAACGCCACAGTGCCGATGGAGCAGTTGTGCCCGGCTTCGCTGGGTGGTTTTTCCACAAAACACACATTCACTGTGTTTGATTCATAGAACTGTGTGAGATGGATGTTATTTATCACCATTTTTGCAGATGTAGCAATAGGTTCTGAACCTTAGCTGATTGTCCTAAGGCAAGGCATCGAGTGCTAGCGTGTGGCATAGCCATTGCTGACATTGCACCAAAGCTCTGTTGGCCATCAAGGCTCCGTCCTTGTCATCATGCCATGGACAGTGGACACATCCAGTAGTGGGTGTGCTCAGGACCTCCATCGGAGCGTGGAGGAAAATAGCATGACTTCTATATAATATGTTATCCTTGTAGTGTTTCTTTTTAAAATTTCCCATCTAAGGCACATAACATATTCACTAATAGTGGGCATGTGTGTGTGTGTGTGTGTGTGTGTGTGTGTACATATACATACACATGTACATACTGTATGGCAGTTGCGGTCTCAAATTATTTTTAACTGATAATATACATGATCAAAAGATTTTTGCAGACCTTTGTTGTGAAAGAAAGAGCCCTTGCTTGCTGGTGAAGAATGTTAAGTTATCCAATTAATAAAATACAAGATCTTGGGCTAATTTTCTTAATTGATTAGCAGCCAGAAACTCCTCACTTGTCAAATGAGGGTCCTGGACTTAAGTTGACAAGAAGGTGCTCTTATGTGCCAAAAATCTTTGAAAAATGGGACTCAAAGAGTAGGAGAAAGGTAGTAAAAGAATGTAATATTTATATATTTCACACTATTGAGAGAATGTGAGATTTGGAACACATGAATTAAAATATACTTTTTTCATAGCCAGTTGTTAAATTGCTTTTTTTCAATTTGTAAGATTTTTCCCCCAATATAAAAGTAATATAACCATCCTAAATTATACTTAGAAAATGAAGACTAGGCAAAAAGAAAAAGAAAAACATCCCAAAACACTAATTTGTTTTACATTTTGGATTTTTTTCCAGTTACTTTTTTCACATAATAGTTCATCATTGGCTTATTTTCATTTTTAATAATAGCATAATATTCTCACTGAAATGTAAACATTTCCTCAGTTACATCCCATCTTGAATTTTCCAACTGACCCCAACTTTTCACATTGCAAATAATATTGTTAACGTGGTTGTACACAGAGCATTATCCATTTAGGGATTGTTTTCTTAATATGAGTTCCATAGGTAAAATCACTAGACCAAGACAATTTAACTCACTTGCCAAATTGTTTCCTCAAAGGATTTACATATAATACTTTTAGATTTATCGGACCCTCGGCATTTGTATGTTATTAAAAAAACTCTTGCCAACTGCATAGGCAAAGAAAAAGTTCTGTTTTAATTTGCTTGTTTTTGGTACTTATGAGCTAATAGGTTTGTTGTTTTTCTAAGTGAAAAAGAACTAGGAAAAAGAAGTACAGTTCTGTGAGTTTTCTGTCTGTTATTAGATTCTAGTTTTTTCTTAATTGGTATGTCCTTTTAAAATTGTACTTTTTTTAATCTGAAAACTGTATTTGAGCACAGATCTTGGTTCCTAAAACTGTTTTCCAGTAAAAGGGACAAGGGTTCCTTGGAGAAATAGCTGATTCTAGAACCAGAACAGAAGACATTCTGGGTGAGCTCAGAAAGTGAGCAAGTGCAAATAGACTTTTAAAACTGTTTTTTTTTGCAATTGTCATATTGGAGTCCAAACAAACTTACATTTTTCTCAAATAAGTATTTTTTAATTGCTTGGAAGTATAAGGAGTACAAGCAGTGATTAGTCCGTTTTGGGTGCTGGGAGAGAATTCAGGGATTAATTGCCCCCATGTTAAGACTCAAGCGAGAAAACATACATGATAGATTTGTTTCTGTTTTGTTCCTAATGAGCTCCAATTGAAAAGTTCATCCGTTGAGCCAAATTTGTTTAGTTTGCCATTTTATCTATTTATATACTAATATTTGGATAGAAATCTGTACTTTAGAAAGCACTTTTACATACTGTGTTCCTCTTGAGTCTCATAAACATTTGAGGAAGTATTATTATTATTATTATTATTCTATTTTTTAGATCCATAAACTAATAAACTGTGAGGCTTACAGACTTGCCCAGATGTCAATCTCTATTAGCTCTCTGAATTTATATACTATATACCACTAATATTTTCTAAATGCCCTTTTCTGGGCTCGTGGATCAGTATGTTATCATGTCTTTGGAAACGCTGATTAACATTTCAATCCGTTCCACAGTTCCATCTCTCTTACGCAGAGAAAGAGTTGCTGGAGAGGGAGCCCAGGGGAGAAGCCCACCAGGAGGTTCTTCGGCGGGCGGCCAGAGACCTTCCCATCTGCACCAGGACCATGTCTGGAGGTAGGTGTCGGGAGTCGGCGCTTTCACACTAGCTCGGGGTGACTGTGAGGGAGCGCATTTCTGCACTTGAAGCTGTCGAGCACGTGCTGAGTAACACTGTGCTGTATGTATCTCTGATGCTATGCGATCTTTACGGCACAGTTGCATGAAACACAGTGGAAACATGAGTGGCATGAGGCTCAGGGATCTGAACCAAATCACAACCTGCTCCAGTTCTCTTCTGCCTACTTGGTGGGACTCCGTGAATACCTGTGATCTTGATTTCTAGTAGTATTCACTTTTAACGTTTAATTATAGACCTTCCTAGTCTTATTTAAAGGAGCAATAGCTACAATAAACATAACATTGATCACTCAAATGTCTTTACAGCAATTAAACAAATTATATAAAATGTAATTAAGGTACTGGTATGATTTTTCATCTTTAAAATTTATGTTAATTTTTTAATAAATGCAACTCAAATAGCAAATCTCTTCTACTTGGGTCAGATTTTGAAGATAATTTTGAAGTGATATAATTAAAAATTGTCTTGAAAATTAACACACATGCACTGTTGACCCTTGCCTACCAAGACATGCCCCGTGTGTGACCTGAGACCTGGGCTGCTCCTTTTGGTGGCCACCAACCCCCTGTGGTTGTTGAGCACTTGAACTGTGGCCAGTCTGCACTGAGCTGCGCTTTAAGTATAAAATGCACAACTGATTTCAAAGACTTAATTTGAAGAAAAGGATGTAAAATATCTCACTACTATTTTCTGTTTACATTTGTTTCTAACTCCCCTTAAAATTATTATTGAATCTAAGTCAGATAGAACTTTTTCCTCTTTGTTTTTACTGTTTCTCAATGAACAAGTGGCAATTGTCTGATTTATGTCACTGGTTCTATCCCACGAAGACAGGCCAGTCCTTGGTGGCTACTAAGCACTTAAAATGTAACTCTAAATGTCAAGTGCATAAGAGTCTTCAAAGAGATGGTATAAAAAACCCATAAAGGATGTTATTGATATTTTTATATTGATTATATATTTTAAAATTTTTTTGAATTTATTTTTAGAGAGAGGGGAAGGAAGGGAGAAAGAGAGGGAGAGAAACATCAATGGGTGGTTGCCTCTCACACGCCCCCTACTGGGGACCTGGCCAACACCCCAGGCATGTGCCTTGACTGGGAATCAACCGGTGACCCTTTGGGTCATAGGCTGATGCTCAACCCACAACCCACTGAGCCACACCAGCCAGGGATGTATTGATGATATCTTCTAATATTTTAGATATTTAGTTATTTGAAGGTAGCCCCCAGAGGATTTAACAGTCCCCATGTGGGTCACATATGTCTCTGGACAACACCACCTTCCACTTCAGTACTTGGCAGGAGCCAGTGGGACCTTGTAGCATCGCTGGAACGTACCTGCGGGCCTTTTTCATGCAGGAGCTGAGCAGCAAGGCCATGCTGTTCGCCTCTGCAATTCCTGAGAATGGGAGTTGTGAGGGGGGATCAGGAACTCACTTCAGTATTGAAGATGGCTCCATGTAGGCCTGTTGTCTGAGAAGAGCTGGTTTTATTTTTAGTATAAAGCCACTGTTTCCTTTTTCAGAGATAATGTTAGTTAACATAACCCTGGTAATTATTTACTGCAAGTTTTTTCCAAATTTTAAGTTAGTTTGGTTTTACGGGTCCCACGGGAGTGCCACTTGATAACTGCATTCCTGTGATTTTGGTAGCCTGCTTGCCTGCTGTCCAGATGCCTGGGACTGAAAGAGCCTCTCCAAATCAGTGATTCGTAATTGTCTTGGTATCTGTATTAGAGAACAAAGGAGCAGCTCTTCAGGTACAAGGGCTGAAATTCTTACTGGATTAGTACTGAAGTCAGTACTTCTCATACTTCTGGGCTCGCACCCCACCCAGCAGAGATGTGAGATCTTTCCCTGTTTAAGCAACTAAGAGAGTTTACTCACAAATTTCTAAAATGTGTTTCGCATAAAATTTCTAAAATATGATTGTATCCTCTCCCAGTTATCCTGGCAGGGTACAGGAAACACTTCATTGAGCTGAGAGAGACGTTCTGTTTAAAACACTCAGATAGAAACGGACATATTGACATCCTTTGGGAGCCTCTCCATAACCCCTGACAATTGCAGACCCCTAGAAAAATTTCCCCCAAAGATTCTGTGTCCGTGGGCAACCTCTCCAGAGAACTGAGACTGTTGGCAAGTCACTCCATTTAAGTGTTTCAACATCTCATTTTTACCACGTTTAAATGGGGCATGCTTTCCAGAATTTAAACTTGAATAGACGGGAAGAGCCGTTTAGTGGCATGTTCCACTCACTGTTCAGTCGAAGGCTAAGTGGATCTTCTTGTCCCCAGCAATCCGCTACTGTGACAGATGCCAGCTCATCAAACCCGACCGCTGCCACCACTGCTCCGTCTGCGATAAGTACGAAAAGCCGTTATTTCTGACCTGTTTGCGTGCCGGTGATCTTTTTATTGAGTGCACTTCTCAGTTTTCCACATTATTTCCTCTTCTCCCTTATTTAGGAAATAGAACTGGCACAATCACTCGCATTAATAACAAGTGCAGTTTAGGGCCAGCATCCGTCGTCCTGTTCCCCCAGACTCACATTGACATGAATGAAGTACAGGAGTTTTGGCAGCTCAGACTTGGCTAGTTTGATTTAGTAAATAGTTGTTCTGTGACTCTTTCCCGTCTTTATAAAGATAACTCACTCAGCGTCACGATAGTCTGATGTGATTACGTACCATACCCACAAGCGTGGTGCTACTTGGCTTAGGGATTGCTCTTAAAGGAGAAGTTTTATCCAGACTTTCTGTAAATCTGCTGACACTTTGCACTTCATTAGCATAAGACAGTTGTATGTTAACACACTGCATTGTTTTTAGATGTTAAAACATGTACGTTTGAATCGAAAGTTCTCTGATTGTATCACAACCGGAACTGGCTATGTATTTTAGATGAGGACTTTTGCTGTTATTCAACTTTCAGATAAATAATTTTGTAATATTTTGCTTGGTCCTTTGAAATAACGTTGAAGTCTGTTTTTATATTTTAATGGGGCTACATTTTTACGGGGTGTTGAGCTTTGTGTCTGTCTGGGTTTTTTTAGGTGTATTTTGAAGATGGACCATCATTGCCCGTGGTGAGTCTGGCTGTATGCTTTCACACATCACTAAACAGAATCGTTTCTCTATTTGAACCTTTTTATGATTGAAATCTTGCCTTAGCTGATCTTGGAGGTACTTTTATATTTAATTTCTGGCATTTATTTGATTAGTTCAGGAGAGTCATTATTTAGGAGAATTTCCATGAAATAATTTTACAACCAGTAACTTAACAATTAAAAGTTAATTTCTCATATTTGCTCAGAACAAACGGTTTTCTTTACATGCACATGTATTGACATAGAAATTCTAAACTGCTCCCCAGAAATTATGCCTGAATGTACATGTAAACACAACACCTCACTGGAAGTTTCTAATTATGCATCTAAAACTTTAACAATTTATTTTATATAAAACTTGGCATTAATAGGTAGAGTAGCAAATATACACATATGCTGAAATAAGGCTTTCCGCTTAGAATGTGTTAGTAATTTTTTTTAATTTCTTCTTTTCCATTCTATTATTTTTTCTTTTTTTAATTGTTGTTCAAGTACAGTTGTCTCCATTCCCCCCACCACTCACCCCCACCCCACCCCACCGTCCCCACCTCCCACCCTAGATCCTACCCCCTTTGTCTTTGTCCACGTGTCCTTTGTACATGTTCCTTGACAACCCTTCCCCTTTTGTTCCTCATTATCCTCCTCTTCCCTCCACTCTGGTGACTGTCAGTTTGTTCTTTATTTCAGTAAAGCCTCTGGGGTATTTTGCTTGCTTGTTTGTTTTGTTGATTCGGTTCCACTTATAAAAAAGGATTTCCAAGTCATGAAATCAGGTGACTTAATGGAGGATTATTGGAAAGATCTGATTACCTAATGAAGGTGGATTTTTCTGCTTTTCCCTGTGATTCTTCTTCCCAGTGTGCACGTGCCTTGGACAGTCACACTGAGGCTGTCAGCCGGCTTGCAGTGGGACATCAAGCATGACTGTGCCACAGCCTCGTCTTCCTGCAGGGTTGGCACTTGAGGAAGTGACGCCAGTTGTGGGTTGAAACATACAGGGTCTGGCACAAATAACACCCCTACTTTTTACCACAGAATCTTTTGTTACAAAATCATAAGCATGTAATTCAGTAAGATAACAGTATCACACTTAAGCACACCATATGACATTTTACGTGAACAGTTCAAATTAAAATTATAAATGATCACACTCATGTTCTTTCCCTGCCCACCGCATGAAGCAGGTGCTACTTCTGCCGGACGCTGTACACATACATGGAATGATTATGTTAGTTGCAGGGAACCATGGGGGATGTCAAGTTTACTGTCTTAACTGTACCCCCTCCAGGACACCTTTTCCTTTTGTTCGTGTGCATCTTCTCCTTTAACACGTCAAGGCCCCTTAACCATCATGACAATGACCTTCTCAAAAAGGATCTCAGTAACTCGCCTCCATTTTGCATTCATTGTCATGGTATCCATTCTTTTGCTTTCCTCCTTCTTTCATCCATAGTATTGATTCTGTTCAAATTCTCATCAAGTAATTTCCCCTATATCTTTAAATATAAGTAGCCCGAATCCTCTTTATGTTCCTCTGTTGACCCTTCCATAGCATGTGCTGTCAGCGTCACCTTCCCCTCCCCCCCCGTGTTCCCATGACCTGCCCGTCAGTCCACTGCACCTGCAGGGGCGGTTTCCATGCCTGCTGACAGCTCCCCACCGGAGACACCTCTGGTTCTTTGCTGCTCTGCCCGAGGCCCCTCTTCTGCCTGGTGGGGCTTGCTCTACCCCTAGGTGCCAGGGAGGGCGTTCATGCTTCGAGAGGCTGCTCTCAACCAGTGAGGGCCTGGTTCGGGACACATGCTGCTCTCAATTCTCTCCCTTATTTCAAATAAACTGCATTCGGTTCTTGTCTCAGGGTCTGTTTTAGGAGGAACACCCCCTTTTTTCTGGATGGGGTATGTTCTAGGTAGAATTTAGCTGAGTGGTCAGGAAATCAGGGGCGCAGAGTTGACTCTGATTTGTGTAACTTAAAGTAATGAGGGACTGGGACGAGGTGGAAACAGGAGGGGCAATCCCAACGCAGTCCATACCCATGCAGCTTGCCATGTCCTGATACATTCACAAAAGTTACAGAGAAAATGCTTACTGCCTAGCCTCTTTTCTAAACCTGCAATTAATTTGACTTTGTAAGAAACTGAGAGCAAAATTCGACAATCTTTCTAATTTTGGCAGACCCCAAACAGGTGGATATAAGACTCCACAGTTTTTAAAGTGGGTTGAGATCACATACCTGTATACCAGGGTCAGACTGCTTCCCAGTCATGTATTGAACATACTGTTTTCAAGCCCAGGTTGGTTGAATACATGAATGCCAAGCCTGGGGGTACAGAGGCTGACTGTGTATTCATTGAACCAAAATCTGTGCATAAACAGACCCATGTGGTCCAAACCTCTGTAGTTCAGTGGTCGACTGTAGAGGTATATGGTTTATGATTAATTAAAGCAGTGTTGCATATCAAATTCTATTTTTATTTTTTACATATCAAATTAAAAAAATCTAAACACAGAACTTTTTTGCAGTGAAGCAGATTTTAAAAAATGCTTATATGTGTGAAGAAATCTTATGAGTTAGACTCAAGAAACACCAATCTACATGGTGTGTTAAGGTAGAATGTATATTGTACCTATGCTGAAAATTTGAAACTCATTGCAGATGTTTTTGTTTTGTCAACAGGGTGAACAATTGTGTCGGATTTTCAAACTATAAATTTTTCCTTCTTTTCTTGGCTTATTCCCTGCTGTATTGCCTTTTTATTGCTGCTACAGATTTACAGTATTTTATCAAATTTTGGACAGTAAGTCATTATCTTATTGACTTTTTAGGTATATAACAATGTACAATAAACTTTAGCATTAGTGAATTATTTCAGACACTGATTTTGTAGAATTGAGCTCATTTATAGTCAGTCCTCATTGTTTGCAGATTCTGTATTTGTGAATTTACCGTCTTGCTGACGTTTCTCTGTGACCCCAAATCAGCACTCACAGAGCTCCTGTGGTCATTTGCAGACACACATAGAGCGGCTGAAAAATTTGCATGGCCCATTGTCAGTTGAGATCAAACCAGGAGACTGTCTTCTTGGTTCAACTCTCGTGTTGTTACGTGAGGGTGCTTTTCAGTCTATTTATTGCCTTTTTTTTTGCATTTTTGTGCTTTTTGTTGGTCATTTCTCTGTTTGAAATGGTCTTCACGCAGTGCTGAAAGCACCATCTAGTGTTTCTAAGCACCAGCCTGTTGTGCTTTATGGAGAAAACAGGCGTGTTGGCTGAGCTTCCTTCAGGCATGAGTTACAGTGATGCTGGGTGTGAGCTCCGTGTTGATGAGTCAACAGTAAATATGGAGTAGGTTGTCAGTAAGGTGTCTTTAAGCACAAGCACCCCAAAAAACAGGTTATGTACCGATCAGTTGACAAAGATGTTGTGACCAGAGGCTCGCTGGGACCGAACCCTGTATCTTCCCTGGGATGAATCCAGTGTTCACGGCAGCTTTGTAGGGCACAACCACTGAGAATACCAAGAATGGACTACATAGATTTTTTATAGTATTTAAAAATAGAAGTGTTCTCTTTGTGTTGTAAAAAGATTATTTTTTACCCTATTATGTCTATAATGTCCCAAATTTTTACTAGGTATTACTTGATTAGGCTTTAATGAACTGATTTGTTTTCTGCACTATTTATTTTAAGTATAAGTAAAACAAAGTTAAAATTGAGTACTTTAAATATCCAAAGATACCTGTGAATGCCAAACAATGGCAAAACTCTCTTATCCCCTGCCAGGATTGCAAAATTATTCGTTATTATGGTAAGACTTTCTCAATTGCTAGATCATTTATGTGGGGCTCTAAACACATTTGATACTAAAGGTTTACTGAACACCTACTACGTGCCAGTTACATTGCCAAGCACTAGGAATACACAGGCGCGTGGACATGCTCTGAGCATTCGGGTGCGCTCCCCCTGTCCAGCTGGAAGAAGGGTCCCTAGTGCACGTCTGAGAGAGTGCCACCCCGCTGCCCCACAGTCCTGGGAATGGGTCCAGCTCCAGCCATACTTTCTTTCTAAGGAAATAACCAGAGTTTTCATGGTGAGGACTCTGCTGTCAAAAGCTGGCAGTGAGATCCTGTGATCTGTGTCAGTCTGACAGAGACTCCAGGGCATTGAGACAGTGTGACCTTCTGTTAGAAGGGGACACCTCCCAGTGGCCCCAGGGCTTCCCTGAGTGCCCATGGCCCCCAGCCTGCCATTCCAGACTGAGTCCAGGTCTCCTTGGACAAAACCAGAAATGGGAGCCAGGCTGGTGTTGCTCGGAGGTGGCCTGTCCTATCACATAGGTATCGTAAGGCCAATGTTAGACAGGTGGTGTTACGCTCTAGTGTCCGTCTTGTCTGCGATGCTGCTATTTACAACAGGCCGCGGCATTGCTGTGGGTGTGTTGTTCTGTGTGTTCTTGATAAAGTAAAACATTAGCGTGAGTAGTAGCTCAGTTGTGCCAATTCACCTCCATTTTATGGCTAAATCTAAAACTATTTGTTAGTATCTGGAGTATGTTAGCAAAACACGTTCAAGTAGTAAATTCAAAAGTATATTTTATAGTTCCTCTTATCTTGTTTTCCTCTGTTATAGTTTACACACCCACTACCAGTTTTTCTATGATTCGGTTATGCCAAACAAAATAAATATCCCAGGTTTGAATATCTTTTCCATATATATCTATATTTCAGTAAACATTTATTTAATCTGATGCTATATGTTTTTTCTCAAAGTTTCAACATAAAGCCATGTGTCTTTCTCCATACCTAAATTTAAGAAAAACTTTAAGAAACAAAAATCTTACTTGTAAAAGTAGGGGAATACTTATCCCTTTGACAAAACATTTCATTTTCTTCCTTTCTTTGTAGAATGGTCTACCCGATACTCAAGCCAAGTTCCATATTATGTTTTTATTCTTTGCTGCAGCTATGTTCTCTGTCAGCTTGTCTTCTCTGTTTGGCTATCATTGTTGGCTAGTCAGCAAAAATAAGTCTACATTAGGTGAGTATCCAGTTGCTGTCGTTAAAAGAACTTTAAGTACGTAAAGATGTTCATCAAAAGTTGCCATTTGATTACATGCCCACCTGTCCTGAGGGGTACAAACCATTCTCACTCCACACATTGTTTTGTGGGATGTGACTTAGACACGGGTTTACTCCTTTGATATATTTATTGACTGTCCATTGTATGTAACGTGTTCTGTACATTTATTTAGTGGTGAGCAAGGCAGAATAGCCTAGTGAGGGGCATAGAAAATCATCAAGCAAACACAAAAGTAATGACCAGACGTGCAGTGCTTCAAAGGAAACAGACAGGATGCTTAGGTACCAGTCCCAGTGGAAGGGTCCCTGTTTCGGTGAGTGGCCAGGGAAAGGCTCACCGCACTGAAACTTATTTAACCTGAGAAGTCAGCCATGGAAAGAGCCAGAACATTTCAGGCAGAGAAAACAGTGTGTCCAAAAGCCTGATGGAGGCAGGATGCTGAGTGCAGTTAATCAGATCGGTTCAAGACTAGGAGACTGAAATTGCGAAGCATCGCTGAAAGACACTAAAGAAGACCCGAGTAAATGGTAAGATTCCCATGTTGGTGGATCAGAAAACTTAATATTGTTAAGGTGGCAGTACTTTATTTTCAGGTTCAGTACAACTCCTCTTGTCATTTCTAAAAGCCTTTCCTGCAGAAATAGAAGAGCTAATCCTCATGTTCTTGCGGAATTTCTAGGGCCCCAAATAGGGAAGACAACACACACACACACACACACACACACAACACATAGTACTTACTGTTTTCAGAACTTACTAAAAATCTAAGTGATTAAAACCGCATGGTATTGGTATAAGGAGAGAGATATCAACCAGTGGAATAGAACTGAGAGTCCAGAACCAAATGTACATATCTCCGGTCAATTGATTATCAACAAGAGCAGCAAGACCATTCATTGGGGGAGGAAGAGATCTTGAACAGGTGATGCTGGGAGAAAAAGGATGAAATTGATCCCCTACCCCACGTCAAATACAGAACTGAGTTCAAAGTGGTTCAGTGACCGAAAGGGAGGGTCTAAAACTGGAAACTCTTAAAGAAAACACAGGAATGAGTCTTCAGATCCTCAAATGTAGTAATGACGTCTAAGCTATAAGACCAAAAGCATGAGCAACAAAAGAAAAAAGATTAAATTAGACACTATCAAAATTAACGATGTTTGTACATGAAAGGACATTATCAAAAAAGCAAAAAGATAGGCTGAAGAATGAGAGTAACATCAGTAAGTCATATATATGTAGTAAGGGCCACGTATACAGAATAGAGAAATAAATCTTAGAACAACAAAAAGACAAACAGCCCAATTTGAGAATTGGCAGAGGGTTTGAATAGACATTTAAAAAGACATTTCTCTAAAGAAAACATACAGATGGCCAACAAACACGTGAAAACCTGCTCAGTATCCTTAGTTCTTGGGGAAATAAAAAGGAAAGCAGACAGACACCACTTCATACCCACCAGGATGGCTTTAATCAAAAAGCAAAAAACAAACTTCGGTGAGGATGGAGAGAATCTGAAACCTTCGGGTATCGCTGGTGGGAAAAGAGAATTGTGTGGCCACCGTGAAAGCGGTTTGGCAGTTCCTCAAAATGGGAAACAGAATTACTGTGTGCACCCAAAAGACTGAAAACAGTCAATTGAAACAAGAGACACTCGTACATCCGCATTCATAGCTGTACTTGTTTACGTTAGCCAAAAGGTGGAAACAGTCCAAATGCCCATCAAATGGAAAGAAGAAATTCGATGTGTATGAATATTATTCAGCCACAAAGAATGAAGTACTGAAATGTGCTGTAACATGTAACTGCCTAATGAGTATAGGGGTTCTTTCGGGGTGATGAAAATTTTTTGGAACTTGATATAAGTGGCAGTTGCACAGAATCGCGAATGTACGAAAAGCCACTGAATTACTCACTTTAAAGTGCCTAATTTCGTGTTCTGTGAATTTCAGCTCAGTTTTTAAAGAAGCATTATAGGACAAGGGCCAGCAATGTTTGCAGCACCATCACATGGTGGGAGCATAGGAAGCTAAAAACAAAAAATGTGCTCTGACATTTGATGAGTAAGCAGGGACTAAGCTACACAGAGTCTTCTAGACCACGGTCAGGAGTTTGGGCATCCAGCCAGAACTTAAAAATCCTTGTGATCTCAAAGGACACTTCAAACCGTGAGAGTCTGTTATTATAATTGTCAGAGTGAAGATTCCTATAGTCAAAGAATGATCATTTTTAATATTCAGGTGAAGTCTTATTATCGCAGATACTATTAGGGTGAAAATTGGTGTAATAATTTTTAAACAAAGTATTTTACTTCATAATATATGTTAGGCAACTCAATTTTAATTCATCCTACGTAAATTGTTTCTAGAAGCTTTTAACTTCTAAAATTTGTTGATTGAACTTGTAACACTGAAAGGACTTCCTCTGAACAATATGGTCCTCTAATTATAAAAAATTTTTTATATAAATCTTTGTAACCTAGGGCAATAAATGTTAAGGATCCTGCAAATTGCCACATTTTCTCATAGCACCTTGACTCTGCTAGTTACAAAACTCACTACACTTACATGTTTATTCATATTCAAAAAGTAAAATTTTGGGTTTTTGCATCTCAGAAGAAAAGGTGGCATTATGGGAGGAATGTTGATACACTTCTTCAGGTTTCATTCTGACAAGTATTCTTGTGTGATCGTGGGCAAGTCGTGCAGCCCCTCTGACCCTTGGCTTCCATCTGCCGAGGGGGCAGAACCACATCCAATGTAGGATTTCGCACTGGATCTTGGTTTGGAGAAACCAGCTTTAAAGGACAGTTTGGTTAGCTGGGGAAAAAAAAGGTATTACTGGGATAAGATAAAATTTTAAAGAGATTAGAAGATGGAGCTTAGTGACTGTAAAATGCAGGTTATAGAATTAGGTAAAACATAGTCTCATTTTGGTTAAAAAACTGTCTAGATCTCTGTATATATCTTTATTCATCCATCCATCTATCCATCCACCCATCTATCAAAAAAAGATTTAGAAGATGTAAAGTTTTCACTTCCTTACATATTTGTATTTTCTAATTTTCAGCAACACACATGTGCCACTATAATAGTTAATAGGTTTCTTAAAAATAAAATAAGTGTAATTATTTGATTATTTTAAAACAGAACGGACGATCCATATTGCTGAATTGTAGGTAGGTACATTAGTACTCACAAGCGGCCAGCCATTGATTTTCGAGTTTCTTTAGTTAATTCAGTCACTTCTGAACTTACTGGTTACTAACTGATTATGTTCTTCACTCATGTGATTCCTCTACTATCTTTCATAGAGGCATTTAGAAGCCCAGTATTTCGACACGGAACAGATAAGAATGGATTCAGCTTGGGTTTCAGTAAAAACATGCGACAAGTTTTTGGTGATGAGAAGAAGTACTGGTTGCTACCCATTTTCTCAAGGTATTTTGTTGTGAAAATTTTCAGGTTTTAAAACTAATGAAAGTGAGTCAACAAAGGAACTCCATGATTCCGGACAGAAACTCTTATTTTTTTAAGTATTATTTTATGATTCGCTGTTATGTCAACATGGAAATCATTAACTCGTCATCTCCTGATACACGGTGTTGAAACCAGTGTGTCTGATATACATTTGGGCCATGATACAACTGTGTTCTGCTCAGACCTCGGCACTTTATAACAGTTCCCTCTGCTGTCTTTTTTCCTGCCCGACTGTACGTTTTTGTTTCCCTTGTAGTCTAGGTGACGGCTGCTCCTTTCCAACTTGCCTTGTTAACCAAGATCCTGAACAGCCATCTACACCTGCAGGGCTGAATTCAACGTCTAAAAAGTAATCCCATATTTTTTTTCTATTTTACTTTCAAATAGTATATTCTCTTCTCGTGTGTCCTTTGGTTATATATTTCTTTGAAAAATTAAGTAAGAACTTAAGATAATTTACTGTTGTGCAATGGTTTCCACTTGAAATGAGGGAAGGAGGAGGCAGTGGCGAGCTCCCGTTATACTGGTGGAATTCTGTTACTAATCTGGGTGGTGGGTAAACAGGTGTTGATTCTCTGTACATTTTGGTTGACCGAAGTACATCATGATTTGTAAACATATAGTGCCTACTAAATTAGCTTCCCCAGCGATCAAGCGAGCAGCTCCAGGGTCAGCTTTCCCTCTGACCCTCCCGGTCCCTCCTGTCTGGTAACTGATACAAAGAGATCAGAAAACTCCCCTGGGTCAGGCCTTAGGAAACCAAACGGAGTCCCAGACACCTGCTTGGCGGTTTCATTAGCAACATGCACCATGTTCTTAATGCTCTTTGAAGACCTCTAAGCTTTATCTGAGGCTTTTCTGTGGAGAGCGAAGGGAGGAGGTCTTGGAAGTGTGTTGTCCGGAGACTCGTGCCCATGCTGTGGGTCTTTGGTTCCAAGTCTGTCAGGAATTTGAGGAAGACCTAAAATCTGATTCTGACTTTCCTACTGATGAGCAAAAGGCAAATATTTAAAATGCTATACATATATGAATGTTGAAGTTTTAAACACTAATTTTTATGTCATTAAGATCCTAGAACAGGAACAGAATCATAGATACAGACATCACTTGGAGGGTTATCAGCTGGAAGGGGGAAGGGGAAGAATGGGGGAAAAGGTAAGAGAATTAAGAAGCATAAATTGTCAGGTACAAAATAGACAAGGGGATAAGAATAGTATAGGAAATGTGAAAGCAAACTTACAAGCATGACCCAGGGACATGAACAAAGTGGGGGATTGCTGGAGGGAGTGGGGGTACCAGGCAGAGAGGGGAAAAGGGAGGAAAAATGGGACAACTGTAATAGCATAATCAATAAAATATATTTAAAAAACAAAAAATAAAAATAAAATCTTTTAAAAAAGATAGTTATTTAACTATGACCATAGTTTAAGTTTTTAATGAAATCCAGTAGCAAAATCATGACTATACTAGCATTCTTGGTTAAATTTTGGAGATTGTCTTGGTTGCCAGAATACAATGTACACCGCACCTGCACCAGCTACATATTTCTTGTTGCTAACAATGCTTTCTCCTGTGGAGCCTGGCCTGACCTCAGCATGCTTCTCAAGGCGGTGACTGGCAGCCATTCCAAATTATTTTCAGTTGCCATGAGATGAAACCTATTTGCCACCCCACCCCTAGAGGGAGCAGTGTACAGACCAGACTCTGTCAGTTAATGAGGAGGCCATTTTAATGTGTTTCACAGGGACATTCAAGGTAGCAGAGTCTTACTGGGTCACATCCTCTGAGTTTTAGCTTGAAAATTCCACAGAGCTAAATGTGAATGGTTTTCTCATACCTTGGTGCAGAAAAATACGGTTTTAATAAGTTTGTTAGGTTTTCATAGCTTTTATAAACTTTAACCGTGGTTTTCAATAGTGTTTTTTATCTTTATTAAGTGGTTTTTGTCGTTTAAGACTATTCGGGTTTTCAAGATAATCTCTCTCCCACTAAGTGTGCCATGGGTATTGAGAGAGATCCCAGTTCTGGCATTTGTTACCCAGAACGGTGATCGTGAAGTAACCAGCCTTCTCCTCCTTCTTCCCTTTAAATGCTGGGATTGGGCTCTGAGAGATGAAGTCTCTGAAACAGAAGTTTAGAATTTCCCCTGATTAGCCCTTATGAAATTTCTGTGGTTAATTCGGTATCTCCTCCGTGCCCCCGAGCTGCCCAGGTAGCTGCTTGTCTACTCAACCTTCCCCCTTAAAGGTTGAAAAGCCATCGCCAGCGGAACAGGTGCAAAGCAGTCCTCTCAATTCCAGGCGCTCACACCCTCGCGCCCACACTAGACCTGACTCTCCTCCATTCTTCCATCTGCGAGTCAGTGTTCATGACCTCCGTTCTCCCAGGCCAGAAACTCTGGGGTCATTTTAGCTTCCTGTCCTGCAGTTGCCTGATTTACTCCATTTGCAAGCCTTGTCCTGATTCACCCTCAGAATCTCTCTATATCGTTTCTCACGGGACTTGTTTCATTAGCAGTTTCTGGTTTTCCTGAGTCCATGTTTGCCCTACTCCAGGGTATTCCCCATGAAGTCAGCGTGATCCTTTTAAAATATGCATCAGATTTTGTCATTCTTCTGCTCAAAAACCTCCATTGATTTCCCATCTTACTCAAAATAAAGACTAATGAGTGTCCTCACCTTGTCCAATCAAATCTGTATGCTCCACCTGGCATACGGCATCTTTTCAGAGGCATAATAGGGATCAGAGTAAAAAAGACTTTTCATATGAATGGGAGATGGTATTTTTTAAAGATTTACTTTCAAAATTTTAATAAGGGTATGATAAAGCTGTACAAAATTGAAGTATTTTCAAATTTTAGATATGAGGCAATTACTAAGGTGCAAAACCATATCCAGTAAAAAGTAACAGTTATAGACAACTGAAATATGTGAAATTATTCTTGGAAGAATTTTAAGTAGTTTTTTCTTTTGAACATTATTATAATTAGTACTTTGGAGTTCTAAATAATAGTTTCTATGCCAGTAATTTTTCTATCTAATTGAAATGTTATTTTAATTTATGTATATACTTTGTTTTCATACCATCCAATAATGTCGATATGTGGCATGCCTGCTTAAATTTTAAAACTTAAGTTCTTCTTTTGAGACTTCATTTTCCCAAATTAAACACTAGGTTTGTAAGACTTGTTCATGTCAGGTGTGTTCAACATTCCTGCAAGATGATGCTCAAATTCCTTGTTTCTGTCTGATAGAAGGTAGGAAATTCTTTGTTCAAGACCAGTTAGGCCACTTTAGAAAACACTTTTCCCTCACATTTGCCTTTCTGCTATTCATTACCCTCCTGTTTTTTTCCATAACCACATACCACTTAAAAATAATGTATTTCTTTAATATATTTATTTAAATTAGCATGGAGATTTATTTTTAAACCAAATTCATATCACCATCATAAATGAGAAACCAGTATAATTTGTCGTAGGTGGAGTATAAGTTAAAGTAAAATTGATAGCAAATTGCTGTTAGGTCTAACTAGATTCCCTTATCTGCTAAAAGGTCGGAGGCTGAGGCTGAGTCTGTGTTAAAAACAGAGGTTTGCCAGAGTTAAAGATTGCGATCTTACTATAGTCAGAGGAATGAAAGGGAACTGAAGTGTGAACGCTTCTCTCACTATGAGTCGGCATGATCGAATTGTTCCTGTATTCCCCAAATTATCTTCGGTAACTTCTATTGCACAATTATCTCAGTTCAAGTTCTGTACTTTGAGAAGCACTCACTTCAATAGTGTCAAGAGTTAATGTAACAATTGTGATGATGGTTGTTGTTATTCAGTCCTGAAAACCATCCATTTCCTGCAAAGCCATTGAGAGAGTCCCAGAGCCACCTGCTTACAGACTCTCAGTCATGGACGGACAGCGGCGCAAACCCAGGAAAAGACGAAGCTGGTAAGGGCGTGCTGGTGTGGCTTTTCCGATGCATTTCATTTTTAAAAGGTTAGAGTAGTGAAAACAAGTCCATTGTATTACCCCTAGGAATCTTGGAGTCAAACTTACAGTGTAAATTTAGAATTATTTTCAGAACTTTTTGGGAAGCACTTTGATTAATTTCTCTTAGTTCTAGAAAATAATTTTGTGAAAGACAGATCTTCATTGTTTGGGGGTTGCTTTTTTTTCATTATAAAACTAAATCTTTATTACTGCATATTATATGACAGAAATAAACTCAAAAGACATTTTTTTAATGGGAAAATGTGATTAATTCAGACAAAAGATCTAAAAGTATCTGTTGTAAAGGGCCAAATTACACAGTTCTGTTACTCTAAGATTTCTATCCAGTTACAAATGCGGAAGTGATTGTGTAATTACAGAATGTTCACTACCTATAATTTGTTCATATTTCTCTTGTTATTGTTGATCTTAATCTTTTGATTACTTCTTTATTGGTAAAGAACAAGCCAGGCTTTGAAGTCAGAGAGACCTGACTTTAAATCCTAATTTGGGCATCTAATTAATATGTCATATTTGTGAAGTTACCTAACCTCATAGACTTGGCTTTCATACCTTGAAAATGCTAGTTGTTTCTCAGGGTTGGGAACATATAAGTAAAATATATGTGGTGTCCCTATAAATAAGTACAAAACCAGACATCCACCATTGTGACAGTGTTGGCTAGAAAATCACCAGGTTGACTAACTGAATTCTCGAATTCTCTTTCATTTCTCGTCTTTTCTTAAAACTCTCTCCTAAGCACTGCCAGAATTTGGCTCATAGCACTTTACTTACTGGGTTGTTGGAAATCACTTTGGTGAAAAACAAATAGATTGTCCTGATTAAAAATGCTAAGGTAGATTTAGGATCTAATTGAATATACCATCAGTTACATTCTCCTAAAATATTGCTTCCTTGAAAAGGTCTTGTTCTTAAACAGTACACAGGGTCGGGGGAAAGTAGGTTTACAGTTATTTGTGTGGAAAAGAATATAATAATTAATAAATAAGAATATGAGAATAAACTATTTTGCTTACTCTCAACTGCAAGCCTATTTTTGCCCTTCTTCCTTATATACCCTCAGAACACCCCCGCCATTTCAGTATTCATAATTCGGTTTCTCTTCACCTCACACATGCCATTCCATTTTCCAGTCTATGGGAAGGACTAGGCATTTCCTAAACAAGGAATTGATGACACCTAGTTGCACTTTGAATCCATCAGTTTTCCTAGAGGCAAAGGACAGATAAATAGTTGGGGGTCGGTTTTGTGGGGGAGCTGGGGAGACAAAGACCTCTCTCTATCTTTCAGAGAGGATTCTTGTCTCCTCTTGTAGTTAATGTTAACATGTAAATCATTTCCTGGTTTTTAATGTGCTGTCAATTATTTGGCATGTTAGTTTTTTGTTACATTGCTAGATGAACGAGAAACTGAAGTTTAAAGGATGGTATAAAAGAAGAGAAACATGAGCAGGATGAGATGAGGAAGGGCTCAAAGATCAGTCTGACTAGAGTGATTACGTTGATGAAGAATTAGGAGACGGTGGTTTATGATGTTAAGAGAAGTGCCAAGTTCAATGTCTCTCATTTTTCTGTTCTTCCTTGAAGGGATGAGCAATCCTGCACTGACCATGGAGAATGAGACGTAACTCTCCAAACAAAATTAATTCATGTTTTTGAAAGTGAGTGAAGCTTTTTCTTTATTGTTATGTTTTATATTTTAACACTTTTCTCTAGGGCACATTGTTTCCATAAATATTATTACTTATTTCTGCGTGAATCAGATTAAAAGCTGTCTTAGCTGACCCTGGGGAGTGCAGTAAGCGAGCTGGAGACCTCTAGACGTGGACTGAGCTTCAGCACTAGCAAGAATTGAGGTTAACCTGATAAAACTAAAACTAAGTTGATGAGCAAATTTCATTTTTATAGTAATACAGTAAATGGCAAGGGGGGAATCCTAAAATATTGAACTTTACATGGCAGTTCTCTTGTCATGTTACGGGATTGTACAGTTTTTTGCAAACTTTTTCCATCCTGCAGGATACACAGTGGTCATGGCCTTGATCAGGACCTCACCAAGTCTAAGCACAGATAATTATACCCATTAGCATAAACCTTCCCATCTCTATTTTTGGTAACAGTAGGACCCCACTCTTAAAATAATAGGTGTTGCAAACCATTTTATTTAAACCATAATTTTTAAAATCAGTACTTCGGAGTCAGTTTTTTAAATACATAACCTATTTATAAGCCTGTAGTCAATAGAAAAAAATGTAATAAAGAGTCCCTGTGAAGCAAAGCCAGAAGCATCTAGACAAATACACACAAATATAAAGGGTTGAACATTAAAGTTATCAGACAACTCTCTATTTACAAAACTTCAGTCTAGAATACTAACGTCCAAGAGAAGCAAGACAGTAGCTCTAAAACAAAATCATTTGTGTCAAAATACTTAATAGGTATCTGAGGTTTTTATTAATAATTGTGTGTTCTTTTTAAATTCATTTTAATCCTCAAAGTGTTTTTCAAAATTTTTTAATTGTAATTTTTCCATTACCATATTTATCCACCTTATGCCTCCTCCACCCGCCCCCCTGCACCTACAGTCACCACTGTTTTCCTTGTCTGTGGGTTCTTTCCTTTGAGCTCAATCCCTCCACCCCGTCAGCCACCCCTTCCCTGCCCAGAGTTGTCAGTCTGCTCTCTGCCTATGAGTCTGTCTCTGTTTTGCTTGTTAGTTTAGTTTGTTCAATAGAGTCCACATGAGTGAAGTCATATGGTATAGTAAGGGGCTTGTTTCACTGACCATGATGCTCTCCAAATCCATCCACGCTATCACAAAGGGTAAGATTGTTCTTTTTCATGGCCAAGTAGTATTCCATTGTGTAGATATCCCATAGTTGTTTTGTCCACTCATCTACTGATGGACACTTGGGCTTCAATCAACAACCAATAAGCACTGGCGAGGATGTGGAGAAAGGGGACCCCTTTTGCACTGTGGGTGGGAATGCAGATCAGAGCAGCCGCTGTGGAAAGCAGTATGACGATACCTCGAAAAAAATTAAATCTTTTAAAATTTGTTTTGTTTTGGTTTCATGAGTAGCTTTTTAATAGCAGCAAAATACCGATCTGGCCATTTGACCAGGGGCTGTTGTGGTTTTGGGTGCCCGCACAAGCTGGTACGGTAGATCCGCTTAATCGTAACTGTGGTTGGGGCAGTGAGAAAGTGATAGTGCGGTCAGACAGCAGAGGGGCAACATCAGATTTCTGGAAATAATTCTGAAACTGTAATTCCAAATAAACAAAAATGAATCGCTAACCAATACCACAAATAAATATTTCTTAGAACATAGATCTGTAAAGTTTCACAGGATTTTTTTTTAGGACTTTGAATTATTGGTGGTAGATACTCACCCCTGTTTGTGAGGTCACACGTTATGTATTTTACAAGTTCACAGAGTCATGTCATGTCACGTAGACGTCCCAGTGTTTCTCCACAAGATCAGTGCCGCGTTTGTTTGTTCGGCATTATTCTCAGCACTTTGCACTGTGCCAGGCACAGAGCAGGTTCTAAATACACATTTTTTGGGAAACAGGCGATAAAATAACATTGTTAAAATTAAAAATCTCACAAAACTTGATTTTATTATACTTGAATATGACAGATTAATGGTCATGATAACCAAATGACAGCACAAATCAGCTTTATTGGCATTTTTTTTAAAAAAGTGATTTTCTGATGTAACATTTTTCATTCTGTTGATGTAACTAGTGACAGAAAAAATGTTTCTTTAAAAAAACTGAATTTTCCTAAGGTAGCTAATATTCTAAATAGTTTTAGAAAATTTTTAATACTTTTTCTGCTTTACACCTTAAACTTAGCAATTCATTCAATGCATTAATATTGAACATTACCCAATACTGATATGCTTAATTTCTATTACTAAATTATACTCATGTTGTTCTCTATTTGAACTACATTAGTAAATAACCTGTGGCCTTTCATGCTGAGAAATGAAATATTTCTGAGCATAGGTCCCAGATACTTACTTGCCTAGACTACAGTGGTGCTCCAGTGTAGATTAAATTTAGCCTACCCAAGCTTCCCTCTTATGAATTATAGACAAAGAAAGCTGTGCTTCTGTGCATAGGAAGTTTTAAACTTACTTCCCTAAGTCCCATTTCTAATGCCCTTGTCACTCCTAAGTGCCTAGTGACCTCAGACCAGTGCAGGACTAGTAACATAGAAGAACCCTGCCACTCTAGTTGGGGTCCCCCACCAGTCTCATTGGCCTCACCTGAGAGCTTAATAGAAATGCAGAATTTTGGACCTTACTCTAGTCCTACTGAATCAGAATCTGCATCTTCTGCATTCTGATGAGATCATCTGGTCCGTGTATATGCATGTTATAGTTTGAGAAGCATCAATGGGAAGGTCTATGAACACATCTACTGAGCCTTCTAGTATAGGAAACACTTAATTTTGAACAAGGGGTGTTATTGCAACAAACAAACGAGGTGTTTGTTGAATGAATGAGTCGGTCATTTGTAGTTTTCTTACATAGTTAACACGACAGTTTCCTGTTTTCTGTTTTTCATGCCAAGGTATCAGTGCTGTAGGTGGATGGACGAGGCTTCCCACGGGCACCACTGGCCGATCGTCCCTGTTTCCTTCTGGCTGGACGTGCAGGACGTGAATGGATGAGTTCTCTCCAAGCTACTGCTTGAAACATCACATTTTTAATTCAAGATGCAGATTGTTTCAACGGATGCAAATCCTTGTTAAATGTTAAAATAATGATGGTTTATGCATCAAGGGCAAAAATATAATCTATCATAAAAACTGAGGAGATTCATGGGCCAGTTTTCACCCAAATAATTGGGTAGCACAATTTGTCACAATTCTGATCCAGGAAATTAAGATGAAGGTACTGAGATTTAAAAGATTTCCAGTCACATGATGATGATGAGATTTATTCGTAAAACCTGCTACCACTAAAAAGGTGGAGGTGGCCAGACTTCTTATTTATTCCTTCTGATCTGAATCCAGCTTCAGACTGAGTGAATTCATTACAGAGTCCAAATGACCTACAGTTGAAGATCTCCATTTTTTGCTAGACTTTAATCGGATTCTAGTTTTTGTTTCCTGCTAGAAAATAAGTATGATCATTGAAGCTTGAGCTCACTGATAAGCAATTTGGCTAGAAAATTTTGTCAGAATGAATACATTTCCATTATACCTGATATATACAGGGTCCAGCAGAAGTAAGGCCTGCTTGAGTGTGGTTGGTAGGGGAATAATATGGATGTAATAGTTTTAATTTGAACATATCACCTAAAATGTCATATGGTGTGTTTGAGTGTGATGTTGTTATGTTATGGAATTAAATGCTTATGGTTTTTTTAAAAATTTATTTTTAGAGAGGGGGAAGGGAAGGAGAAAGAGAGGGAGAGAAACATCAGTGTCTGGTTGGCTCCCCCATGACCCCCACAGGAGATGTGGCCCACAACTGAGGCATGTGCCCTGACTGGGAATCGAACCAGCAACGCTTTGGTTCACAGACCCATTCCCAATCCACTGAACTACACCAGTCAGGGCTAAAAGCTTATGGTTTCATAATAAAAGATTTTGTAATAGAAAAGGAGCATTATTTGTGCTGGACCCTGTATTTTTCATCCCTTCTAATCTTCTCAAATTGGGAGAAAATCTACAATAACAATTATGAAAATTGGTTTATTTTATGATATTCTTCAGCCAGTTTGGCTTTTATAATTTATTTTCATTTTATTTCCTTTGATTGAACATAGCAAAAATACTGAATTTCAGTGAAGAATTCCTGATGGGTCAATAGATTAATCCTCTACTTATATTTATATCATTTCTGTGTTCTCTCATCAAAATAATGACAGTTAAACTATATAGTTCCTCATACTACGATTAACGATGCAATTCATAAAAAATTTATATACTTTTTTTTGGAAATTTTGTTTGACATAATGGAATGCTGTTTGGAAATTGAGTTTCAGATAAAGTGGTGTGTTTGTTGATGCCAAAATGTGAGGCTTCAGTAAATACACTAAAAAGCTCTTGTGCCTTGTATGCACTATTTTTTTTAAGTGTTATTTACTCTTTGTTAGTTTGTTGGAGTATAAGTTTTGTAAATGGGCATGATTAGAATAAGCTGTGGACATTTTGTTTTTGGTACTGATATTCCAAACTTAAAGCAGATTAGATATTAAAACTACACAGCTGAAGAACTGGTATTTAATCAAAGAGAAAATGGTATTAAACTTTTCAAAATCTGAGTTAGAGAAACATGCAACCCAGAATAGAAGGCCAGAGGATAATGGAGTCATAAGAAATCCTTGTAATTACTCATCCTTACTAAAAATATGAAATGTTTTATATTAAATGAATTAATGGAAGAACCAATATCAGCCCAGTCCATTTTATAGATCATTTGAGAGAAATTATTTGAACAGTTAGGATAGCAGGGGTGTTTTTTTCCAAAAATGTTTAAAGCTAAGTATTTTAATCTGACAGTCTGTTTCAAGAGATTCCATAAGGTGTATTTTTACTTAAAGCATGTTTGGGTCATCACTTTTCATTACCTGAAGTGCCAGGGTGGAACCTGTAGCTACTGCTGGAAGTTGGGGGCAACAGCACCACGTGACGGACTGAGAATTATATGCAGCCAGCTTTTGTTCAAAGCACAGGACTACAGTTGTTTCTATGCGATCAGCATCGTTAAATGTTCCCTCTTGTCAAACTAACTAGGAGCAAGGGGGGAAGAGAGAGATTTTTATTCTTTACCTTGCTAGAGTACTGTTAATCTTTTCCCCCTTTAGATTGTTCATGTAATTACTGAAATACGTAAGTCAATACACATTAGATTCAGATTTGAAAACATTTTTAAAAATAAAATATTTTCATTAAGTTGTAATGGTTCCCTTTTTGTTTCATACAGTGGGTATCTTGGTTGTTTTTTTGTTCAGTTGCGGGGGGATTATAGTTCTAGGGGGTTATAATTTTGGGAGATGGCATTATCTCATTAGGTATGAAGTATCAATTTTACTTGGGCGAATAAAGCAACATCAAATAGACCTACATTTTGTACATACTTATAAAATGTACCTATGAGTTAACTATTTGCCATTATTAGTGAAAGAGGGTTTGTTTTTTCAAAGGAAAAGAAAAACTGCATCTAAATACAGTGACGAGACAGTCAAGGAAGTGCTGATCCACAAATTCCCTTCTGTCACGTAATAAAGTCTGGTTGATCACCTTCAGTAGTTGTCTATATGATGTCGCCTGCACACTGATGATCTGAATCTCTTTACAGATACACTTTTCCTAGTAGTCGGCCAGAGCTGGCTGCTCCCGGCAAAATTCATGCCTACAGCCTGGTTGTAACGCAGGGTTTTTTTGAGAAGTATGACCGGAATTTATGACCGGATGGGGTCACCACTAATTAGTAGTTAAATGATTCTGAGGACACTGGAAATGGGTGGTAAACTCGAGCACACTGTGATCAACAGACAAGTCTTAGAAATACGGCCGATATTTGACAAAACTATCTTCACTAGGAAAGTCAAATACAAAGGGTTTGTAAACCATATTCATTAAAATTTAAGCTAGTGACTCAGGCTCAAAAGAACCCATGAAAAACCTGGTAACCCCATTATATTATAAGCTAGCAAATTTTCCCTATATTGATATGCATGTAAACTTGCTGATTCTGAAGTGACACAGTTTACTTTAGTAAACACATATTATCAGATATTTACTTGTAAAAGTGATAGTTCTAATAGCATTATGAATTTTTTACAAAAAACCCACAAACGTACACAAACCACGTAAATGGTAAATGTAGTAAGACCACTTGCCTGTAAACCAGAATGGTGTTCAGTATAACCCTCCCACCTACCCAGGGACTACACATTGGATCGGCTAACGTTTTGTCCACACGGCACATTTGGATGATGGCTTTGCACAAGTCATATCTCTAGGTAAGATCCTTCTGTAGAAAGCCTTTACGCTCCTTTTCCACATAGCCAATTTTGAACGTATTTCCTGTCACATGTGGAAGCAGACCACATACACCTTAACTGTTTGTTTTTCTTTTTTCGGTATCCTATCTTCATATATGCTGGGGTACTGTTGGCTGTTTGCTCTGCTCCTCCATAGATCGGCCGGGTTTTCCTCCCATGTGTCGGGAGGGGGGAGTGGAATCTGCTCCCTCCTGCCTTGCCACCATCTTCAGTTTCTAATCTGTTATTCTTTTACATTGGGACCACTAGAATTTTTTTAAACCTCATCTTGGTAAAAATTCAAATTCTGACTTTCGTTGACATTTTAGCCATTTTTTTCATGTCACTTATTAAAAGCATTCAGTACATGCTGACATTAAAAGTTTTTGATTTTAAAACTAAGCACTCTGTTCCCTCACTGTATTTCCTTTGGAATTACCAAAAAAAAAAAAAAAGTTTTCCCCGAACACAGGAAATGACGTTATACTTCATAATGGTCCATGACTGGATTTGTGGTTCTCTTTGCCATGATGGATTTGTGGTTCTTTTATAGGGTTGTATCCAGTGGCCATCAGTGAAGGGATGAACTCAAGTAGGCTTGTTTCAAAGGAACTGCTATGGATCAAAATTAGGATGTATCCATCTCCCAGCGTAGGAGGCGGCTCTGGAGTGGGGTTTTTCTATCCTCAAAAGAGGAAGTAAGTACAGATCCTCTGCCATAATGCCATCTAGGTTAACTAAGGGCTCAATCTCCGACATCCTTCTAATTGTCCTTATACCAGCAAAAGATTGAATATGAGTCTGGGCACTGCCAATAGACTTGAAACCACCTGCAGCCTTTTCTCAGTGAAGTCACAGAGGGGACAAAACTGGTGACAAATGGCCCAGTGGTAGAACTCTGATGTTCTTGTTCATAGCTAGCAGTCAATATTTCTGTGTTTAGTTTACAGTTGGCCGGTGGCGGGGGACAGGTGAGACCAAGATTACTTATCGGTTGACTTATTTCTGAGTAGCGATTAAACCAAAGGGGGGCCTTTTGATAAGTGACTTTTAATTCTGGTTAAGCTACATAAAGGAGCTCATTGCTCATAAAGGACAGACAGTATGATTTCATGATTTACGTTATGTCTTCCGGGGAAGGTTTAACAGTGTACGGAGCTCAATCCTGACAATTTATTAATATTTAATAGTTCTGACAGATAAAGGTGCTTAATTACATTGAGAAAAAAACCATAATTTTCCAAAGTAGAATTCTGCTAATGCTGAATTAAAGATCTAATACCATAGAAAGCTTCACTTTTTTTAAAAATTTAGCTATGAAAGGAAGGTTATTGCCCGAGTTCAGAATTCATGTCTTTTTCTATCAGTATGTGGTCATATTAAGAGCATCTTAAAATGGGCTAATCAGACATTTGTCAGTATTAAAAAAAGGCAACCTTAGTTACATACCTAGTCCTGGTATAACATGTAAGCACATTGTAAAGCTCTTTAAAAACTACAGCTGGCACGACGGAGAGGATGGAAATGACCCACAGAAGCCGTAGAACAGCAACGGAAGGAAAGTCTGCATACATAGAGCTGAATCATGACTTTATTGACTTTCTACATGATCTTTGCAGTAGTAAGACACCAGCTAACAATGAAAATGTTAATTGCTGTTCAGAAGAAAACAAAACAAAGGAGTATGACAGAGTGAAATGGGGGCCTACCAAGCCCATACACCTTCAGTACACTGTCACGAGTGTTTACACGGGACCAGCTGTTTTCTGCTCTGTGCGTGTTTACCACCGTCAGGCGCAGCATCTCGGTGGATTCCGCTTCCGGCCGTACTGACTGGCCAGCTCCTCAACTTCTTGAAAACATGCGCACCTGTCGTCATTCCACAAAGACCATTAGTACAATGGAAACCGATTCTTCAGTCTCTTCAAACTAGGTGCTGGTTTCTCAGATAAGAGCTGGACAGTACTGACTCATCAGGGGCCAGAGAAAAACACTCAAAAGCATTTGTCTGGTTTTAGAACTGCCTGCTGATGTTGTGAACAATGGCCTCTCTCTTCCAGCAGCTGTTCTCACCGAAAGGCTGAAGTCTCCTCTAGACACCTTTCTCTGGGCCACCACCCTGAAGAAACCTGGGTGCCTCGGCATCAGCGAGCACCTTTGCTCGGCCACCTGACGGGCCCCTCGCAAGTGTCCTCTGATGGCAGCTGCATTTCCATTTTTTGTTATTGTGAAGCAATGCTGTGACGAGTTACTCCATTTTAAAATTTATAGTTCTCTTAATTGCTGCTTTCCCATGAGTTGGCAATATCGTGATGACACTTTGGCCCGGTTATGTCAACATTCGATGTGGGTTTTTTAGCGTATCATTTGATTAGATAATGCATACTTCAATGTGCCTCAACAGCACACCATTCAAAGTGCGCTTAAGACACAACGGGTATGAATCGGTAACAGAAAAATACTGTGGCACACCCCAGACGCTGTCAGGTCCTGTGCCCATGTCACCGGTTTGGGAGCATACCACGGGAAAATGGGAAACGAAGGGACGGCCACAGGCAGTTTCCGCAGCAGCTGCTCTGCTTCCCCACCACGCTGCGGCCCGTGGACACAGCCCGTGAGTGAGAGGGGCTATATTGCAACTGAACTTGGGGGCACTAAAATGTAAATATACTTTTCACATCGTAAAATATTTTCTTCCCAACAATTTTAAAACAGTAAAAAAACATTCTCGCCAACTGGCCACACAAACAGGCATTAGGCTGGTTTGGGCCTGCAGGCCTTGCTCTAGCAGATTTCAGAGAATGGTGAGCCCAGAGTTAACGGCTTAGGACACTAAAAAGGTTCAGCCCAGGGTCTTATCCACAAGCCAGATTGAGTAAAGGTTATAATGTTCCTCTTACCATTGAAGTTATAAAATATTATATTGCTTACAGACAGAAACCGAAATTGATACAGACTATGAAATTCAGCAACTATGTGTCTATTCAAAAGGCAATCTTTTATCATTTTTTGAGGTGATGATCCAAATAAAAGGACACCAATTACACATCTGCTATATTGCATCAGCTTTAAAAAGAAGCCACATTAAGTTACTCCAAGTGCATTTACTTGGCAAATCTTTCAGAATAAATGCATCCCTGGAGAGACAAATCAGTTAACACCCAGGTGAGGTATTCATGAAGAATAAGCCAACAGCGTTGAAATGCAGAAGGCTCACACTGATTTTTCAGTAATTAGTGATAATGAAGCTACTGAGTTCTGTTCAGTTGCCCAAACCTTTAAAAAAAAATCCTCCAAATAAATATTTCCAAAACAAAATTACCAGTCATCAACATATATATGAAAACATTTCTGAAGCCTTTATTTACAAAAGCTTTAAAAACAAATAATACCCTCTGTTTTGCAAATAATGTTTTGTTTAAAAAGGACCACCCAGTTACAGCACTGTAACATCATGAATAACGAATGTACAAGAACAAACCAATCTAACATTTGGAGATTTGCTAATATTACTGATTGAAGTGCAGAGAACATACATCATAACTTCTAGTCCATAATTTCCGGGTAGAATTAATGATTTCCAAAATGTCTTCCTACACATGCTCTGGTCTAGTCACATACTCTGTATGGCTAAATATTTCACAGTCTCTTTTGTCAATATATATAAAATAGATTGCAAAGATATACACAAAAAATAAACAAACATTACACTCCTCAGGTAATTTTAATATCTATATAGTAGCTGTGTGTATATTATATCAACATACACCAGCTAACACATATATTTTTGTATTTTATTGTTGTGCACCAAATCTCTCCATTCTTTATCTTTGTAACAACTATGCAAGCACGATTTTTTGTCTCCTAATTTAATTTGGTACAAAATATACCTAAAGATTTGCTATCTTTGGACTTTAATGAAATTGATTTGTGGACTCAACAACAAGAGCTCGTAAGTATGGCTATAAAATTTTTAAAAATTTAAAATAAGGGTGAACACTGATGGAAGAAGAAGAAGCAGATAAGGGAAGTATACTATCATAAAACTGCAGCTTCAACATCTCGGGAGACCAGTTTCCTGGCAGACCATAAACATCCGATCACAAACGAGGGGTGTTCCTGAAGGGTGGAGAGCGGGTCTGACAAGCTCTCCAGTCTCAGAGCAGCCGCACGTGCGCGTGACACACTGACACACGCTGGATGTGCTCGGAAGATTAAACACTACGTACAGAAACAGCAGTGGTTAAGCTCCTCAGTCATTTTTTTTGTCTTTTTTTTTGTAGTCTTGTAGAGTCACCCATTTGCACAATGCATGTGCTGTATTTCACGGGTCAAAAACAAGTAAATACTTTGTAAATTGGCAGATGGCCATTTTTCCAGCTAAGAGCAAGAAAATTTTCTGCTAAAACAGAGGATCTGAGTCAGAATCACTCTCTAAAGTGCAAAGTTGATGGTCCACAATCTCAAATAGCTAAAACTCTTACAGAATGGAAGGGACACATGAAACAGGGAAATAAATTACAGTCAGTGCTAGTTAATTTAGAAAAGGGGAAACACAAGCCAAGCTCAAGTCGGTCAAGTTTATATGATGCAGCTTTCCCACTCTGTCACACACGCCTGCGAACAAGTATATTAAGGCCAAATTTAACCTGAATGCTTTTCTAGTTGAGCTCTGAAATAGGATGGTCATACTTAGTACTGAAAGACAAAAAATAAAATGGGATATGAAAGGAAAAAAAGTACTGTCTGTTGTTCAAGAGATTCAACCAGAGATAAAACCTATATACAAGCATGTGTGCAGCCCAAATAAAATAAAAATAAAAGGACTATCTTTCATGTCATGACTGCTTGTTGGCTTCCTCTTCATATGCATTCCCTGTGCCATTCTGTACATAGGATGAACCAGAACCGAGGCCATACAAATGGCCACAATATTTGGCATCATCAATATGATCTTCAAAGAACATCTAAAAAGGAATTTTGGGGAAAAAAAAAGATAATTTTAACCAAAAGGTACCACTGGTAACGTATATTTCAGCAACGAAAGCACTGCCTGCTCATTAGCTACAACGACAGCTCTTCTCTAGGGAGCACCTTTCAGTTCAGGAGGGCTGAGGTGCTCAGGAGCACAGAGCTCAGGCAACCAAAGAGAGAGACTACAAAAAACTGTACACACATCTTCCCTTTGAACATTTAGAGCACTTTTACAAGAATCTGTAACCATGGAAAAATGGCAGACATTTCCATTCCACTAATTTAACAGTACTCATGTGTGAGGATGAATGAAAACGGCCAACAGTGGGGGGTGCAGTTTAGGTAGCGGCCTTGAGTCTCAGTGCGAGGCTAAGTTGGCTGAAACACTCAAAGCCTAAACGTGTTCTGGGCAGTAAAATCTGAACGCTCACACTCGGTTACTATCCTTGAAGGAGCCAAGACAAATAAAGGTAACAAATTAGTAGCAGAGAATACACCATTAACTGAACCATTAGGGTATGTTTTAAATGCAAAACTGAAACTCCAACAGGTTATTTAACTCTCTACTGAGGCACTGCAAAGAAGTACAAAGCATGGAAAGTATTTCCTTTCATAAACAGAGTTCAAATCACTTCTGAATCAACACTACTTGGCAAAACAACTAGTATGCTTTCTATTATAATACATTTGTACAAAGTCTTAAACTTCCAAACGATTTCTTAGCCAATTCTTTACTAAGAGGATATACTAAAAAGAATTTAGTAAATACTTCCCCCAAAAGGAGAACTTTGTTAGCCAAACTCCACTGTATTTCGTTTTTGCACAAAAAAGTGTTTTTCTTTGCATTTTACCTATAAGCAAAGCTCCAATTAAATTTTGGTTTTCCATACATAACTTCTTTACATTTGAAGAATTTATCTCTGCCTTTCACCACTTAAGGAGGGTCTGCTCAATACAATTTCTAATTCAATTACTACTTCAAATCTTACTGAACCCCTTTGGAATTCAAAAGTCTCCTGGTAAGACTTATCTACTAAAAAGCATGAGTCCTACTCTACAGATCCTCACAGCACTGAAGAATGGAATGAGCAAGTGACATTTTTACCAGCACCGTAATGCCCAAGGTAACACAAAGCCGGAGGAAACAACATACTGATGGATTCCTTGAACTGACAGGAGCAGCCCTGGTACGGTCTATGGAGAGAGGTCTGCAGTTCTCCCAATAGTAACGTACATGACTTTGGATAAAACTCACTAGCCTCTGGCCTGTTTTCTCACCTAAGAACAGTATGTTTGGACATACAAGATTGCTAAGGTAGTTTAAATTATGTATTTTAGTCTCCAAAGAAGTTATTTTTTCATTCCCTTCTGAACTATATCTCAAGACAACTTCCTTTTAAATACTTTCATTCAAGTGTAGTAAATATGACCTATATGGTCCTCTAATGATATCTTTACTTAGTGCCCCAAAACTTTGCCATGAGATTTTTAATGTTCTCAACCTAACAACTGAGAGAAAAAGGCACGGATGTCTTCATACTTCTCTCATTTTGAAAAAGGCCATTCCTGTGAGCAATGAATCAGATCCTGCCTGATGCTGCGGTCCTATCCGTTCCAGCTCTAACTGTTCAGCAACTTCCTGTAAACCACCCTAGAAGACAGAAAAATTGCCTGTCAAAAGAGAGACATTGCAATGCCTGAATTCACAAGTTATACAACTCAGACAATGACCAAAATATCAATGAGCTTTCAAATGTATAGATGGATCTTACGGAGAATGGAAAACAGTATAGAATGTGAATTGCTAATGTATTTTTGAAAGTGGGTGCAGTTTATAATTTAATAGAAAATTAGAGCTTGATTGGACAAATTTATTTTTATCATATGCTTTAAGGCACATGATAGCAAATAACTTTCCTAAAGCTATGGGGGAAGCCAAGCAGGTACAAAGTGACAGATATTAAATTAAGTATTTTAGTCAGGAGTATTTCAATGGTACCTACAGGGTAACATTATCGAGTACATGCAGTCTGTCCACTGATCAATCATTATAAAACTGACTGTAGGGAGTTGCTTTCACATTTTCTTAAGCTTCTCAGTAATCTATCTCTAAATAGTTTCATCTAAATAATTCGTGTAGAACAGGCTATTACGACTAACCAAATCTTAAGAATTCACCAAGTGATCAACTATGGGTTTGCTGGTTAAAAAGAAACACATGTTTTCGTAATTCAACTCCTTAGAAGGGTGTGCTAACAATCTGCTCAGATCAATACCGACAGGACTGAACAAGAAGGACAGTGAGAGTGGAAGGAAGGGAAAGAGAAGAGCAGATGAGGGAAGGGAGGAAGGAGTGACAGGGAGGAAGGGAAGGGTAACAATGGGGGACAACGGGAGAAGAGAAAGTACAGAAAGCAAAGCAAGATCAGGAAGAAAAACCAGGCAGAAAGACATTCCTCTTTAAATTGTTAAGGCCTCTGCTAGCAAACCAGCCCTTCCATTTATCAGGCTTAAAATAGTGCTTTGCACAGCAGTTGCTTCTGTGCTAAAAATAGCATGAGGATTAGGTGTCATTTACTGCCGCTTAGGCGAACAGAACAGGGTCATTCAGTGTGGTGGACTAGAGGTCAAAAAGCACCTTTACCAGGAGCCTAAATTTTATCACACCAGGATATACTCAGAATATCTGATATACTTAGAAATTTTCCAAAAACATATATACTAATAATTTGGTTCTCTGCTTGCAAAAACTGTCATTTTTACCAGTATCAACTTTAAAAAGCATCTTCAAAGCTACACTGAAGCATTCAGGTCTTGGATTCTCAGCATGTAATACTCTCAGGGTGCAGAAAGATACTGCGGAACAGGAAGAATATCCTACTGAAAGTTCACTGGAGTCACAGCTAAAAGTCTGCTCAAACTGTCCAGAATTCTGCTGCTCTTGGTGCTGCAAATGTTAAGTAATCTTTCCTAAAACCTTCCCAAAAGATTCTTTCTCTTACAACTTTCAGATCTGTCAAAGCTAAGTTTCCTATTGAATTCCTGAAATCTTTCTGCTTAAAAGTAACATTTTCAAAGTTTTTACTGTCTCCTAAAAGAATAACTATTTGCACTTTAAAACCCAGTGAGGAGAAAACTTGATCAAACTTGATGTAGGTTCTATGAAACCAGCACTTTACCCAGTTTCCTTTTTTTGTCACAGCTTCAACACAACTACACCTGAAACAATAAAAACACTGTACCCCTTATGGGCCTCCGCCCTCACAGGTGAATTCATTCTCAAACTAAAGGAGCACCTTCCCTTAATGAAGAAACTTCTCTTTAAAAACAATGTTCAAAAGTAACAAACTATTACATATATTAAAGTGTCAGAATGTAAGTTGCTGTCCAGATAGGGCTTTTATTTACTATGGGATTTATCACTAACAGGTCAGCATCCTTGGGCTGGAGAGGGGAAAAAAATGCTTTCGGCTACGTAATTTAATCCCCGGAACACGAGCCTAGGATTGGATCCAACAAAATAATCTCTGGTGAAGATCAGCTGCAGGAGGGACTTGCACACTACTGACTGTACTGCACACCGCCGGCCACCCTGGAGTCTGTCCTACACGGACAGATTACGTGCATGTTGGGAGTGTGTAGACTTGCACTTTTGTGCATGAGAGCCTCACAGTTTCTGTGCTGGTTTATCATTTTCAATCTGGCAAGCGATGACAAAAATCTTATCCTTGGTTTGAACTTCACTGAAAACGTATTCTGCCAATATATATTAAAACTTTGTGAAATAATTTCCTAGAAAGCATTATTTATGCAAGAAAAAATTAATGACCAGATAATATAACTGCACTTAATATAAAAGTAAAAAATACGGTCTGAATCAATATCCTAGCTTAGGACCTGCCAGTCGCTCAGTCTCATTTGTGTACTGATTACAGATAAAGCCACTGAGAACCTTACTTTGAGATTTTTGCAGCTCTTCATGAGGTACTTCACATCATAAATGACAGGAAAAAACAATCGAAGGATCTCAAAGAAGTCAAGTTCTTCTTCAGGCAAGTTAGAGTTGGTCAGGATTTTGATTAAGTAGCCAAAGTCATAACCACTATAAAAGGGTTAAAAGAATACAGAAGGACTGTAAGTACCACAGAGATGAAAAACCTTTTCTGGTACAAATTTTAAGAGAGTCACACTGTAGGCAAAAAAGGAATCGACAAAAATAAATTAATTAAAGGTGCACAAGGACAGAAAATAAACACTCACGATTACAATGGGAAAGTCATCCTCTCACACAGACCCTGTCATTCCATCCCTTGGACATCAACCTGCAAACCTCCAGCACCACCCCAAGCCCGTTGTCACTAAGCTACTTGGCTGACCTTTGTACAGAGATGATGTCTAAAAAATTCAAGTAACTACAGAAAGGAAGAAATAACAATGAATGCAAAGCTGGCCAAAACATCAAAAGGCAGCAAGAGAAACAGCATTTGGGAGGCAAAAATAATGCAAATCTTCCCATCTTTTACAAATAAAAGAGGTCACATACATAAAAAATCCAAAGAGTTAAATTCCCTGCCAAGGTATACTCACTTCCTTTACCTGACTTTATTAGTAAGTACCCTCTTCTCTCAAAGTTCTGTGCCTATCTCACGACAGCTCCCCAACAGACACTAATGGGGACGTTGCACATAAAGTGAAGGCAGCAAAGGCCAAGAACTATCTAGAGAACAAAATACAAAGCCCCTCTCAAATCAAGGCCTCCTGCAAGTCGTCTGTCATCGTCTGGCTTTCCCGCAGCTTCACAACTCCCTGCAGGCCCGCACCACAATCACACACCTCCTTTCCTGTCTACCTTTCTTCTGAGGGCCTCTTACAGATGCCCTCCCTGAAGAGCCCAGCTCCCACAGATTACTCAGACAAGTTGCTTTCTTGTACTACCCTTTAAAATGCATGTGTTGTTTTCTCTGCCAGTTTAAAGGGCGGAAATCCTATTTAAAAATATTTTTTCTTGATTGCACATGGCTGGAACTCAACATTTGATGAGATATATTATTAACTTATCTTCTGAGGAAGATAAAAATAAAATTTCCATTTAAATTTAGAATTTTATTTCTATTGGGGGTTTGGGGGTGGGTGGAGGTGGGAGAGGGTATAGGGGAGATAAATAGTAACAGAATACAATAAAAACATGTCAAGATTTTTACTTATCTAAAAGAGAAAAAAAAAAAGCTTTAGCACTACAGACCACTTAGAAATATCAAGGTATAAACAATAAACAGCAGAAACCTTTAGATTTCTGGTAACTGGCAAGAAAGTGCTCTGCTGTCGACCTAAAATATAAGCCAACGTGGCCTCTGCCTACTGCTAGTAGAAGTAAGATTATGTTGGAGTTTAGGATTTATAGATTTCTTAAATTACTAGAGATCCTAATATGAAGAAAATATTTAATGACATTTTCTAGAATAAAATCCTAACACATGGTGAGAAGTATTCAAATACAGGAGTCTGGTCTAGACTACTCTCTAGGACAACATGGACCCTTTCTGTTTTTGTTCATCGTACTACCCCCAGTGTGGAGTACACAGTATCTGCTTACAATATTTTTTGAATGCAAAACCATGTAATATATAGTAAAAGGGCAGGAGAATTCTTCCCCATTCTTTTGTATCCTTCTGATCAGGAAAGTAAAAGAAGAACTCAACATTCCTCAAATTAACAAAGACTTAAATCTCGTTTCCTGAGATTCGGGCTCAGATGGAGCGAAGAGAGGAAAGGTGACAGGTGGGAACAAGCGTGCTCAGTGTCTCCAACTCAGAAACCCGATCAGCAACGCGTCCGCATTCACAACACAAGCAGTCCTTCTCTCTGATCATTCCACAGGTCAGAGCCGAAAATGGTCAAGTATGTGGGAGACTCTTATTTAAGGGGGAAAAAAAAATTAAAAACGGTCAAGAGGACCCAGTGTAAGAACATAAACACCTGCATAATACAACACTTAAAGAAAAACGTAACAAAAGGCCCAATCAAACCATAACCAATGCCACTTTTAGTCCCTAGGATGCCAATTTAATTCGTTTTAAATAGGCCTTCTCTTTCTCTTATCCAAAGTCTATTTTTACAAATGAAACTAATTTCCTTACTGGAAATTCTCAACGATCTAGTTTTATTTTCTAATAACAAAGTATTTAAAATACAGTTTCTGAGAATTTACTTCAAGTAAAGCACTGGTTTAAATGTCATTACTGATCTGTCCAACACACCAACCCCTACCATTTTGGTTTTTTTTCTCCACAGGTGCTTATCACCATCCAATGAACCATAATACAAACATCATCATTCAGCAAAACTGTGTGCCTACTCCCACCAGAAGGTAAACTCCATGAATAGAAGGATTTTAGGGTTTTTTTGTTCGTCTCTTAATCCCTAGAATTTTATCACAGTACAAGGCATATGGTAGATAATATTTCTTAATGAATGGTTTCATTTAGGCTGGGTAATACTAAATTATCGTAGGTAACAGACTCCAAATGGCACTGCTGCTTAAGTCAAGGCCCACTTTCCTAGCCTGTACCCTTTCCGCTATGCAGTGCTCTCTCTTGTGGCCCCAAAATGGACCCCGTATTACTAGCCTTTAAATAGACAACGTTAGTTCCTTAAGAGTTAGGAGACAGCTATATGGTGGCTGACTTCTAGAACTAGGCCTGAAAGTGCTGAACCAGGGACCCACGCCAAGGGGGAAACAGCCAGGAAAGGGTAACACATATGCCATTTTCTTTTTTTGTTTACCTTTCCCATTAATTTAATTTAATTTAAGCATTTCACTCAAAACTGTTGCAGTGTGAGGCTTTCTGTGGCGAAAACACACACGCCATTGTCAATGCAATCTTTTTACCTATGAAATGATAACCATTTGACCCCTTCACAGAGGACCACTCCCGAAGTCATGAGGAGTTCTGCAAAGTACTGGGTCTCAATTCCTTCCTCTTCATGCTTTTTAAACTGGATACCAGATGTTGTTAGTAGCTCTATAGAGTCTTGGGCATACATGTCTTCCCTGGCAGGAGAAGAAGAAACACAACATTCAAAAGTGCCATACTTTAAACTGTTCTTCCCAACTTACAGCCACAACTACAATGCCACAGACGAGACAGAGCATTGGCCGGGGTTCAGTTGTTTCAATGTTTCTCACATATGGAAATAAAGTACAATTTAAGTATAAAGGCCATTATTTCAGAAAAGTGTGCACATGTTAAATAACCATACCAAACAGTCAAAAAGTGAGATTTTAATCTTAACTATGAACTGAACTTCATTAGTCTTTCAAAGTTAAACAAATTTAAGTGGGTTTGCAGGAAAGGGTCTTCTCCCCACTAGCACCACAGACTCGTCCTCCCCCAGGGCTCTCAGCCACTGTCAGCCTTAATGATAATCAAATGGCCCCAGTGTGCAGTCAACTGACCAAAATAAAGGACTCTGCTACCACAGTGATCATTTCCTCTTTTAACAACCTTACTCTTAGATTATCTCCCAAACTTCAAGCCAGGAAATCTAAATATAATGAACCAATCCTTCAAGACTTGACTTTCTAAGTACACACAGGTATCCAAAATACTGAATTAAATAAGTGATCAAAATGAAGGTATATGTTTCAGAGAATGAAAAGTATTTTATACACTGTCCATTAGACTGTTCTTTTTATTTACTCTTTAAATGGTAAGAATACTGCTCTCCATCATTTAGCAAGAGACCATCCTAACAAAAGCTTTAACAAAACTCATTAAACGGAAAGCAACATCACACTTGAACCAAAATGTATTCTTACAGTCTCCTCTCTGGAAATCAATTTGCTTCCAAATGTCTTTGAAAAATAAAACTAGCTACTGAAATATTTAAAAACAGAAAAAAAGACAATTACTGTCAAAATTCCCCCTGGAAAACCCTTTAGGAAGAATATCTGAATAAGCCCAATACAAGCTTTTTTCATTAAACAAGAGCCATCACTGGTCTTCCTGTACTAAAAGCATCTCTTACACAACCAGACTCTCATTCATCAGGCTGGGATCCTCACACAAGAGGCATGTGTTAGCAGCTGGAACCAACCCAAGGCTTACCCTTCTCCAGACTCACATTATTCTGGGCCATACGTTTGCTTTTAGTTTACTGTCTCTCTCTCTCGACCAGAATGTAAGCTTCAGGAGGGCAATCATTTTTGTCTGTTTTGTTCAATGTTGTATCATCAAACCAAAAAATATGTGAGGGGGAAAACCTCATATATGAAGTTTCTTCAAATGTCAGGGCTGCACTATTTAAGCCAGCATCTCCCAAACCGGCCCAATGATAACAAACCATCCAGAGAGCTAACCAGAAATAAAGACTCCCAGCATCTCCCAAACCCGCCCAATGATAACAAACCATCCAGAGAGCTAACCAGAAATACAGACTCCCAGCATCTCCCAAACCCGCCCAATGATAACGAACCATCCAGAGAGCTAACCAGAAATAAAGACTCCCAGCATCTCCCAAACCCGCCCAATGATAACGAACCATCCAGAGAGCTAACCAGAAATACAGACTCCCAGGTCCCACACCTAGACCCACCGAATCCAACTCTCAGGAGAGACTGGAATGACTACCTGGGGTGTTTCACGATCAAGCTGGTGACAATATATGTACACTAATTTTTTCCCTGCATAGTTCATATAGCACAGTTCAGGTAAGTTAATGTCATCTAAACTTCACTGGGCTAAATATTTTGTCATTTGTTCATGATTTGTAATACCTGTAACCAGAAGGAGAAAGCTGGGAGCCTCCAACTCTGATAAAAATGTGCACCGAGTGGTAAGGGAAGCTCCCTAACTGCCATGACTCAGTTCTGTACATCAAAAGACTGTCCCTTTTCCACGGTGACCACTGAAGTTCTGAAACCATTCCACCCTGACTTCCCCACCCTAAAAATCCTAGCAAATACAGGAAAATATTAAAATGCTAATCTCAAATAAGTCACCTAATTATTGTATACACGTTAGAACCGCTTTGGCAGCCAGGACTGGCTTCCGGATAAAATCACTCTGTTCCGAACAGCGACGAACAGTAATGTGACACTGCCCCTAACAGCCCCTAACACTGATCAACGACTGAAGTTTATGCTGACGAAATACCCAGCTGTGATAACCGAACAGAAATGAAAGCCATGTACAGATCTCTAAAAGAATTCTTCCAAAAAAGAAGTACAACACTGTCCATCTTAAATAATATCCTAAGGTCAGAAACAAACTCAACTAGGTAGGCTGAATTCAGTGAATGTATTGAAATTACCTCTACCTACAATTACAAACAGAGCCTGCCATACAAGCTCGCATTTTTAAACACGCAGGTTAGAGATTTTACAATTCAGGAATACCCTCCAAACTCAGTACACACCTGGCTCACCACCAATTTCACTTTTTTGAATTATGCTGAAAATCATGAGTAAGAGGTAAGTAAACTGTGGAATACAGATTGATGCAAGTACAGACAATTACTAAGCTTAGTATTTAATGAACTCAAACTGGTAAGAACACCAAGATCCTCCCAAATCTGCAAAGGCTGTGAGCAGCCTGCAACTCCCAGGCCAACAACTCTGCTACACCCTTTGAATCCCTGTGCACTACCTGTAACACGAGAATACGAGCCATCTTCATCCCTTCTACTGAAGGTCCTGTCCACCTCCTTCGCAAGCCACTCTCCTTAAACGAAGTCCTCCTTTCCGTTACCATGGAAGCCATAACCCCCTTATCTCTAACACAGCATTCAAATGATTCTGTAAACACCAAGAATCACTGTACTCGACAAACTGATGACTCTCTAACAAAGTCATTCTCATCCCTTCTGACCTGTCAGTGGAACCTGCCCACAGCTCTCGTCTTCCTCTCAGCTCATCAGTATCCCACTTCAGTTTTCACGGACATCTCAACCCAGATTCAGTTTGGAGATAATGTTCACACATCACATCAGTTTCCAATCATTCTAATGCTCAGACTTTAGAAATAGGGAACAGAGGGAAGAGGTGAGGGAACACTGAGTTACAACGACTGTGATTACATTTTCTCAATTCTACATCCCTGATGCCTGGCTGCTAACACATTCGTTCTATGCCCTTAATAAAAAGTGAATGTCCATCTTTTTCCAAAATATCCAACATTCTGTTCAAAGTGCTCTGTCTCCACATTAGGTAATACTGGTTTTATCTTCCAACTGACCTTTTCTACCTAAGTAGTGTTTTTCATGATATCCTTCCCCTTAAAAATCTCCCAAGACGTTAACACTGGTAGAAATGGTACAGCAAATGTACAGTAGCCCTCTCTATGAAAGAAAAATGTCTTTCAGAGATTGTAAACTTGAAGGGTCACCTCCTACTTATGTACTGAGATCACAACAGCACTTTAGTTAAAAACTATGTTCTAATAATGACCAGTTTGGAAAAAAGTAGCATGGAACAAATGAAATGATAAAGAAATAATTTTAGAAGGCATTGTTTTGGGAAGAGGATAAAAGCCACTTTCTGTATTTCAGAGCTATGGTACTTATAAAAGGTTATCATCAGTTTTAATAGAGACAAGTATTTTTTTTATTCTTTACAAGGTTCTGGAAAATACTTTTTAAAACCCAACAGAGCAAAACAGGGAGTTGGGCTACACACAATGCAATTATAAGCCATACTACTGCAATGCCGACAGAGTCCCCTGCAAAACGATCCATCCTCTTTTCTTTACATTGTGAATGCTAAGTGTCACAGTGTCCACAAAGACTGGGACGTCCATGCACTGGCACCACCACCAACTGTCTCACATCTCCTCTTCCTATTTTTCAGATCAGATGTTACATTACATTACACAAGTGCACACTGTCAAATAGAATACTGCAATATACTCTGAATGTATTAAATATTTCCCCAACTTACAGTCGGTTTGTAAACAGCCCTTGGCCCAAACAATCTACATTTCCCTAAGCTATCAAGACTACTCTTACCCTTGAGAGAGAAGGATTACAAGGAAGGAAACTGGGTTTTGACCCAGGGGTTGAGTTATTCAGATTCTGGACAACAATCTGCCCGATTCTAAACTGTTTCTGAAAGAAACACCAGGTTAAAGGACACTATTACTTCTACTACATGTTCTAAGAGGTTTTGTGAGCTGCCCTGAGAATGTAACCATTATATAACATTGCTTTGAAAGGAAAACACACCCAAGTTTCCAAGAAATACCTTATCACCTCTGACATACAATCTCATAAACTAGAGAATGACTGTTGTAAAAATCTCCTCACATGAAGCACAATTATTAAAGTGAAACTAATGTTCTAATTATTTTTTTCTATTACATATTTTCAACACCCAAGTTTTCCAAATTTCAAAAACACAGCAGTTACACTTTTCATGTAACATTTCTGAAATTCAAAGTACATGAATTTAAGAGTGTTCTTTATTCAATTTCTTTTTTTGCTAATAAAAAGAAAAAACTTAACCTTTGAAACTAGGTTTTAATTATTTCCAGGATAACTATAGTATATTTTCAGTTAGAATTTCATTCACTATACTTGAGGCAAATCAATTCCAAATTAAACTTAAAAAAAAAAAAAAAAACCCAAGAGTTTGAATTATATTTATTTCCCACTTACGTCAAATTAAATTTAAAATTAAACTGCCAAGTTGAAGTTCCTGGAGGGTATTCCCCTTGCTCATTCATAAATGTCAGTCCCAGCTGAATTATCTTTAACAGGTCTACATTACATCGCAGTAGTTGGTACTGATAGTCGGCATTGCTCCTGAACTCTCCAATGGGTCTTGCAACCACACCTGGGAACTCGGTGTCCTATAAAATAGTTTTAAAGTTCATTATTTACTAAAAACCACAGTCCACAAATTCCTAGAATAAGTAACCAATTTTTGGTAAAAATCAAAGAATCCTGTTATAGATAATATTCTACACATATTCCATTACAAAGTACCTTTTAACTAAGAAGAGCATTGCTTTTTGGAACCATAAAATGAAACTCTACAAACTTAATGAGTTTTTCTAACTTTATATACCGTATCAGTAAAAAAATTACTATGTATAAGATACACATGATAAATGCAACTGAGTATTCTTATTCCCCCCAAAAAGAAAAAATCATAAGTTGGTATTTCTCAAGGGTATGTAAAACTATTCTATTCTAATGTTAAAATCAATAATGAACTGGTCAAAAAGGGAAAAATGCATCATACTTTCCAATCACTTTTCTCAGGCAAGGTTTCTCCAAACATCAAACCCCACTAATTTCTTCAGCTAAAAGAGCACTCACTCCACACTCTAGAGAAACCCTGTCACCAAAAACCGCATGCCAGCCAATCAGGGCTGCAGAACGTCACCACACCTCTAACGCTGTCACTCCTTACCATCTGCGGAATAAGTGATCGCTAGCAATTTCTGCTGGGTTAAAAATTTTAATTCTAGCTATGAGTACGTACATCTTTATTATTAAATTAAACATTATCTATGTACACTCAAATACTCACAGTTTAACCAATCAACTTGTCTTTCTCCACAGAAGCATATTTACTTGTATTAACAATAATGAGAAAACGATACGTTAGTTTAGCATTAAAGTTCTAATTAGGAAGCCAAGAGCAATGTCTAAATACCAACTCACTACAAACAGTAAGGCCATTAAAACTTTTTATAATTCAGTCCAAGTCAATAACCACTTTACTGGAAGCTATGTGTTATGCTAGGTGCTTCTCAAAGCTAACTGGCTAGAAAACAGTAGAGAAGCTATGACAGATGTACGAGATACAGTAGCAAAAAAGCAAAATAGTTAACTAAGACAGTCTAGGCAGACTGAATAGTACAGGCAAAAGCAGAGATGCTTAATAGCAGTGTGTTCAAGGAACTCTCCTGATAATTTATAAATAAATAAAGCACTGCAGATCAACAGTGTTTCACTGGGAGAGCTGATATATTTTTTTGTTTGAGAAAGATATCAGGAGTTTCCTAGCTTACAGGAGCCCATCTGGAATGATCAGTTAGGCCTAAGTACAGCGAGAGGCTGACCTGGTACTCAGCTAGGTTCTTCCAGTGAATATAAACAAAGTCACACTTCAACATCAGACAAGGCCACTCTGTAAGCATGACTGCATATGGACAAAATCACAAACATTGTCCAAACCACAAAAATGGCCAACACCCTTCTTTCTTGGTTAATTACTGACGTGTTGCTTCTTTACAGCTTTGGGCTTACTCTTGTTTTCTCTCATTCTTAGTTAAGACGTACTAAGAAACCCTATCCTAGAATTACCCAAGCTTCCCGATAACATCCAATCCAGATCAAAGCCCTGCTTCCTTAATTCCTAGCTAAAACCACCTGACACAAGATTCCCCCTACAGTATGCATTTTCCCTCATTCCGATGAGGAATAAACCCAACTTGTCACATTATAGGTGTGTTCCCAGTGATCTATGGTTGGAGGACACACACAAAATTTTCTTTGAGTAATTAAATTAATCCCTAAAAGAAAACAAAAATCAACCACAAGGGTTGAATTCTAGACTTTCAAAATCCCTCTTCCCCTTTCATAAGCAGCATTTTAAGGATTATTTGATCATAGGCATACCATAGCAACGTAATTATATTTTCGAATAACCTGACGAATTTTCTTCATCTCTTCATCCAGGTTACAAGCCCAAACTTCACAGATTCTTTGGCTATGATCTACCGTTGCTGCTGGCATAGTGAGGGCACAAGGAGTCTAGCTGCCAAGCATCAAAATGTTATACTTGATTGAAGATTCTGTTTCATAAAATACTTTATCCTTTATTTGTATACCTGTGAAAATAAAAACCAAAATAAAATCCAGCTATACCAGAAATCAGACCTACAGAATAACTAAATTGACAGAAACCAAAGAAATTGCTTGTTTTACGTGTGCATACTAATCGTTTCTCACTAATTAAAGACTGCTCTGAATTCCAGCTCACTCTGTAAATAAAAATTGGTAAACACAGCCATTTTCAGACAAAAATGAAAAGCGAAATACCAATACCCATGTGAGATCAGATATTACTAGGATAGAAGTACTGTTTGCTTTTATTCCTTATTAACAGAACACTCAGAATCTGATTTGATTTAAAAAACCTCCTTTACTGACATCTATTTAAGACGGATTGGAGGGGACAAAACCAAACCAAGTTAAAAATCTTTCTGAGGAATAAGTTACACAGAGATCGTCTGAATGTCAACAACTGCAGGAGGGAGAAAGACATTTCTGATGGTTTCTCTCTAATTTCCTAAAAATCAGAGCAGTTTCTCTGGTTACCAAACACACGTCTCACATTTCTGGACTATAATACACTGGTTTCATGGTATACAATGGGAAAGACCAGTATTTTGATTCCTCAACAGGGAAATGCTCCTTCCCTTTTCACAGTTTGAAAAAGAAGCATAACAAAGGAATAAAAAAAAGATACTACGAACTCCCCCAACCCTTCTAAACTCAGCAGTCCCGAAAGTTACCCGATGCTCTGAGAACAGAAACCGGATCCAGGAGACCCCTCCCTCATAACCTTCCCCGCTGTGCTGCACACACACTTTGCAAACGCCCTGCAGTGGAGGACTGCCTTTCTCTACCTCTCTCTGCTGCAACTCCAAAGGCGAACAGGCATCAGAGACCTCATTATTTCAGGTAGCATCTCCGTACTGCAGGCTCCCAAAGAACCGAGAGAGCAGTACAGGAACAGTCAAGCCATAGCTAACTCTCTCCCCTGGCAGAGAGCCAGGGTGAAGGTGCTGATAACCAGTACCGGAGCCAGATTGACTCCCAAGCACTGCTGGGTGAAGGAATTCGAGGGGCGGAGGACTTAGGCCACCGCCCTCCACTCTCAATTTTCCTCCCACCACACCGAAGCCCCAGGTACAAAGCCTTTGCGTCATCATTCCGCGCCACCCGACCCCCACCCCGACAAACCCCAGTTACCATCCCCCCGCCGCCCCCCGCTCCGACCCGCTCCCCAGCTCATTGCTTCGCCAGCCGCACTCCAGCTGGCGCCATCGCGCACCCTCTCAGGTTCGCTGTCCCCAACCCCTGTCCACTTCCCCAGCCGCCCCTCCCCCCGCAGTCTGCGGCAGACGCAGGATCTACTTGTGTCACTGAGCTCGCGCTTCTCCTCCTCCTCCTCGCCATAGAGACAGCACCCAGCGGCGGTGGCGGGAGCGGCGGCGGCAGCGGACGCCCCATAGACACCTCTCGCCCAGCAAGGGGGGGGAAGGGGAGCCGGAGCTGCACCGCACCGTGCTGCGCCGTCCTGCTCGTACGTCCTGGAGGGGGGCTCTCGCTGATGACGCGCCACGCAGAGGGGGCGGGGCACGCAGGTGACGGAAGCTGGGGTTGGTGAAACGTAGGGCGGTGAGGTTGCCCGACTGCCTGGTTTGGCGTCCGGGCCTTGGAGGTAGAGGGGCGGCCCGTCCCAGGCCGCGAGTCTCCTCTCTACGGCTGCCCGCAGTCATGTCCCTCAGGACCCGAGGACTCCCAGCTGGACTTGCTTAGAGAAGACGCGGCCACCCAGCATTTGGGTCCCTTGCACGGTCGGCCGCTGGAGAATCGCCGGGCCGAGCGGCCGGGAGAAGCAGGCCACAACCGTCGTCTAGGGCCTCGGCCCGGGGACCCGTGGAGGATGAGCTGGCTCTTCCCCCTGACCAAGAGCGCCTCCTCCTCCGCAGCTGGGTCCCCCGGCGGCCTCACCAGCCTGCAACAGCAGAAGCAGCGCCTGATCGAGTCCCTCCGGAGCTCCCACTCCAGGTGACTGCTCGCTCCCTCTACGACCGGCGCAAAGAGCGGGGCGGGGAGGAGGACTGCCGGCTCCCCCCACCTGCCTTATTTGCTTAGACTGGGGCTCCACGGTCTTTCTCCCGTCTCTAACCCAAGTTCAGGATTTCCCTCTGGATCCTCCGCACCCGCTCTTGCCCCACTCAGTTCTTACAGTTCTGACCCGCTCATCGGCCCTGACACACGCTGCTGACAGTAATCTGTCTCTTAGTCTTCATCCAGTATCCCTCTCCGTGCCCTGCTTCCTCGCTATACTTTCCCTTTGGACACCTGATTGTCACTTTGGTCAAAATGTACTTGGTTAGAAAGAAATGTGAAGAGTAATACCTAAGTTTCAAAAGAGTGGAAGATTTGGGATGGGAGGAGCTGTTGGAACATCAAAGGAAAGGCAAGCTGCAGTTTTCATCAGTGAATTCTCTGGGAGTGGCAGCATCAATCCTCTTAAGTGTCTACGTTAAGGTTTACCCTGTTCCAACAGCCTTCCCTCCCTGGCAACTACCAGCCTCTCTTACTGGCAACTACATTTCTCACTGTTACTCTTGTTCCCACACTCAGCAATTGTCTTACGTTCTTCCTAATTGTTCTGTTGTCTTCATATGAGGTTTTCGTTTTCAGCCCGGTCAGATTAGAAATATTTTGCAATTCAAATTATTTCAGCTGTTTTGCTTGTTTATTGTTCCTTTTTTTATATTGAAAATATCTCTGGCCTCTAATGGTTTTCAAAAATTAGTGCGGCCGCCTTATGTTATAGTATGAATTATGCAAGTATATTTTCTTAACAGTGCCATGGCATATAATTTAATGAAAAGATGTTAATATCCTTCAGCCCTAACCTTTTTAAAATGATAAGTCCCATTGAAAAACTAATGGCCATTTTATCTGTTACTCTGTTTTTCCAAGCAAGTAAGTTGTGGTGTGGAATTGTTTTAAATTAGATAGATTGTTAAGAGAAATATTCACTGCAAAATCAGCTTGGCTAAAATGAGGCCTATTGGTGATTGAACTTCAGATGTTTCTTGGTTCTTTGTCTCAATTGTTCTGCTTGTTCAGAACTTTCAAAAGGTGAAAATTTGTGATATTTAACTGGAAAGAGTGGCGTGCTATTTGATGTAATGGTGGCTTTCCTTTTGGAAATTAAGTTCATAGAATTCTTTTTAAGTTTTTTTTCTAAAATGTATTCTGTACTTACCTGTAAGAGCTTCTCTTACAAGATATGCTTATAGAACAAGATGACTTACTTTTAACAAACATAACAAAAGTCTGTCCCGTTAGAAAGTGTCACCTTGTAAGACTATTTATATACTAAATTAGTACTACTGTTGCCAAAATACTTTTTAGAACCACACTTTTGGAATTCATTGCTTTAACACCTTTAGTATATTCTGTTAAACATTCTCACTGCTGGCAGTTTTTTATTCTTCAAGTTTGGAGTTGAATTTTTGAAATACTCCAAAGTCTCTTGCTGCTAGGGCTGGTAAATACAGGAAGCGATTGATCTGTAATGTATTGGGGAGGGGCAAATACCGCGAGATTCTAAAGCAGCTGGTAAAAAACGATCTGTCTCGATCTGTCTCTGCGGTATACTGCAGCTTAAAGATGTTTGTTTAGACAGACACTGATTGGCTATTCTGAAGGGGCACTGTGCAGAAGTTGCAATGTTTTGAATAGTATTTTAATGAATAATACAAAACGTCCAAATAAACTGCCCACCTCATTTTTCATAGCTATCTTTTCACCAAATGGAAGGTCAACAGCTCTTCCTGACAGTGAAAGTATCTGATTTTTTCTGCCTTCCTTCAGAACCCCCCACCCCCATTCTCTCATCTAAGAGAGATGAGAGAGAATCCCCCATTCTTCCAACTCTTAATCATCTTTCAACTCTTCATAATTCAAAAAAGTTTTATTTTAGGGAAGAATCTGTTTCTCTATGGGTGTGAACTTTTTTTGTTACCATAAAAATTCATCTTCCTCAGGCCTCTCTTAAAGGTTAGATGAGTTTTATGTGTATTTCCTCATCTAAGTCTTACTGATTCAGGCAGGCAAATGGGAAACTATTTAACCAAAGCATAGTAACATGTTTGTCTGCCGTGAAAATGGAAGTTGAAAGTTATGTAGACTGTACTCAAGTAATATAATCCACCTCTGAGTAACAATCATCCAGTGATCGACTTGCCACTGGTAATGCCCAACCTCTGGGCAGGAATAGAACCATTCTGTTGTCTCTCCCACTTTCTAAAGAAGCTCTCTGGAACGCACGCTGTTGTGTTCCCCATCCAAATGCACGTCCCCTGACTTCTTGGAAGAACACCTGTTTTTGTCTGGGTTCCCCATCTGCAAGGCCGGGTGCTTACTGTAGGTTGTGCCCTTTCAACCCCAGTAAGTAAATAAGGGTTGTTTACGCTCCTTACCATGCTGTCATTCCTCCTGCTAGTTACTGTGAAAGCAGGGCTCTCAGCCTACTTTTGGTGAGTGGCAGGTGGAGCAGAAGTCCGCTGGGGAGCTAGCTGTTCCCAGCCTTTCCTCAGTAATAGAGATGTCAAAATGAAATGCCTCTAATGTTTTGGATATTGTACTGTTACATGGGACATCTCGAACTGCTTGGATAGGGAAGGAAGACAGGCTGACTACTGAATGTGGTAGAGTAGAAAGCTGTAATGTCTGTGATAATATCGTGATGCTGAATTGCCCAGTTCTGGAAACTTTCTGCCTTGGGACTTCTTCCTGTACGAGATTAATAACCCCTTACTATTTAAGCCATTTTGGGCCTGATTTTTCAATTATTGTACAATAGTTGAAAATATCCCTAGTGATACCCACTAGTCCCAATATTTAAAGATTCTTCAGAAGTGAAGCAGTTAAGTATTTCCCTCCGTTTTACCTGCAATCAGAAAATATTAAAAACTGATGGTCCTTAACAGTTACCATTCTTTCTATCCTAGTTTCTTCTCTTTTAGTATCTGAAAGTTAATTATCTCACTTTATTTTTATTTTATTTCCTTAGTTCTAAAACCATAGCTATATTATAAATGGTAATTATTGTAATTAACTATGTAAATTCAAAGTTATACAAATGGTAATCATTTTTTATTACCTTTTGCTTAGGGATATCAACTATCTCAAGTGAAAGACTTCTGCATTTATTTTAATAATCAAATACACAGTAATTCTGATGGTATTTTTATTTTCAATAAGGAAGTCTAACTTGGGAATTATACTTACCAGAATTGCTTTTTGTTTCTTTTCTTACACTGGTATGAATAATAGTCTTAATGAAAGAAGCCATGTACCCAAAGGCAGGAGAATCTGATGTGTCAATAACCGGCAGGGCAAACTTGGGTGTTCACATAACCTCAGTGAGAGGACTGGCTATCTGAATTCTTCCTGCTCTGACGACTTTGGAAGGCAGCTATGCTCACCACTATACCACCAACGCCGCACGCTCTGACGACTTTGAAAGTCTGCTGGTTCCTAGAGTCTCTCAATGTGCATATTCTATTAGAGATAAAAGACAATAAATTGGAGCATCATAAGTGGAAATAAGCAAAAATTATCGACCTGAGAAAACAGCTTTCATTAGGTGAATGAAAACTTTATAACCAGACTGTCAAGGATTCCAGTTCTGGCTCAAACATATACTATGTTCTAGCAATAGGACCACTTGGCAGGCTACTCGACTTTCCCGAGCCTCCTTCTGTAGAATTTAGGAATTGTGATTTCTGCCATGTGGGACGGTTGATATTTAGTAAGTATAATCAGGTATTAGTGCATCTGGCATATAGTAATAACCATATGACAAATGACATCCTTTTCCCACTGCACTGAGTCAGTGTGCCTGTAACCTTTGCCTCTTAGCCCACATGCTCAATGCCTCTTAGCCCGAGCTTATTGGTCAGGAATCCTTCAAGTCTGCCTGTAGCTCGTGTATCTCTGGCAGGGCTACTTGTGACTTTCCATCCAGAAAACAAGTTCCTTCCGGAGAGTTTCTACACAAAGGCGATGTACCTCTTCTAAAGGAAGTTAAATATAGCACACATAACTAATCGAGAATATTATCTGGCACACAGCAGATACTCTGTAAATTGCAGTTATTTTTATTTTATATTTTAAAAACATTAGTGCCAATCTTCATCACCTTTAAAAATTGTTTTGAGATTTTTCTTTTGCTGCCAGTCCCTGAGTACCATTGTCAACATTTATAATTTGAGGTTTTTTCATTAAAGTTTCCAAAATTCCCATTTAAAAAAAAAGTCTTTATTATATAGAGCAATTTCAGATTCACAGCAAAACTGAGCAGCAGATACAGAGATTCCAATATGGCCCTTGCCACCTCCAACTTTTCTTTTAAACTAAACTAAACTCGAAAGATCTGGAAAGATTTGGTAACAGTTTCCACATAGCAACATTAGCTTTGAGCTGAAGAGGAGCTGTTCGCTTTGTGGGGCTGTGGGGGGCTCTTTTCCATTTTACTAGTTTGCAGTCGGCTCCCTGTTGTACTGCAAGCAACTGCCTTCATTCGTGTGCATTGTCTGACAATTATAGGTATTTGAGATCAAAACTTCCTCATGGAAGGAAATCTCCTTGTTGCAATAAAAAAAAAAAAAGTCCAAGAATCTGCTATGCCTTAGCCTATTGAAGCTATAGAAATCTACAAAATATCAACATTTTGAATCTATAAATGGATGTTGAGCTCATAAAAAACTTTAAAGTTATGTATACCAAACAATCTGTTATTAAGTGATTTTTAATTTGATACATTAAATCATATAGTCCATTTATAACCAGTGATTCATAGTTATAATTGTGGAGTATATGACACAGTAAAGCATGCTACCATTTAAGAAAAAGTTTCCTAAATAGTATCTTAACAGTTCCAATGCTAATTTCCCCTTTGTAGTCTCAGTCAGTACCTACCTTGAAAAGAAATGTTACCATACAGGCAGTCATTTCTCCATTGCTAGTTAAGTCCAGCCATAACTGCCTCTCCCCTCCCACCTGTGAATGAAGAAATCAATCTAACTATCTAAAAGTAGAGAATAGAGTAAACAATATACTAGAATATTATGCTAATAATATTTTAAAAATTTAAAAAGGTTGTAAAATTACACTTATTTAGAAAGGTAATTACAATAAATTACTGTGGGGAAAAGAGCAAGTTACCAAACTGTATATGTGGTGTAATTATATTTTTGTTTTAAATAAGACTGTGAATATAGAAAGATGATTAGAAGGTTATATACCAATGTGTTGGAAGTGCTTACCTGGGGCATACAAGGTCCTGAGTGATGTTTACATTCTTGTGGATGAAAAAGGGGTTCTATGTAAACTAACCCCACAGGGTAGTCTGATCATACATTCATAACTGGACAGGTCACGGTAAGTAGTCATGCCCTGGGCCTATATAACTGTTTAGTAAAAAGCTTATCTTTGCCTTAAGCAAGACCCTATCCAGTATTTTCATATTCTAGGTTAACACACCTTTGAAATACGTGTAACCACCCTCAAGAGGGGACATAATCTTAACTGTCTGTAATTCACTTCCTACCTGGCTTTCTCCCACTTCCATGTAGTCTTCCTTACGTTCCCTCCTTAATTTCAAGTGCATAAATCAAGCTGCAAAACTCATTCTCCAGCATTTGAGACCTTGCTTCCCAGTAACTCGTCAGTCTGTGCTCAAATGAGTTCTTACAACATTTTGTGAAGGTTTGGGTATTTCTTATGTTGACATTCTCTTTGCTTGTTCTATTTCAGTGAGACTGAATTATTTTTTAAATCAGTTTTTTTAAAGTTATTAAAAATAGCAAGAACTTCAAAATCACATTTGTGGTGAATATTAAGGGAATGATCCTTGGATTAAATAAGTAGGACAAATATCTCCATTTTGTCTAATGCAGCTAGTATAGGGGAGGACAAAGTTTTCCTAGACACTTAAAAGACCCTGGCAGGGTCTGAAAATTAAACTGACAGAGTCACAAGAGAAAAGCACACAGATTTTTGTCATCTAAGTTATACCTGACACAGGAGCCTTCAGAAGGAAACGAAGACCCAGAGAAACAGACCTGAGTATGTTATGCCAGATTCGGTGAGGAGGGGATCAGAGTGGTGGAGGAATATGACGAGGAGTTAAGGAGTTAAAAAAAACTGTGTCGATGACACGGTGCATTTGAGGATGCTATCAGTTTCCTAGTCCGGACGTGATCCCCAAAGAGAAACGTTCGTAAAATTTTTGTTAAATTCCAATGTTGACTCTCATCTTGAGTCTCTTGTTACTTGTTTCTTCTCTCCAGTCATAGCCCCATTCTGTGGATGTAAGGAGAGAAAGCTTATCAACATCTACAATTTCTCTAAAACTGTGTCTCAACACTTTCGAACCTTTCAGGCTACCTAAAATTTACATATTGTAGAGGCTAGGTTTTTATCAAAGGCCAAAAAATGAAGTAGTTAAAAAAATGAGGGAAAGGAGGTTTTCTACAGCTATTGGTTGAAGAAACCAAAACAACAAAAAATAAATTATTAATGTTAAATGCTACACCTCTTTCAAAGGTATTCATTCTTGAAAAAGTTTATGTCAATCATGACTCATTAATACTACTTACCATTTTTCCCTTTGGAAATGTTATGAATATTTCTTAGAATTCCATGTGAGCCCCCCAAAATTTGGCTGGCAAATTATAATTGTAATAATGTATGCCTTCTAATTAACAATAAAATAAAATTCTGAATGTAGAATGTTAAAATATAAGGGACTTAGAGTGGTTGGCAATTATGTCTAGCTGCTAGTAACAAAGACTCCCAAAATAGTGACTCACACCCAGTAAAAGTTCTCTCGCAGGAGAAGACTCAGTTTAACATTTCCAAGTCATCAAGAACCGGTGCTACTTCCTTCTATCTACTTAGCTCTCCCCGGTGCCTGCCTTCATTCTCAGGGCCACCAATGGTTCCGTGATTAACTTCAGAGCTGTCTGAAGTCCAGCCGTCAGGTCCCAGAAGAAAGGGCAAATAGACCCTCATCAGGTTTTTGTTCCTCTTTAAGATGCTTTTCTGGAAATTCTAGCCCCAGCTTCAGTTTTTCTCTGTCTTACTGGCTGACACTTAAGTCTATGGCAACAACCAGCTGCAAGAAAGACTAGAACATTGCTGCTCAGAATAAAAGCGGGCCTCTCTTTGGAAGAAGGGGGGTAATTTGGTTTTGGAAACAGCCAGCAGTCTCCATCCTGGAACTGCAGGAGACTTCTCATCCAGATGTTTTAGGTACCACCGGTTGGCAGCAGGGTTGTAGTCAGAACGCGGATATCGTGCTAATCTGTATTAACTAGAGGGTTCACGATTGCTTCTACTAATAATGAATTGGATAAAGTGATATAAGTCAATCTAACAAGTGTTATTCTTGGGCTCTGCCACAACATCACCCCTCACCGCACACTCACACAGTGGGTGTTGCAGAAGATTATCGCCTCTTATTTGATAAACCTTTCTGTGATCATTTTCCCCTCAAAATACAGGTTATATTGGCCATCTAGAATCTGGTTAAAATTAAGAACAGTTTTGTTAGGCTCTAAAAGCATTTAACGTTTGTCTTTAGTATTAATGGTTGTATAACCTCAGGTACATTTCCTCCCACAGTATAGCTGAGATACAGAAAGATGTGGAATACAGGTTGCCCTTCACCGTCAACAACCTGACAATAAACATTAATATGTGAGTAGAGTCGTACCCCACTTTTCTATGTGACATGACTAAAAAACTTGTTTTTGTTTCTTAGTTGTTCTTAGAAATAAACTCTTTAAAGTGAAGTATTTGAACTATAACTTATCAAAGTTACACAATATTGCAAAATGAACATTTTGTATATTGCTGTAAGAAAGAACTATGAAAGAGGAAATGTGATAAACAGATGTGATAATAATCGTTAATACTGTGATCAGTTTCATTAATTTGTACTCAAGGCCTAGCTGGACGTAGGCTGAAAGAGTAAGAATAATAATAAGAATCCATGAAAGGGAGCGTGCATGGAAAACCGTTCGAGGTATATTCAGCTTTACATCTGAAAGAATTTAAAATATATTAGTTTTCGGAAGCATAAGCTACATCAGTCAGAATGTTCAAGGCTGAATTTGATCTGCTGGTTATTGTTAAAGAAAAAACAAAGTCAAAAATGCAATTATGAGGTTAATTTACTAAGTTATAAAGAGAAAAGCTGGACAGTGATTGCTGAAGTACCCATTTAACTGTAAGTGCAGTTACAAGTCTTCAGTCGGAAGGAACTGAGTTCTGACCTCCGATGGCATCAGGTGGCTGCCTTCTACAGCTGGGGGGAGGTGAGGCGGCACCTGCCTGGGAGGCAGGCCCCATGGCTCATTGCGCTCCCCATCCTCGTCGCCTAGCATGGTGCCTCACATAGGGACCTTTCTAAATCCTGGAGGAGTTCAGGGGACTAAAGCATGACTGTATGACAGTGCCAAGCATTGTGCTATGTTACCTTCATACATAGCAACTTTTTGAGTCCTCACAGTAGCAAATGAGGGCAAATTATAGATACGTAAGTAGTGATCCCATAGCCAGGATACAAATCCAGATTGGTTGGGCCCCCAAGGCCATTCATTGCCTTTTTTTACCAGACTAGTTTAACATCTTCAACTCCATGAGTTAAGTAGTTGTATTTCTCTTCAAATGTCCCATGTACGGCTTTAGTAGGAGAAGCCATCAAGGACCTGGCTTTCTTCTTGACATTGGACCAACAGATAGTTTTCTGAGCCCCCAGCGGAGCAGAGAGGCAATTTAAAGGGACACATTCTTCTGAGTTTTAGAGATTTGGCAAACAGTTTCATAGCCAGTAAAATCCCATTTTTTAAGACTTTACTCCCTAGTCTTTAATTTGTAATGATTCAGAAAAGGTTGGGATTTTCACTTTTTGTGTTGAAATTTACTGTTTTATTTTTAAACCACGTGATTGACCTCAAAATTGGGAGAGATGTGTTAATTGGGACATTTAGAAAAGAGTCATAAAGAAGTAAGGCATTGTGACAGCTATAATGTTTCATTTCTAGTACTTTCATTTACTCTTTAAAAAGTCAATAGATAGTGAAATAATTTTTGGCAGCCTTTCAAAGGTAGGAAAGCCACAGGTAAAAAAAATAGTTGGCCAGACCTGTGGCCCAGTAGCTAAGCAGGTGGGTTAATATGGCCCGTCTGCTACAGGCGCCTGCTGTGATTTTCAGTGGAGATGTTTATAGTTTGGTACATTGTGTGTGAAAGCAAGTAACTGTCACGGTGTGACAAATATTCCATAATTCAGGGCACCCATGTCCCACATTAAGAAGGTTTTCTATGGAATTACTTGTATATCCTTTTGTATATTTTCAGTCATTTCAACAACCTAATAGAGCACTAATTACTGAATGATTAATCCAAATGAACATATGAAAATTTAATTTGCTTTAGCTAACTTTGTTTTAGGATTTTTACTATATAATGTAACATTTGTTGTCTTTGTTTTTGTTTTTCATCTGTTCTACCTTTACCAGATTGCTTCCTCCACAATTTCCTCAGGAAAAACCAGTGATCAGTGTTTATCCACCAATACGACATCATTTAATGGATAAACAAGGAGTATATGTTACCTCTCCATTAGTAAACAATGTATGTTTATGGTATATTTATTAACAGGTGTATTACTTTTCTACTAAATATTTTAGAAATCTAAAATGCACTTAAAATCTCAGTCTGGAATTAGTAATTTAAAAAAATTCCACTATGATAGCACTGACCCGAAGGTGGTGTTTCAGTGGTGAGGACCTGTTGGTCTTTGAACTTGGGTTCACAGCAGCTCCTCCGTAGTTGTTAGGGAGAAATACAATTCAGGTGTGAATTGAAGTTCTTGGGATACATATGTGATTGATTAACGTGAGGGATGGAACTATGTGTTCTCAGCATTTACCTTCGAACCTTCCAATTATTACAAATAGTGAAGTTGGAAATGTTTCAGCTCCATCATTGATTAAATAGACTATTAACTTGATTTATGGTGTTGATTTTACTAGAAAAAATTATAAGTTGTGGATTGCTAATATGTTTACTTGACACAACATCCTTTGCTTTTTATTTAATTCTTTACTTGCAAATGGATTTAATACTAAGTTTTAGAGTGAAGTCATGCTAGTGAGACCCTGTAATCTTTTTCTGAAAGTGATTTTGATCATCCTGTATTGCGGTTATTTTCAGTTTACAATGCACTCAGATCTCGGGAAAATTATTCAGAGTCTGTTGGATGAGTTTTGGAAGAATCCTCCAGTTTTAGCTCCTACTTCAACGGCATTTCCATAGTAAGTATATTTATAACAAACGTTTGCATATATGTAGTTTAATCAAATTAATCAAATTGTAGTTTAAAATTCAAATGATGTTAAAAAGCAGTTCTCTGTTTTCTACATCCCCATCATCATAGAAATACAGTCATACTTCTCAGAGGCAACATTCTTCTTCTTTTATCTGCTTCTCTGATTTTTATCTTCATCTTTATAATATACACATACTGCTGACTCTCCTGTTGTTTTAGACATTATCCGTTGACTTCCTATTATGATTAATGAGAACTTTAGTAATTGTTATCTTTCACAGATCTTCCTTTCTCCTTATCTTCCCAGTGAAATTATATCATGATTTTTACTTAGATTTACTTTTGGTGTTTTTATTACTGTGACTCTCTACAAATTTACTGTTGCTGAACCAAACACATGATCATAATTAACATTTCCCTGTTACAACTTTTTGCTTTTTCTGGAGTTAATTTTATTTGCATTTTTCATTGGTTCTGTTTTCTTAGATCTCTTTCAGTTTTCCTACTTAACGGTCTTTTACACTCTCCTGGGGGCACCTCCAGCTTTCACTTCTGATTGGCCGCAAAGCTGCGCCTGTGTTTTAGATTTTTTTTTTTTTTTTTTGGTCGTAGTGTCATTCCACTTCCACGTGCTAAAAATCTTTTCTGGTTCCTAAGGCTTCATAACAAATTAGCCACAAAATTGTGGGCACAATGAAAATAATAAATCCATTTGTCATGCTCTCTAGTCTTCAATTTAGGAAGGGCTCGTCAGAGCAAGCCCTTGTCTCCTCTGCTCATCACAAGTGGCTGCCGATGTCAGCAGGTGTAACTAGACATGGTCACTGGGTCCCGGGCTTCCTCATAGCGTGATGGCTGATGTTCAGTAGCGTGTGCATCCTGGGAGACAACCTATGAGAAAGTCGCAGTGAAGTAGTTGCATGAAGTCTTTCCCTTCTGCCTACATTTGATTTTCTGAGACAGTTGCAAAATCTCGGCCAGGTTCAAGGGGAGGAAAACGAGCTTTTCCTCTGATAGCGGAGTGGTATGGTTCTGCAAGAGCAGATGGGACCAGCAATAATGCTGCAAACATTTTCATAAAATACAACGTGGACGTTTGGAAGTCCATACATTTTGAGACATTTTTGTAAATCTGTAAATACTTAGTAGTTGGTACAGGTCAGTATCTAAGTTGATGTGGTTTTTTCCTCTCAGACCTGTTTATATATGACTGTTGGTGCTAAGATGTCCAATGCTATTTAGATTTTTGATCTTTGTAACATGTTTTTGTCTTTAATGTTCTGAAACGGCACGGTGATGCAACTTCTTGTTCTTTTCTCTTTCCAGAATACTTCTTGAATTTTTTGCCCAGTCCTTCTATTTAACTGTAAACAACTTTTTCTTGGTCACAAGTCAAGGCACCTTCAAAAACGCCAGGGCATCCATCTGCTTAGCTAGATTATCGGGTTGACTGGGCACATCAGCCCAGCCCTCATCTTTGCCTCTTATGTCTGTGTCCTGGAGTCACGGGCCTCACTAATATTTTTGTTTGTTTGTTCTCTTTATCTGTTCATTTTCAAAGAAATACAGAATACTTCACAAACTTGTCTGTTGTCCTTGCTCAGGAGCCACGCTCATCCTCTCTGTGCAAACCCAGTAATAGCGCTGCCAACGTGAGCACGCACAAGAGTTCTTTGTCTAAAAACTGTGTCTCCTGTCTCCTGTCTGGATGGGGCTAGATATTAACTCATTCACTCTATCTGAACATAGAAGCCAGCAGGTTTATCTGTTATTTCGAATAAGTTCTACAATAAAGCGCACATTACTAAAAAGCAGGTTTGATACATCTATACTACAAGGTCAAAATAAGGCAAATTGGTTCAGAATTATTGACAGTAATTCAAGAATAGTACAAATATTTTCTCATGCTGATCATATTGTTTTAAATAACTTATGTTATATCTACAGGTATATCACTTATATTCCTATAGATAAAAGTAAATTTTTAAGGTAAAGATGAGAGCTTCTTTGAAATAAACAAGCTCATTAGAAAACATTTCAACTTAATTTTTTAATCTATAATATAGTCATTTAGAGTAAAAATAAAAATGTATAAAGGAGTGTGAGGTGGAAAGTCACCCTGCCATTTTTATTTCCCTTGCAACTTAGTTCTTCTCATTGGTGTCCAAAGTTGTTTGTTTGGCTGTGAATGTATAGAATTCATACAAACATGAATGGCAGTCAAAATATATAGAGATTTCATGCATATATAAGGAAATACATTCATGTAGTACTGTATTCCCTCCTTTTTTGCACAAATGGTAACACACACCTCCCCCCCCCACAGTGGTCTAGCTTGGAGAGCTTTCCATGTCGGTCACCTATAAGGCACTTATTCGTGGCTTCAGAACATTTGGCTGATACCTACAGTCCCATACTGTAGTGACACAGGCTTCAGTTGCCCTGGATACTAGTTCTGGGCAATTTGGAGGTGTCCCCTTGGAGACAGTCTCAGAAGTCAGGCTCCAGATGAGTGTACAAGCTCCTTTCTGGGACTTAGAGCTGGAGAGAGGCAAGGGGAAGGTGCGAAGATGGCAGCCACCACCTACGGTCCCTGACAGCACTTTGTCAGCCCCTGGAAGTGCAGCAAACCTGAAACCTGCTCGTCAGGCCAAAGCTCCCGCACAAGCAGATAGACCTCTTCCATAGAAAGACGGGGCGGGTGGTTCTTTCTGCTGTCTGCACAGGGCCATAGGGATGGCAGTCTGCCCAGACCCATCCTGTGACTGCTGCCGTCCCACTGGACCCAGGAACCCCAGCTCCCCTGGCCCCCAGAGCCAGGCAGTGAAAAGGCGTCTCCTGCGTAGCAGCCATAAAAACAGGGTGCACCAGACCCGAGCCCTTGAAAAGCTGTTTCTCAGTTTGCTGCAGCCTTGGGGAGCTTGTGGACTCAAGTCCCCTTGGTTTTCATAGCTCAGCGACCAGATGGCTCATCTTCCAGGGCTGGTCTTAAAAGCTGTGCCCAGTGTGGGGTTCAAACCCTTGGCTCCTCAGGGAGAAATTGTGGGTTTTGAGTTCTCTCCCCATTGCGGGTTGCCCCACCCAGGGGGTGATTTATGGCAAGATTGTATCTCGTCCTTTCCAACCCACTTCAGTGTGTGCTTTTTCTTACCCGGTGTGTAGCTATCACTCAGCTTTTAGGATTTCTTTTGGAGGAAATTGTTCCACATGTAGCTCGAAGATTCAGTGTGTTCAGGATCTTCCTACATCACCATCTTGAACTAAAACCCATATTATTATCTTACAAAAACATTGTTTTCTGGTTAAATCCCAAGTACATACTTCTGTACTTCTTTTTCCAACACACGCTTGTTTTATGGGTGCATCTTGTTTTTCGTATTGTAACGTTTTTAGCAGCTCATCTGTACATTTACTTGGCCTTTACAAGTTTTAGAAAATCATTCTTGACTTTTGATAATTTTGGTCAACCTCCACTTGAGTAAATTTTCTGGATTAAATGTTATTCACCATTCTCTCTGTGAAAACATTGATTGATGCCAGTGGAATGTGCAAAGTTGAATTGTATATTGTATACTTTCTAAAACATTTTTCTTTTTCATGGGAACCAAAAATTGGGGATGGTTCATAATTTATCAACTTATATAATATTTTATTTGGTGATATAACTAGTCTTACCTGGTATAAGTGTATTCCATCTATAACTTATGACCATCGTTCGTTAGAACAGTTTAGGAACAATTTTACAAATTTACCCGTAAATTCTGATCTGATGTTTCTCTCTATCTTTAGCCTGTACAGTAACCCAGGTGGGATGCCTCCTTACGCTTCTCAGGGTTTTCCATTTCTTCCTCCATACCCCCCACAAGAGGCTAACAGGACTATCAGTTCTTTATCTGTTGCCGACACTGTTTCTTCGTCAACGACAAGTTACACAACAGCCAAACCCGCGGCTCCTTCATTTGCTGTCCTTTCAAATCTGCCGTTACCTGTTCCTACAACAGACACTTCAGCACAGGTCGGTATCTTTGGTTAGCTAAATTTCGTGTCTTTGAGACATTAATTTAAGTAACAAACACTTATTATGTGTCTCCTCGTGCCAGCCACTAAGTTAGGCACAAAAGATAACGAAGATTATTTAATCCCATTTTCAACCCAATGAACAAACTCAGAAAGTCACCAACATATAATGAAATAATTGTAAATAAGGAACATAGACTAGAGTAGAAGACATAGTCTCGAGTTATGGTGAAGGCGCATTTAAAAGAATGGTCAGTGCCCCCAGGGACCAAGGTAGAACGAGAAGGGAACATGGGAGACCCTGCCCGGTGCAGATACTAGGTGCTCAGTTAAAATGAGGCGGATGAGAGTGAGTGAATTTATGTTCTGATACATGGCGATGAATTTGTCAGAGTGACAAGTGGTTACATAAAGCACTGTGACCTCTGTGAAGAGGTAGCAGCATTAACAAAGGCATGGAGGCAGAAACTGGACCATGTGTTTATGAATCTGCTGTAGAAAGATCTCTGGTGTTCTGTCATGTAGGGCTTAGCAGAGGCTCAGGAGACAACCCTGTAGGAGAAGCAGATGGAGTAGCAGCAGCACACTGGCTGCTGCAAGCGTCCCATTAGTTTGAAACATTGTGTGGTCCCTAATTAAGCTGGTAACTTGCCATGTGGGACGTTACTGAGGTAGAGACTGATAGTCAGCATTTAATATAAAAAGGGATTTAAAACCTCCACTTTTAACCCTTAGTATCACCCAACTTTACTAGCTTTAGTGTTCGTGATCATTTAGAATATAGACCCAAGCGGACATTGTTTTCCAAAATCGCTCATTGTTCAACCCAATGAGCAATGAATGTATTAATGAATACATTCATTGAATGAATGAATGTTATGAATACATTCATTGAATGAATGAATGTTATGAATATTCATTAATTTGATGAATGAATATTCATTCATTCAATGAATTATTGATAAATATTATGAATTCAGTATTAATGAATATTGTGAACAACTACAGTTAAAAGCATAAACAAGATGACAGAAAACTTTTCATGAGTCTTCAATTTTAAAGTCTAATACTTTCAAAGATTTTATTTGTTTACTTTTAGAGAAAGGGGAAGAGAGAAAGAGGAGAGAAATATCCACTGGTTGCCTCTGCTCCCAACATGGGACCTGGCCTGCAACCCAGGCATGTGCCCTGACTGGGTAATGAACTGGCAACCTTTTGGTTCGGAGGCTAGTGCTCAATCCACTGAGCCACACCAGCCAGAGCAGGAGTCTTCCATTTTAAAGTCATCTGTATTCAAACGATGGATAGACTTTTCCTTATCTGCCCTACTGTCTCATTGAGCTTAGTTTTGTAACTATTTAGGCTTTGTCAACTTAATGTTCTCTGATATGTAATTCTTTTTGTTTAAGAGAAATGTATTAATATATTTCAGTGAAATCCACAGATAATTTGCCACACATGTACCAGATAGACTTGAGATTTATATTATAGCCTCTGTTGGCCCAAGAGACTGAACAAGGTACTCACATGACACCTGTCCCCCCATCCTCCCCTCAAAAAAGCCAGTAGCTCTATAAAGATACACTGAAAAAAAAATACAGTAAAGAAAGCAGGCAGAGTAAAGAGTAAGAACAGTGTACAGTGTGAAGATGAAGATGTGATGAAAACAATAAAAAAAAATGGCTGAAATTCAATACCATTTCAAATTTTCTTTAGATAAACCAAAATGGTTTTGGTTACAAGATGCCAGATGTCCCTGATGCGTTTCCAGAACTCTCAGAACTAAGGTAAAGAACTTGGAGAATAACATCATTTCTCACTGTCTCTTTTATTTGTAAATGCAAATCAGATCTTCATATTACTCAGTCAGTTTTATGTCTTACGGGTTGTATTTACTGAGTGACTAGTATTTATCCAGGGACTTTTCCAGGTGCGGGGGATGATACAATAATGACCAGGATAACAATGCCCTTTGTCTTGTGTGGCTTACAGTCTTGTGAAAATTATTTCTTAGTACATTATCCCTGGAGATTTCAAAAAATATCTTGGCCTACTTTAGACCTTTCCATCGTTCCATTAGTAGACAGACATTTGTACACAGAAAAATAGATTAGAGTTCTCTTAAAGTAATAGGAAGGTGATTTGATAGAGCCAAATTTTATTCAGTTTTATGGGAAATAAGTTCGTAGTATTCAAGTTTAAGGTACAATTTTTATGGAACACTTCTCTTAGACGGTCCATGAAAAAACCATATTTTGTGGCCACTCAGCTTTGGGAGACATTGCCTCTTTGCAGTCCCCGTTGAAAGTTCACAATACTCATAAAGCTCTTCTTAATGAGACTACCAGATTCCATTTAAAAATTTTTTGCAATTCTGTCTTTTTTAAAATCATATTTTACTGATTATGCTATTACAGTTGTCCCAATTTTCCCCCTTCTCCCCCCACCCAGCACCCCCCACTCCCTCAGGCAGTCCCCACACCTTCGTTCATGTCCACTGGTCATTCGTACAAGTTCTTTAGCTGCTCCATTTCCTATGCTGTACTTTGCATCCCCATGGCTGTTTTGTAACTACCTGCCTGTACTTCTTAATCCCCTCACCTCTTCACCCAGTTTCCCCCAAGTCCCCCTTCTGTCTGGCAGCTATTAAAATGTTCTCCATATCCATGACTCTGTCTTGGCTCTTCTTCTGTGCTTAGTTTGTGTTTTTAGATTCAATTGTTGATAGATACATATTTATTGCCTTTTTATTGTTCGTAGTTTTTATATTATTTTTCTTAAATAAGTTCCTGTAACATTTCATATAATAATGGCTTGGTGACAATGAACTCCTTTAGCTTTTCCTTGTCTGGGAAGCTCTTTATCTGCCAGCTCTGTGGCTCCATGTGGGGTGGGCTCAGGAAAAGAACAGTGGCCTTTGCCCTCATTCTGTCTGGTAGAAAGCTGTCCCCACGATCTCACCTTGAAGCCAGACACTTCAGTTCCTTCCCTGACCTTGGTGCCTTTCAAGCTGCTACCCTGGTGCTGGAGTTCACAGGGAGTAAGTCTGAGTAAGTCTGTGTGCCGGTTCTATAAGAGGAACTACTTGGGACTCCAGAAGTTTCTTCCAGCGACTCAATGCCCACTGGTTTTGCACCCAGAAGCTATGGGGACTTATTTCCTGGGCTGAGAGGCCTGGTGTGGGGCTGGGACTCCTTGCTCCCGAGATATCCCTGATTTTTATCCACCACGCATGGGTGTGGGACCAGGCTGTTCCATGTCTCCTCTTCTACCAGCCTGAATGGATGTGGTTTCTTTATTTCTCTAGTTGTCAGACTTACATTTAACTTGATTTTTGATGATTCTGACTGGTGGTGGTTTGTAGTTTAGTTGTAATTTTTATCTGGTTGCATGACGTGGCGAGCTGTGGTTACTATGTCGCCATCTTGACCGAAAGTCTCTTTAGACTTTGAAATATAGCCCATCAGGGTTGTGCAGCCAAACACCCATAAGAAATAGTATAGTTAAAAAAAGAAATTTAGCTTTATTTCACCCAATGTTTAACTATCATTTTAAGGGAATAGTAACTTCTTATTTTCTGCCGATGCTCATAAATTAGTGAACATTTACAGTATAAATGACATCCATGTTAAGGGTTTATAGGCATTGTAATGCTTGCTACAGCTCCACGAAGTAGCTAGTGTTACTGCTGTCACATTACAAAGGATTCTTTTTTTCTTCCTTCTTTAAAAAACTACTGTGAAAATATCAAAAATACAAAAAGGTGAACCTCTTTGCATGACTTGCTTCATATACCATTCTTCCAGCTTTACTTTTAGGAAGTTTGGGTATGGGTCATGATTATTTTAAACCAAATATCAAATATGTCATTCTTACCTACAACTTCTTCATTAAATTTCTATACCAGATAAGGACTTTATCATAATCCAATCTACATCGTAGTCATACCTAACAAAATTAATGGTAATTCTTTAATATTAATCTTATTTCCTCAGACTCTAATAATCAAATCTTTTTGTTGGTAGTTTCTTTGAATCAGGATTCAAAAGAAGGTCTACCTATTGCGTTTGCGTACTGTATCTCTTACTAAGTTTCTTTTAACGGTGCACTGTTTTTCCCCATCCTTTTATACACACAAACACCCCCACACACACTTACCACGCATATACAAATATACATAAACATAAATACATTAATATAGATTGCACACATATTATTACGTATTTGTCGAAGGATTGGTGTTTTTCCTATGGGAGCCCTCAGATCCTGTTCCCGCCTGATTGCATTCTTGTGGTGCCATTGAAGACGTTTGTCTATTTCCCATATTTCCTTCTGTTGGCGGCTATAGCTAAAGTTTTTATTAGAGTTAGATTCAGTTTCAATCACATTGTGTTGTATACCATAAGCTTACACAATGTTACATGTCAGTTATCTCATTAAAGCTGAAAAAAAGATTGAGGTTGAAATCTTTTGGCAAGTTTCCTAACATCATAATTAGTGCCTACTTCCTTGTATATTACACAAGGCCGCAGTGACGTCCAGTTGTCCTCTTTTTAGGGACATTAAGTCACGACCACGTTGACAGTGCCTGAAATCATGCTTATTCAGTACTTCATTAAGGGTTGCAAATGTGACTTCCTACTGCCAGAATTCTATGAAAAAATTTCCTAAATCGGCTATTTAGTTTTACTGAAATGTAATTGCAGGAAAGACAAGATAAATGCTTGATTTTTTTCCTCTGTTACCAATTTTCACAGTCATGAGTTGTTGCATAAGCAATCTCCAAAGGTTCTGATAGGCGAGGGTTTTTTTTGTTTGTTTTTGTAGATGTTCTTGTGTTACTAAGAACTCATACATTTTAAAAAGTGTATTTGATTGTTTCAGTCCATTGCAGTCATTATTCTTTGTGGTAAAAGTCCTATCTTTAATCAATAGGAAACTCTTCAAGTTGGCTTCTGTATCTTTCTGGCAAAACAAAGATTCCATGGGCTCACTCTGAACATTTCTTTTCCCTGACCTGAAGTCAGCCATTTCTCTGAAAGCTACTTATTCTTTTTCAAAATAACAATACCAGCCAAAAGATGCCAGAATTACTCTTACACTTTCTTTGGGAAATCAGTCTGGCAGAAGGGTGCTCAGAGCAGTTGGTGGAAGCCAGAGTACGCTCTAAGTGGGAGAGAGGGTCTCAAAGAAAGGAGGCGGAGACTTCCAGAGGAGGCGGGGTCCAAGGGAACAAGATCTGACTTCCTAACCCAGAGTTTACTGATGCGACTCACTGGAGTAGCAGCTCTTTGGGACTTGTGTTACGGATTGTGGGTCGTTACGCTGCCAATGTATCTGCGGTTTGAAGATTGTGGTTTTAATGGCAAACTCTAAATTAAATTGAGGTAAATTCTCTGCAGTCTTAGTTTTTGAGCTGTGCTTGTAGGAACTCAATAAATGTTTGTTGGAATCATTTATTCATTTAGTCACTCATTTATATGTTCAATAAATGTATACTGATGTCAAAAAACATCAATCCCAATATTATTACTGTGAATACCAAATGCAGGATAAGATTTTGATGATTAGTTTTTGTTTTTACACTTCTTTTGTCTTTAGGTTATACCACACCAGAGATGTGTAGCCAAATACTATTTTTTAAAAGTCTCTTCAAATAATATTTTTCTGGATGATTATGTAACGTAAGAGAAAAAAGTTTGCTTTGAATTTTAGAGACAACTTTTTCCTTTAATCTTGACTTCTAATCATACCTTGCTTTTACATGGATTTGTAGTCAAAACTAAAAGGTATATTTAGAAAAGTTTAGATTCCATTCTTACCCAGCTGCCTCTTTGACCCTGTGGATACTAAGGTGTGATTTGTTTTAGTCTTCTAAGCTTAAATGTGCAACACATATACTGATCTTTTATTGTGACAACCACATGGGCTAAACTCGGGAGGTTGAATCCTGGCCAGTGTGGCTCATTTGGTTGGAGCATCGTCTTATAGACTGAAAGGCAGAAGTTTGATTCCCAGTAAGGGCGCATATCCAGGTTCAGGCTGGGGGTTCAGTCCCCTGTTGGGGTGCATGTAAGCATTATCTGATTGATATTTCTCTCACATGGATGTTCCCCCCTCCACCCTCTGCCCCCCCCCCCATTCCCCACTCCCTCTCTATCTTCCTTCCTCTGTAAAAGCAATGAAAAAATGTCCTGGAGCAAGGGTAACAGAAGCTTAGAGTTTGACCTCATATGGCTGTTCACGCACCCCGGTCTTCATAGTCCTGTAGGGATTTGACAATACATTCAGACTACTTTATGTTCTGTGATATTTTATTTGTTTTTAAGGTTATAATTTCTCATGTGTGTATGCATAGTGCAAAAAATCATTTCGAACCCTATCAGCTGAAGAAAAGTGAAAAGTCATGAGTGTTTGTCATGATGCAGAACTGATGACGCTCGTTAACACATTTCCGTCTGTTTCCAGTGTGTCCCAGCTTACGGACATGAACGAGCAGGAGGGGGTTTTACTGGAGCAGTTCCTGACTTTGCCGCAGCTGAAACAAGTTGTGAGTGACAAGGACGACCTAGTGAAAAGTATTGAGGAGCTGGCAAGTACGTCTTCCCTTGTTTCTTAACTTGCTTAAGAAACGTGTTCTTTTTACCTAGAAATAAAACAGAAATTTACCTTACAGGAAAAAACTTGCTTTTGGAGCCCAGCTTGGAAGCCAAAAGGCAAACTGTTCTAGATAAGGTGAGTTCTCCTTTTGAAGAAATCCGTGTAATTGAAACATAGGAGGAAACAACCTGTTTGCTTTCTCTTTCAGTACGAGCTGCTCACACAAATGAAGTCGGCCTTTGAAAAGAAGATGCAGAGGCAGCACGAGCTCAGCGAGGTAAGGCGGCGGCGCCTTCCCGCACGGGAGCGCCTTAATCTGCACGTGTGCCGGCCACCTGCTCACTGTCATTCGTACCAGGAAGCACGTGTGAGGAGTCTACCTCTGTAGGGCACGGCACCTCAATGCTCGTGAACAGCCCTCAGTTACCAGGTGTTGTAGGTCTTTTGTGTTCATGCAAGAGCTTCTTTGGTTCCAAAACAGAAGAGTATTAAAAGCCCCTTAAATAACTTTTCAGGGAAAGTTATTATAGAGCTGGTTTAACTCTTGGAATAAAATGTGGCAACAAAAAGACTTTAACTTTAGACTCACTTGTAAGCTTCTGTATAGATACCTTAAAAGAAAAGTGAGCAGCTAGAAAAAATACGTAAATGTATAATTCACCACAAATAATAAATTTAATGCTAGAAACCTGGTTACATGAAAAATCACAAGCATTTTTAAAACTCCACTCAGTTTTGAAAAACAATCTGTAAAAATAAAAGAATAGAGAATGTCATCTGTATGTCATATCAGTAACATCATAGTTAACAATATTCTATTTCCTTTAAAACCGGGGTTTCTGGAATGTAAATCCAATGTAATAAAACAACAGGAAAAAATGATGGTAAAATAGAATATAAATTCTAGATTTCAGATGTGGTCATTCTTTAGAATTAAAAAAATAACAGCTAACATTGAGCAATTATTATGTGTTTTGCACTGCACTAAACAGTTGACATATTGTCCATTATTCTCCCCAGACCTCTGAGGTGTAGGTATTACTGTATTTCTGTTTTACAGATGAACCGTGGAGAAGGATAATAAATAACCCCCCTGAGTTCTGATAAATGGAAAGTATCAGAGTCAGGAATCAGACAGTCCTCCCTCCTCTTAACCCAAAACTCGGAGAGGCCATTGCAACCCTCCTAGATGCACATAGGAGCTTGGTAGATGCTGAGGAAGCTTTCACAGCAGTCAGCATCATTCCTTGTCTAAACTCTCCGCAAAGTTAGGAAACTTCGCCAAATAGCCCAAAAGAACACTTGAGTAAATGAAGTAATGTGTAATATTCATGGACTGAAAGATTTAATATTATAAAGATTCCATTCTCTCCAAACCTAAAAATTTAATCTCCTTACAATAAAAAATCCCAAGGGTGTGTTTTTTTAAAAATTTTCACTGATTTATTCTGAAGTTTATTGGAAACACCAAATGGGTAAACATAGGCAGGAGAACTTGAACAAAAAACGATGAGGACGACTTCCCTTTCCCAATATCAAAGTACGCAGTAAAACTGCATCGTTTAGACAGTAGTTTTATAGGAAGAGAGAAACAGTTCTATGGAACAGACTCGTGGGTTTATGGGAAATTGGAAACAACTGAGAATTTAATAAATATACTTGGCCCTCCATTTAGGAGAAAGATTCCTACATCATACTATCACAGTAACATACTCTGCAGGGGCGTCCAACCTGTGGCCTGCAGGCCACGTGTGGCCCAGGATGGCTATGAATGGGGCCCAACAAAAAACCTTAAAGTTACTTAAAACCTTTTTTTTTGCACCAGTTTTTATTAGTGTTTGTGTATTGAATGTGTGGCCCAAGACAACTCTTCCAGTGTGACCCAGAGACACCAAAAGGTTGGACACTTCTGCTAGAGTATTTAACTAGAAACCGTAAAATTATGAAAGGCAACTGTCTCCTAGGATTTTTTTGAAAAGGTTTATGTAGGAAAAACCCTTTGTAGGCAGGAGCATAAAAGAAAGAATTGATATGTTTAAAAGTTTAATAAATTTAAAACTTGTTATATTGAAGATCATAAAATCAAAACTGAAGAAAAGGGAACAAATACTTCTCACACATATGACAAATATTAATGCCAATGGTTCATAAATATCCCTTACAAATAGGCAAAAGAACAGGAAATTCACAAAAAGAGAGATATGAATGTCCAGTGAGTATTTTGAGATAACAGTTACTCTGCCTTCTGGACCACTTACATAAAAATTATTTGAAGTGATTCTTGAAATGCTAAAAAAAAATTTTAAATCATGGTTCCTAAGCTCTCGTCCAGATGTTTGCAGATGAGGACTCTGCTTCTCTCTGAAGTGTGGAGACCACTTCGCTAGACTCCTGATGCCAGGCACCCAGGAACCTGTCCTTTTTTATCCCCCCTGTACCCAGCACCTGGTGCTTCACACGTAGTAGGTGCTCAATAAATGGCATAATGAACAAGTAAATGTAAGCATTTAAATAGGTGCTCAGCCTTCTGATAATAATAAGCAAAATCACAGCATCTTGTGAGCCAAACTGGTAAAGGTCGATAACCATTGTTGGCAAGAGTGTTAAGAAGGTGGTGCCTTCCTGTACATTCCTGTGCGTGATGGATGATAATGAGTTTACTGCCTCACACCCACTGAGGGGACTGTTATTAAAAATAGATTTAGTTCCTATATTTAGTTCTTAGATTCATTTTGAATTAATTTTTGCACAAGGAAAGGTAGGGGTTCGGCTTTATTCAACATGTGGATACCCGGTTCATCCAGTACCAGTGGACGAAGGCTTCCTTCCCTGCTGAACGGCCTTGGCACACATTATGAAAATACTTGGCCATGTATCTGAATAGCTACTGCTTTATCTTTCCATTTTTTTATGTCATCTTCAGTTTCTTTCAGCAGCGTTTTGTAGTTTTCACCTCTTCGGCTAAATTCAGTCCCATTGCTTTTGTCATATTTTGTTCAGCCCACATTCAAAGGGAGGAAGATTACACGGGGGCAGAGAATACCAGGAGCTGGGTTCCCTGGGGACTGCCCCAGAGGGTGCCCACCGCAGCGACCTGAATACTGCATTCCAGGAGAGGACAGTGATTTGCCCGGTTTCTTTCATTTAATAGTTTGCAGCCCGCGGATTGGTTTCTCTTGTGTCAGGTGTCCCCGTGTGTCCCAAAGCAGAGGGCCTGGTGGAGGCAGATTTTTCCAAAAGAGCCTAAATGGCGCCTATAGTGAACCGCTTCTCCCTGCCTCTGCCTCGTTTCTGTCTCTCTAAGGACTTTTCCTGGTCGTTATAGAGTAATATAGCACCTGATTTTTTTTTCCAGAGCTGTAGTGCGAGTGCCCTACAGGCGAGATTAAAAGTAGCTGCACACGAAGCCGAGGAAGAATCCGATAACATTGCGGAAGACTTCTTGGAGGGAAAGACTGAAGTAGACGATTTTCTGAGTAGCTTCATGGAGAAGAGAACAGTATGTAACACTCCGCAGTTGAGGACAAGGGGCAGCGTAATATCAAATTGAGTGTGTTCACGAGTAAAGGAATGTTAGCACGTCCTGGGCCGCAGTTCTGAGTGCCGTGAAAGGAAACCAAAGAGCCTCTGTTGAGGACGATAGCAGCGTCCCACTGTCACTTGAACTCTGCTTGTTGTGAGTACGCAAGCAGGTAAACCAAGTAACAGGCCTGTTTCAGAAGCGATAGCGAAGGCCCCACGTGGGCGCCAGTGTGGCCTTAGTGGCTGTAGTGTGCTCCGAGCAACCTGCCTCACAGGTCACTTTAAGGGAGAGGAAGCCATGGAGGTTAATTTTTTAAACATTATTAAGAACATTCTGGAATAGTTTCTGTTTGATGATTATTTTCATTATATTTAGATAAAAATCAAAAAGTCTACTTAGCAGTATTGTGCCCTTTGTCGGAGTCCCACATATTTACCTGGTTCCTCTGAAACCTCACCTTCTAGCCCCGGCCAGTGGGGCTCAGTTGGTTAGAGGAGAGCCCTGTAACTGACCCTCTGGGGGTTCAGTTCCTGGTTAAGGCATAAGGCCTGGGTTGCGAGTTCAGTTCCTGGTCCGGGCTCATACGGGAGGCAACCAGTCGATGCTTCTCTCTGGCATCGATGTTTCTCTCCCTTTCTCCCTCCCTCCCTCCCTCTCTAGAAGCAGGGAAAAATGTCCTCCAGCGAGGGTAAATAATATTAATACATAAAAATAACCCTTTGTCACTACACTTGTAAAACGTATGTGCTATATATACACATGCCTGTTCTGTTCAGGAAGGCGGGGCAGGTTTTATCCCCAGTTTCACGAAAGAAAATGGGAGTTCGGGGACGCTAACAACTATGGTTATAGCACTAGTGTAAGTGGCATCAACATTTCATCGATTGTTCCTTCGTGCTGTACAGCTGTACCTTGGAGTTTTGATTTGTTAACTTCCCTGGTTAACAGTGTTAGGATTTATTTTTGTATTTTTAAAATACAGATATTTGATATTACATAATTGGAACTAATATAAAGCATCGGTTTGTTTTATATTCTAGAAGTGTATATAGGTAAAGGTTATCTGCCAAAATTAATTTTTAGTCCTTAAATTCTGAACTGCCTTAAACATTCAAAACTGAAGTGTAAACAGGTTTAAAGAGTCTCACTTAGAATTCTTCTGTAATGTGGGGCGTAGTAGACAGATTGTGGGAGAAGTGACTGGTATTCGAAATGATTTACCCTCTAGATTTGCCACTGCAGAAGAGCCAAGGAAGAGAAGCTGCAGCAGGCGATAGCGACGCATGGCCAGCTCCACGCTCCGCTGTAGGTGAGTTGCGTGCCAGACGGTTCTCGTCTCGAGGCTGCTGCGTGGCTGCCCGGAGTTACTCTCAGGAGCCTGTCCGCCTGCTCTGAGTGCAATGTCGTCGTTGCAGCTCTCGTGCTGTGTAATGTGTAGCGTATTTTCCCTCACATCTGGAGCATAATGTTAGATTATAAGCGTATAGCCAGTAGAAACCTTTTGGGTATTTTCTTAGTGTGATGTTGGCTTAAATGAAATGTTTTTCTGCAACATCAATAGCTATTTATGTATTGTGAACTATAATGAGTTCCTTTCTCTCGGCTAGTTTGTGGCATATACTATGTCCTCAGTAGTCTTCTTTGTCATTTCTTCCTTTAAAATGAACTTCCAGTCTGTCTCTCTTCCATCTCACGCCAGGGTTATTCCCGTAATGCCCTCGCCAGCCCCCTGACCTCAGGGTCTCTCCTCCCTGCACAGGACTGACAGGCGGACCTTCCGGCAGCCCCACCCGATGCCCTGGTTTCTCTGCTCTAGAACCTGCGCTGGGCCCCTACCGATGGCAGCACCATGTTGTTCTCTCTGGGTTTAGGTCTTCCGTAATCCGACACCTGCTTGAGATTATCCATTCTGACTTCCCATATTTTTCCCGATGTCTCATGTGTCACGTTCTTTTGTCTACCCCACGTTTCTGTTCATGGTTTTTCTTGATCTCAAGACAGTCTTCCCTTCCCTCTCCATCCGTCTCATTCAGGGAGTGATTCGGCTGTAAGAACTAATTCCCACCCCAACAAGCTTTAAGTAAAAAGCTGTGTTACTGGGTAACGCCGGGATACAGACCAAGCCAAACACAAGAAAGTAGAGCTCAGTCACCTGGGAGAGAAAACACGACTAGCGGCTGCAGTGGTCAAGGCTGCTTCTCTGTCTCTCACACCCTTTCCCGGACGGCTGGTTTCTCAGTTCTGCATCTGCTTTTCCTCTTCGGAGGGCCTTTCTTTACAGCGCCGCATCTGCTTCGGCCGTCGCTGCCCACAGCCTGATCTTAGCAGTTCAGGCAGCCAGAGGAGACTGACACGGGGCTCCCTGCAAGTCCCTGGGGAGGGGCCGGCCTGGACTGGGGGTGTCCGTCCTGACTCGGCAGTTCGGCTTCCTCTGCCCACTCGACTGGGCTGAAGGAGTGGACTTTGAGAAGGGAGCGCAGGGAGGTCCCTAAAATGGGGAGCGGACTACGGGGAAGGAAGGAACAGGCACTTCTGTCTCCAGTTAAAGTCGTCTGCCCCTGCTCTCAGTCTCGTTGTGTTTAAGATTAGTGCCAGTGTCGAACTGTTTATATCTTACTTTACAGATCACACTGTCAGTCCCTGAGGGTACAGGTTGATTTGGAGTATTCAGTGTGTGTCTCTCAACGGGGCGAGAAGAAAATGGGCACTGAGTCACTGCTTGTTGATGTGAACATGCTAGAACTCTTTCCCCTCCTCTTTTCCCTCATGGTCACGTTACCCTTTTGTAAGTCAGTCTTAATGGGAGGAGGATGGAAAGGGATGCAAATTTACTATCTTAAATGAACTCTTAGGGTTTTTTAAATTTTCTTTCCAGATTTTCCTGAAAACATGAACTGCCAAGAGAGGAATGGGACACATAACTAAGCACATTTATATTTATGATTTGCAAATTGGCATTCATCACAGCAGCTGAATTCATCAATACACTGTACAGACTGTATACAGAACTGAGAGTGGTTTTGTACAGATCAGAATGATTGCTATGATCTTGACTTTGAGAAATTTTTCTGCACTATTTGCACTAAAAATGTTTATTTATTATGGATAAATCCTATCATATTTAAGTGTCACTGCTGTTCCTCTCTTATTATTGATGGAATAATTCTGCATGTAATTTAGCTAGTTTTCATATTTTATAAAATGACTTCATTTAAATTTGTATTTTTAATTTGAATCTGCCTCATTTCTTTATCAAAAATAGCCTGTTTCCTCTCAACTTTTTATGAAGAAAATCACTTTTCAGACTGTAGAAAGATTCTTTATTTTTTCTCATTCTTTCTGGATAACCAAATTTTCAAAAACAGTATCTTTTAGATATTCCTAGTGTCAGTAAACATTAAACCTGCCAATGTGCCATCTCAAGAAATTAACTTTTAATATGTATAATAAATCAAAAGAATAAACCAGCTGCTTTTATATCTTGTTTTATTTTTAAAATTAAAGATGCACTTAAGAAGCAATACAGGCAAATAAATATTTCACCCACTGGAAAAATACTTGCCATTCATCCGTCCAACGTCAACTTTCATGCTGACTTTTAATGTAAAGTATGTGATGTGGCGGGATAAAGGTGGGCCAGGTCACTAACGTTGAAGTTCAAGATCTTCTTCGTCAGTGAACAGTTAACCTGGACCTACAAAAAAAATCAGTGAAATTTTCTGATCTTTATTGTGTTAGCTTTTCATAACAGAAAAGCTATACTAATAAATAAAATTAATATTTGACATTTAGAAAGTTAGGTTTTTTTTTTTAAGATTTTTATTTATTTATCTTTAGAGGGGAAGGAAAGGAGAGAGGGAGAGAAATATCAATGCATGGTTGCCTCTCGCGTGTCCCCTTTGGGGACCTGGCCCACAACCCAGGCATGTGCTGATTAGGAATTGAACCAGCGACCCTTCGGTTCCCAGCCTGTGCTCAGTCCACTGAGCCACACCAGCCAGGGCCTTCTCTGGATTTCTAGATGAGTGAGGTAAGTGTTTCAGGTCTGTGCTGAGTCTCCTGGGTACTCAGGAACTTTCCTTACTGCACCAGCCAGCAGAGCGTCAGCCTTCCCTGCAGTCATTTGCAGTGGACAGAGGACACAGCAGACCTGACTTTCTGTAGACAGGTAGCTTTTGTACAAACAGGTAGACCCTAGAACAAGACACCAGAGGTCCAGAGGCGTTCTGAAAGGACGTCAGTTCATTTGATCTACTAATTTTATTAAGCACCTACTTCAATGAGGCATTGTGGAAATACTATATAACTGTAGGTTTAAGTGCTTTATCTATCTTCCCCTCAGCAGGAAAAAAAAATTGTGTATAATCTCTTCAATCACGTAAGTAATTTGTCTCAATGTTTTGTTCTCTAAACTTGAACTATTTCAGTTTTATTCTGTACCAGTTAAGATAGCTTGGTTTCTCCTTCCAAAGTTAATTTATTGGATAACCTCCTTACAACCCAGTTATTAAAAAGAGGAGTTTCATCGACACTGTCTGCCTTTAACACACAGACACATCAGTTCCAATACAGGTTATGTCGGTCGCCCGGAGGGGGGGGGGGTCTGCGTTTGAATACATCTGCGTGAATTTTGGCTCTGTTATTACAACAGGAGTTAAGTGACTTTTCTTACAATTTCATATCTGTATGAGATATGAAGCAGTGTCAGAGAGGGGGCAATGCCTGACCAGGCCGAGATTCTGATTTTACTTTAACATATAATAAAAGGCGAGATGGCAGTCGGAATGGTGGAAGCTTAGGAGTGACTAGATTTTTCCGAGTAGGAGATTGTCATGGGTAGACATGTAGAGACTAATATATCAAAATAGAAGAAAGTTCTCTAAGTAAGTGAGATACTTAAGATATGTTTCAAAGTTGGAGTATTTTCTAGGAATAAACGAGGAAATTCATATCGGAGTAGAGGTAAGTTTGATCATAATTTATATGCTTAAAGGACAGCTCAGATTAATTTTTAAGGAAAGAAAATAATTGTGTGCTTTTAAAGAACAGAAACGTGTTAGAGTTTTCCTTCTCTTTGCCTTCCTGTATTCTAAAAATGCTCCTTTATCGATTGCTGGATTGTGATCAAAATTCTTGCCTACTTCATATCACTAAATTTACCTGAATACAATGAAAGACTAAGCCACTTAAGCTCTAAATATTACTAGTTAAGTAATTTGCCTTGGTTAGTTTCACATTGGTTTATTCCCTATGTTTTAAACCAACAGCCCTAAGTAAAACACTTCCTGATTGATGTTTCATGTAAAACAAGAATGTACTGTTAGAGATTTCAGTCTTGTCAAATTGGCTGTATTCCTTCCAGTCCTGTGAAACCACAGCAAAGTTTAACAAGCAATAAATGTAACCTTTTATATAAATTTCAATATTAGGTTTACTCCTAATAAGTAGTCTAAATGAATATATATGTAAATTATGTTTGGTAAGATGTTTGAAAGTCTGAAAAACAGTCTATGTGTCTGATGTGAAAAACATCACATTAAAGAATTAAATTTTAAAATATCAAATACTTATCCTATTTATTTTTCAAAATAAACGCATAGTTCTGTTTGGTAGATTTATGGTGTCATTCTTTAAAAATGTATTATTATGTATTAACTTTTGTCGATGGACACTGCCATATGGAAGGAATTAAAGTCGGTCCTCAGTCTTAGGCAAAGAGGCTTCTAGGAGTTGGTAACTACAGGAAACTCATGAAGTTAATTATGTTGTGTTAATGCAGAAGCCATTACCACTGTATCCTAAGTATTTACCATTCACAAGGTATTCCCTACACCCCACAATGTATTGCAGGAAAAGAATAAACATTCCCTGTACTTAATTTGGAACCGCTCAGTAAAGCATGCTCAAATTTCATATTCCAAAACAATTATACTTGTTTTATTTACATGGACAGAGTATTTTATATTAGGAATTTCTAACATATTAAAGTTCTATATTTTTAAGTATAATGAACATAATTACAATCATCTGTGTTATTTCATATATGGATATTTTTATACTGCTACTCCCCCTCCAGATCTTTCATACTAAAGATTTCAGCATGGAGAGGATCAAAAAACCGTTTGTTCTCAGCCTTGTAGCTCTACTGCCCTTTCATTTTCCCCAGTTTTATTAAGATATAATAGACATACATCACTGTATAACTTGAAGGTACACACAGCCTGATAGTTTGACTTACATATATCGTGATTACCGCATTAAGTTTATTTATTATCTGTCATTTCGTAGGTACAGTAAAAAAAGACAAAGATTGCTTCCCTTGTGATGAGAATTCCTAGGATTTACTCTGTTAACAATTCCCACATATGTCATACAGCAGGGTTAGTTAGCTGTAGTCCCCATGCTGTGTACCGCATCCCTAGTGCTTATTTATCTTGTAACTGGGATTTGGTGCCTTTGGCCACCTTTCTCCAATTCCTTCTTCCCCAACCCCCACCTCTGCTAACCACAAATTTGGGGGGAGTTCCTTTTAAATCCTACATCTGAGGTCATATAGTATTTAGCATTTGTCTTTCTTCGTCTGCTATATTTCATTTAGCACAGTGTACTCAAGGTCCATCCACACTGTCACAAATGGCAGTATTTCCTCATTTTTTATGTCTGAGTAGTATTTCACTGTGTGTGTGTGTGTGTGTGTGTGTGTGTGTGTGTGTGTGTGTGTGTGTGTAAAATATACAATAGTGTTATCCTTTTGTCTGTCAATGGACACTTACATTTTTTCCACGTCTCGGGTAATATAAGTAATGCTGCTATGAACACGGGGTGCTGCCGATACCGTTTTGAGTTCAGTGATTTTGTTTCCTTTGAATGTGCACCCAAGATGGAGCTGCGCAGTCATACGGATCCAGCACCTCTATTGTTAATTTTCTAAGGGTTCTAGTCTTAAGTTTTCGAAGATTCCCTATACTGTTTCCCACAGTGGCTGTCCCAGTTTATATTCTCATCAGTAGCACACATGGTTCTCTTGTCTCCACGTTCTTGCTAACATTTACTTCATGTCTTTTTGATGATGTCCATCCCAATAGATGCGAGTTGGTATCATATGTATCATTAGTTTTGATTTGCATTTCCATAATGACTAGTGATGCTGAGCATCGTTTCATCTAACTGTTAGCCCTTCACATATCTTATTTGGAAAAATGGCTTTTACAGCATGCTTTTAAGGGCTTTTGCCCATTTTTTAATTAGATTACATGTTTGTTTTTTTGCTATTGAATAGTATGACTTTAGTATGTATTTTGGATATGAACTCCTTATCGCCTACATAAATTTGTTCCCATTCCGTAGGTTGGCTTTTCATTTTGTTGTCTTTTGCTCTGCAGAAGCTTTTCAGTTTGATGTAGCCCCACTTGTTCATTTTGGCTTTTGTTGCTAATTTTTTAGGTGTCATCTCCAAAAAATCATTGCCAAGACTAATGTCAAGGAGCCTTTTTTCTATGATTTTATGCCAGTACCGTATTGTTTGGATTACTATAGCTTTATGATAAAGCTCAAAATCAGGAAGTGTGATTTCGAGCAAGTGGGATACCTCCTTTGTTATTTCTCAGGATTACTTTGGCAATTTAGGGCCTTTTGTGGGTCTACATAAGTTTTAGATTGTTTTTCCTACTATAGAAAAATGTCACTGGAATCTTGATAGAGGTTGCATTGAATCTACAGATGCCTTTGGTAATGCGGACATTTTAACAATATTTCTTTCAATCCATATTTATTTGTAATTTGTATTGTCTTTGATTTCTTTCATCAGTATACTGTTGTTTCAGAGAAAAAATCTTCAGTGTCCTTGGTTAAGTTTATTTCTAAGTATTTATTTTGATGCACTTATAAATGAGATTGTTTTTCTTTTTCATCTAAGTCTTTGGTAGTGTATACCAATGCTGCTGACTTTTATGTTAATTTTGTGTCCTGCAGTTTTACTGGATTTTACTGAATTAGGTCTAACAGGGTTTGGGGGAATTTTTTGGTTGAGTCGTCAAGTGTTTTTTCTATGCATAAAATTGAGTCATCTGCAGATAGAGACAATCTTCCTTGTCAGTTTTGATGGCTTCTATTACTTCTGCGGGAATGCTCTGTGGAGAATTCCAGTACTGAGGTTGACCGTAAGTAAGTTCACACACCCTTGTCTTACTTTTCATCTTCAAGGAAAAGCTTTAACCCTTTCACCCCGGAGTGGAGTAGCTGCAGCAGGCGTGTCCTGTAAGGCCTTTGTTTTGTTGTGGTGCCTCCCCTCTGTACCTGATTTGCTGAGAGTTTTTAATTGTGGGCGGATGTTGAGTTTTGTCAAATGCTTTTTTTGTGTGTCTTTGAGATGCTATGATTTTTTTGTTTTATTTGACTGAGTGATAATATCATATTGATTGATTTCTGTATGAAACATCCTTGCATCCCAGGTATAAATCCCACTTGATCACGGTGAATGAATCTTGTGCGCTGCTGAACTGGGTTTACTCGTACTTTATTGAGAATTTTTGCATCTATATTCCTCAGGGATATTGGCCTGGAGAAGATTTGGGGGGGGTTTTTTGGTAGTGTCTTTTTCTGTCTTTGGTATTAGGATAAGGCCTCATAAAATTTGATAGTGTTTGATAGTGTTCTTCCTCTTTAGTTTTTTTTGGAAGACTTTGAAAAGGATTGGCATCATGTTTTCATTAAATGTTTGCTAAAAATTCACCACTGGGAGCCATCTGGTCCTGGGCTTATCACCATTTACTGGTAATTATTCTATTCAGACTTTCTATTTCTTCACTTAGTCTTGGTAGTTTGTATGTTCCTAAAAATTTTCCCATTTCTTTTAGGTGGCTCAGTTTATTGGCATGTGGTTTTGACTCAAGCCAACCCACACCCCAAGTTCACTGGCTGAACTGGACCGCCAGCTTGGCTCTGAGAGCAGTTGGCTGTGTGCACACACCCCTCAGCTCAAGAGTTGCTGGGTAGCACAAATTCCAGCTGTTCTCACCTGCCCTTCTTGTCAGATGGGGCCAAGGGCCCGCTCTCTGCAGTGAGTGGGGCTGTCTCACTGGCTCCTACCTGGCAGGACTGACAGGGACCATTGCAGACAACTCCAGAATTTTCCCAAACAGACTTTCTGGTCAGGAGGGACCAGGAGCCTTGATCTGCACCAGGTGGGGGTAGGGCTCAGCTCTTCCACCCAGGCAGGCGTAGACCAGACCCTGGGGCCACACTCCTCCTTTGGCAGAAGGAATTCCCCCATCACACTGTGCCACCGACCTGACTGTGCAGAGGAGCAAAGCTGCTGGGTGGGACGACCACTCAGGTTCTGAAGGTAGGAATTCTCCAAAACCCAGGTGCTGATCATTGGAAGCCCCTCCTCACTTCAATGCCTCCCTCAGACTCCAGTGGTGCAGCCCACAGATTCCCCTGCGATCCCTGTGGGGTCAAACCACAGTAGGGCCCCCTCTAACAACCCACCAAACCAGAGAGGTTGGATGTCGGCCTGGACGCTCTGTTCCCACTGGAGGGACTGGAGGCTCAGGGGAGACCTCGGTGTGGTGCTGTGCCAGCCGTGGGGAGAGGCAGCGTGGGCAGCTTGCGGCCACCCCACTTACCCTTCTGGTGTAGTCGCCTGGGTCTCTGTGGTGCAGGGGGTGCCTCAGCCTCACCCTCACTCTCCGGCTCTGGGACTCCCTCAGAGGTACCTGCTGGTAAATAGGTGTTAGTTCTCCTGAAGGGGGTGGAGTCAGGAGTGACCTGTGTTGCCATCTTGGGGACATCACTTCTCTCTGCCTTCTCTTTATTTTGTTTCTGTTTCAGCAAAATGTAATATATCATCCTATTTTTTAAATTTACACATTCAAAATACTGATGTAGATTGCACCTAATAATTGAAAACTATACAGTATGAATGTTAATTTTTCTTTGTCCAACAAGGCAACTTCTCTCCACTAATTTTCTTCAGATCAAAAAATCACCCAGTAAAGTCCCGTTTTTTTTAATCAACAGGGGAATGATTCTGCTTCAAATGTGCATTTCGGTAAAACATGAAAAGTTTTCAGAACTAATTCAGCAGTCAGTGGTCATGAGATGTAACGGTGCTATCTAAACCGTATGAAGCAGTTAAAATTCCTGAAATGACAGGCGACAGAACTGGGTAACCGAAGTGACAGCCAGATGCTCTGGACCTGACTTGGGATTTCCCTCATTTGAAATACCACCTATTTACATTGTTCCACTTCAGGTGTCAGGCTGACGGTCGGGTGACACTGTCTGGTGATGTGGTCTCTTGTTAACAACACAGCTCATAGGATGTGAATTCATATTTAAGAACCAGAGAGTAAACGCTGCTTCTATTTTATTAGGTATCAGCCCCGTCTTGGAGGAAAAGGTAAGTTATAAGTTTTAGCATTTTTTTAAATGGTGAGAAGGAGTAAGAGATTCCAGAGAAAAGCAACAAAATTATAATAACAATTCAAACTATATTTGAATTGGAAAAGTTACAGTGGTCATGAAACCTGGAAGATAGCTTAAGCACTTAACAAAACTCCTCAGTAACAGAAATAGATCTATTAACCAAAAAAGGATACATCTCAACAGTGTCCTCTGTTACTAGAAATACTTCTGACAGAGGAAGGAAGGTAACATCAGATGTTTCAGGAAACAAAATACACATCAGGGAGACTGACCATGGTAACAGGAGTGTGGGCCAGGGGTCAGGGCACTTGCTGAACTGAGCAGACGCATGCGGTGGTGGTGATGGTGATGGTGACGGTGACCTCCGGGCCGGTAGAGGTCATCGCTCTGCAGCGAGTGCAGCTTTCAGAGTCTAGAATGATTCTCCAAAGGCGATCATTTCCTTACTATGGCTACTTCCTGTTATTCAACATCTAAAGAAACTAAATTGGACCCCCCCTTTCATTTGCTATATTTTCTACTTCTCGATAACATGAACTATTTCTTGTTATTATTCATGTTCCATTGCACTGTTCCCTTATTTTTGGAAAGTGTCTTTTGCATGTCCTTTGTTCTGGAACACCAGACGGAGGCCTCAGGCTGTGAGAAACACAGCCTCGTCGGAGTCGCGGTCCTTGCCGCTGTCCTCGCTGGGCACACACTCTCCGCCGCTGGGCGACCGGCAGCTCAGGTCCTCCACCCCGGACTCCTGGTCGCTATTGGCCGACAGGTCCGGATCTGAGCTCTTCAGGTTGTCCTGGGTTAGAATCAGAGCGGAGTCCTCGTCGCCCTGGGAAGGGCTCCTGGATGGGAAGGATTTCACGTTCCCGCTGTAGTCCTGGGGGGTGTTGGCGGTGCTCTGGTCGGAGGTGGAAAACCCTGAGTGTCTGCTGGCTTCACGCGGCTCGCTCTTCACGTTGGTGCGATTGAACTGGACTTTCTGGATTTTTTCCAGCCTCTAAAAGGGAAATAACAAATTCAGGGGGAAATCCTAAAGAATTTATCTTTTTTACATACACATGCCTTTACTACTGATTCCTTTCCAGTTGGGTATAACGTTAAGAAGATAGGATTTACACGGAATTGGGTTCCAATGTCAATTTTGTGACCTTGGACAAAATAATTAGTTTCTGTGAAGCTTGTTTTCTTCATCTCTAAGGATGGTAAAACCTGCATTAGCATAGGTTTTCTATAAAATGCAGAAACAATAACCTAGGTACAGCATCTGGTACTCAGTAATCATCTTTCTATACCCACATAGTTTTACATAGGCATTTTCATCCTGTGAACTCAAAATACATATTTTTAAAATCAGGAATAAGGTGGTATTTCATATTTTAAACAGATATAAGTCACCACAAAACTCACTTTCTAAAGTGTGCAAGGTTTTTAGTGTATTCACCAGGTTACACAACAGTTCACCACTATCTAGTCCTCGGAGAAACCCGCACACCCATCAGCAATCACTCCCCACTCTGCCTCCCCACAGCCCCTGGCAATCTCTTGCCTCCTTTCTATCTTTACGACTACCTAGTTGGATATTTCATATGAGTGGAATTCTACAGCATGTGGCCTTTTTTGTCTGGTTCTTCACTCAGCTTATGTTACGTGCAAAACATTGTGGGAAGCAATATGAGGAACAGAGGTACAGAGAGTTCACGTAAGGTGGGAATTTGGACGAGGCGGAAATTACTCCAGGGGGTGGGGTGCTGCGGTGCTGCGGTCTGAGACGGGAAATCGGAGCCAGTCTCAGGGAGGAAGAAGGGCTCCGATGGGCCCGCAGGCACTAGACTTGGGCCTGTGCTTTCTAGCTGGAGGGACAGTGAGCAGAAAAAGGGAGCAAGGTCTTGTACCAGAAGTAGAGAAGGTTCGATGGGCGAGAGGGAAGCAGTGGGGAACAAAGTGTAAGGAATAAAGTGAGGTTTTCCCGGGGTGTGGGAAAACCTCACGTGCCAGGCTGAGAGGGCATTTTGTCTGTTACAAGGAACAGAGTGAGGGACTTTCATTACAACACTTCTAGAAAGTTGATTTTTTTTCATTAGTAGTACTTCAATACAAAGGATACTGAAATAGATGAGTAGAATTCTCAGTTCTTCATGAAGCTTGGATGTCTTCAGGAGGGATGAATAAAACTGGCCCTTGGATGGCATGAGTGGACTTTAAAGGGCAAAGCTTTGATCACGGCTCTGGAGTCCTCGAGACCTAACTGGTGCCTGCAGTTGGTTCTCTCTTTGTTCTTTAACTCAGGGTCTCCCCGCCCTGGTGGTGAGTCACAGCTGTGGTGTTCTAACCATTCTCCATCAGAATCTCTAGGCTTAAAGCCCAGGCATCTGGATTTTTTATATCATTATGTAATTATTGTGACAAGTGAAGAATCGATTTTTACTACAAGTACATGTATCTGACTTTGTCCTTCACTTTGAATACCATAATTTTCATGCATTCTCCAGAAAGAATTAATTTTGCTACTCCCAGGTAACTAACAAAAGAATCCTGACCTGCTGTCAGAACAGCCGAGGGCTGGACTGCATTCAGGGCTGCTTAGGTTTGGGCATCGGGTTCCTAGGGGCTCGCCTGGCGGGGCTGTGTTTGTGGTTACCCACCAGCTAAAAACACCAGCTCTTTCTGATGCTCCAGCTCACACACCCTGAGTCCTGGCAGGCTTCCACGGAGCAGGGACCGTCAAGAAATGGGCACAGAAAATGTAAGCAGATTAACGAGAGCAAGTGGGTCTTACTTCTTCCAGGGCCTCTAGTTCTTCCTCCAGCTGCTGGCTCTCCTCCTTCACGGCCAGGAGGTAGTCTGTGACCGACTGCCGCGGCTGCAGCCCCTTCTCAAAGCGGTTGTACATCCCACTCCAGAACCTGGGGATGGGGGGAGGGGCCATGATGCCACCATGTGATACACTGTGTGTACATCACATCCCCGGGCCTTCTCAGGTGGCTTTAATTCCTCAGTCCCACGGTTCTGATGATACCCAAACGCCAATTCCAGGCTCAAAAAAGCTACTAACTTCAGGTAGTAATTGCATGTTGATGTCTTCTTGTGTTAACAGACTTCTTTGGGGGAGAGTAAATTCATGAATTTGTATATATGGCACTAAATTGGGAGGCCTATAATTTTCTAAAATGGAAATACTTCATGTTACTAGTTTCTTTTTTCCTATTTTGTATTTCTAATAAAATGGCTCTTTGTTTCTAAGTAAACTTGTTAAATTAATAATTGTAAATCAAGATTGTAAATTAACACTTACAATCTTGAAGCTGCAAAAGGAATCTTAAATTTGAAATTTCAGCTTGTTTTTATCACAGCCACCAAAAATTAACATTTGCATTTGCAATGAATCCTCCTTTTTTTGTCCTGCACAATAAGGCAAACTGGAAAGCAAATGAGAATAGAGGATGTTATCGTAGGGATATCCCTAGATCCACCCTTTACTTAGGAAAGTACTCTGAGGGCAGAGCTAGAATCGTTCATCAGTCTATCCACAGTTCTAAGAACAGTGTTTGATCCTCGAAAATGTATTTGTTGGCTGGCTACTAATAAATCAGTTACAGGACAGTTGTTTGCAGTATGTCAGCAGCTCTCGAAACTGCTGTTTTACACGAGACATGGACGCATTTTTTTAGTAAGATAAAAATTAATATTTCGCTGTAAAATTCTGGGGAAATGACTAACCTGAAACAATTAAAAACGAAAACAGCTCAAGGAATAAAATCTAGAGAGGAAGAAAAGCCCTAAGATATGCATTGGGCATAAGGAGGGAGAAGAAGTGCGGTTCCTCGGTTTATTCTGTAGGTTTGTGTGCAGACCCCGGAGTCACGCTTCTGTGTCACACAAGCTCAGAGCAGAAGGCAGAGGATGAAACATAACACACGTGCCAGGTTCACACCTGGTAGAATCTGTAGGATGCCACCCTCCTCTCCTCCTCCCAATATATCTAGTGATAAATAACTTATTTCCACGGGAAAATAGTTCCACTCAGACTTCAGCAGACTTCAGCAGAGAAGGAAAGTAAACTAGGTCACTAGGTCGTGACCACTAAACCTGTGAGTTCACGTTCACTTACAAGACACTGGCTTTATTCAATCTGTCTTTCCTTCCCTCCTTCTTCCCTCCTTCCCACCCTCTCTCTCACTTTTCAACTGGAACTGACGTTTTAAGGCACCATTATTGCAGAACATCACTTCTAAGATAATTCCCTACTTAAGGGGAAAGTTGAAGGAGAGAAGACACCAAGTCAGATACTTATCATGCTCCTTTGATGTATTTTGTGTCCAAAGAGCCTTGAAGCCCAGAGTTTCACACACTCGGGCCTCCAGCAGGAATCAGTGCCAAGATCAAAGGCCACAGCACAGCTAGCAGGGTCCCGGGGTTTACGTACTTGTACGTGAAGTTGCATGGCGCTGCGGGGAGGCGGAGGGCCCCCTGGGCCTGGCTGTGGTTGGCTCTGAAGAGGGGGTTCACGTAGTCGGCCCGGTTCTTCCACAGGTGAGCCCACAGAGAGTACGTTCTTTCTTGAATCCTGTGGTAGAGAAATTCGGCCTGAAAATGACCCGTCTTGGTTCTTAGAATGTGTGCTATTAAAGCTGGAAAGGGCCCAGCAATTGTTATCTGAACACACCGTTGCGTGTCTTCTCTGTGCAGCAGCAGAACACTGACCTCAGCCCCCTCACCCCGCCCCCTGTGCTGACGTCAGCAAGATGCTTCTTTCTCGGTGAGGGTAAAAGAAAACTGCGATGCCATTTTGTTTTTTATCCCCAAATAGCCATTAAACTTGGACTATTTGCCAGGTGCTATTTAAGTGCTTTGTACGTTTTCTCATTTGATCCTCACTGCATTCCTGTGAGGTGTTAATTATTTTCAAGGTCAAGAAACTGAGGCCGCGGGAGATTGAACAGGTTCCCGAAGTCATGTAGCTAGTGGGGGGGGAGCGGGGGTGGAACCCACACCAGCACCGCTAGACCGGCTAGTCGGTTGCTATAGACCAGCTAGTCGGTCGCTACAAAGCACAGGTATCTCGGGTGACCTTGCAGGATGCCCTCCGCTACTTTTAAATCATTATTACCCTTTATCAGTAATCATGCGTGAAGTTTCCCAGAGGAAACACACTAGTATCCACCAGGAAAAGTCATTTTCTCTCTTTCCAGACAGGATAGTGCAGTCCATTTTATTTCAGCTGACCATTTCCAACATTAAATGTGATGATATAGACCACAGTTAAAAAATCATCTTAATTTTATAAAAACTTCAAAGCTTGCTTCACTTGCAGTTCATTAGTCACTTGGCTATTTTTAAGTTTTTGACTTTATTTTGAAGTCCACATTTCATCTCCGTGTCCCCTCTAGACAATGGCAATGCAGTTTGAATAAAAGTGTAACTTGAGTTTTAAATTTGCTTTCTTTCCCAGTTATATTTACAATTCTTATGAGAATATGCACATGTCCACTAAAGGCAGTTTTTTTCTTTCAAATGCAAAAATCACTTCCTTTGACTCAAGAAGTTTCAATATGACAGTGTCAGGTGTACTGGCCTGTCTACATGATGCCAGGGAGAGATGGGCGGGGTGGAGGGGAATGAACTTGTACCTGTCTTTGTCAGCTGATTCGTTTATGAAGTGGTGTCAGGAAAAAGAAAAGAACTTGAATCTGTCAGTCTAGGTGTGTGGCTAAAATAGTCTTCAAAACAATGAGAGGCCATCTGAAATCCTCAGTTACAAAATTCTTTTAGAAAGAAATTAAACAGCAGAACACTCACTTGAGTTCCCGTCTCTCCTTTTGGCTGTTGCACAGGAAGTTTCCAAACTGGCAGGAGTAAATGTGATGCTGGATGTGAATCAGGAACCGCTCGTTGAACTCAAAGGCACAGGGAAATTGCCCCATTAGCTGCCAGACACACTCAATGAACTGGTCAATGACCGGAGAGATCTCCTTGGGATCCCCGTCGAGATTGCCATACCTATAAAATACAGTGTTAGAATGAGTTTTATGCCCTGTTTGTTTTTAAATCAGAAAGCTATACATGCAAAAACAGTCATAAAGTAACCCTACTCCCTAAGTCGATCTGATAAATCCCAAATGCAAAGACTTGGAAAAAATAACTTTTAAAATTCCAATTTCAAGAGAAACTTTCCAGCGAAGGTTTGAGTAAAGAAGGGACACGTCCATGTTGTAGCCACAAAACAAAGTGTTAGTGCTGAAGATGAAGCTGAAGGAAACTTTCCGTGCAGAAAGAGCATCCTTTAATTCGAGTTTTTTGTTTGTTTGTTTGTTTTTCTTAAAGATTTTATTTATTTGTCTTTAGAGGGGAAGGAGAGAGGGAGAGCAATGTATGGTTGCCTCTAGTGCATCCCCTGCAGGGAACTGGCCTGCAGGGAACCTGCCTGCAACCCAGGCATGTGCCCTGACTGGGAATCGAACTGCGATCCTCTGGTTCACAGGCCCATGCTCAATCCACTGAGCTACACCAGCCAGGGCTAATTCGAGTTTTAAAAGCGTATTAGAACTTCGGAAATACAAGTAAATCTTCCACTTTAGTTGGTGTCTAGTGGGAGAATGGGAAGAAATACCAAAGCACCTTGAGAGCTTTTCACTTGTGCATTTCTCGCTGTGTTTCCTCCCACCCCAAGAATAAGGAAGAAAGGCAACTGGAAAAAGTGTGGTTTCCTTTGCCAAGTTTCTAGGAATATTTCTATTTCTAAAACAGTATTAAACTTGGCATATAATTTATTTCCAGGTGACCAAAGATTGTAATATACCTTTAAACCTCTCATATCTTTGTTTTTAAACCTCTCATATCTATATCGGAGGATCTTGAAAAGCTACTTTCAAGAGTAGATCAGAATCTAAATGAAGACTGCCTAGTCCCTTACACTATTGTATGAATTTCAGAAAGAATACAACAGGGGTCCCGTAGGTGCCATCAGATATAAAATAACACAGACCCGCATCTCAAATGATAATCAACTTAAGGAACAGGAAGAGCAAGAATCGGTTTAGGAGCTTCTCTGAGAGTGGAAACATTAGAAATGTCTCAAAGGTTTCAATGCTACTCACCAAACAAATGGTAGCTTTCAAAAGCACTGCCTGTTCTACTCCTGCCTCATAAAACAATCATCCAACTAGTCTTCAGCCGTGTCCATATTCCTTCTGTCTTATGTTCATTATCTCGGAGATTCTAACCCCCTAGCAGACAGAGTGAGCAGCACCCCAAATCTGAAAATAACTGATCTTGAGAAGGTTACTCAACTGTCTGGGGGGTTTAATTCTCTCACTTGTAAAATAGAGACATTGTGTTTTCCTGAAAAAGTGATTATAAAACTAGAATTCCACAAAAGCACAGGATCGATTCTAAATACAAAAACTACAAAAACAGACATGGGCAATTTCGCCAACTTCAAGTTTATTTCAGGAGAACACAATGAAATGGTCAAAAATATCTATCAAAATATCTACATTTTTAGCACGTGGCCTAAATTTCAGCCCCGAAGGACTCGTGTGCACAGGTACAGCACTGAACACGTGGAGACCAGAGAGCACCAGAACCCAGGCAGGGCCTTCTCATCGACGCCAATGAAATGATGCTGGTGCCGCCAAAGACAGTAGCTTGGGTTAGTAGAGAGCCTGGTAGGCGGCCAGGCCGGGAGGTAGGTCACTTTCCTACGTACACTGGCACACTTCCTAACAACTGTAACCCAGGGGATGGGAGGTGGTCCCATTTCACAGATGGGAGGCCGTACTCAGAGGGGACGGATGCCCAAGGTCCAAACAGCTAGTAAATGCCACAGACTGGAACTGGGGCTGCATTTGTCTGGGGCCAGAGCCCCAGTCCCTCGCATATGTCAGCTCTGACACAGATGCCTCAGGACAACCCAAAATGACCCCCTTTGTGAAAGATCAAAGGAAACTGTTCTGCAGGTATATCATAACCTGCAGCTGAAAGTGCATGTTTGCACTCCACAAATGGAGTAATTCGCACATTTTTAACATTAATTTGTACCAAGAGTACTCAGAACTTCATTTATCTGTGATGCAGTGTAGAAAACAAAATTCCAACTTTCCGATTAAGACATGCAAAGACACTTTTCAAAAATGAAACTGTCTCCCCCAATTCATTGAGAACAGGTTTTTTTAATCCTCAACTTTCAAAACAATAGATCTTTAAAATATTTACCTGTGATTGAACTTATGGCCAAAGGAAATCCAGTCCTTTTCAATTAATACCTACATAAGAAAGAATATAAGTATCACAGAAGGAAGCACACCAGGAAAAACAAGAGACCACAACCAATAATGCTGAAGAATTCAGAGGTCCTTGGAGCAGAGAGAGGTCCCTGTCCTCTGGTCACCTCACTCCTTGTCCACCAGTGTAGACAAACCTATGGGAACAGGAAGGTTGAAGTTCATCCACAGGAAGAATGGGAATGGATATATGAAAATGTTGGCCACACCCACCGAGTGCCTCCCTCCTATGAGGCCCTGTTCTCACACAGCTCGTTTCACTGCAGGACGGGCATTACCAGTCTCACTTCACAGAAGGGGAAACTGAATAGGAGGTCACATCCTCACCTAAGATCACACTCGTCTCTTAACCAGTATGTCATGCTGCCCCAGTATAATATCAAATACCAACCTGTTTACAGGAAACAATTAGGAATTTTTTTGGTGAACTTAAGAAGAACTATAAAATGATAAGGGTATATTAGGAGTTTTAGCCCCACTTTGGAGTTAGGGGTGACATGGGTTTATCATTTCAAATTGTCTTGATTAAGAGAAAACAACAACAACCCTCAGAAATCTCATCAGTGTCACCCATGCTTTTAACTGGCCAGAGGTTTCCCCTTAAAAAAATAGGGAGTGGCTGAAGTTTGCCCTTGACAACTGGCAAATTCCGTGGGGCAGAATTGGAAGGAGCCAGGGGTGGTGAAGGCCAGCGTGTGCAGGAGGAAAGCCCGGGGTAGGTGTGTGACTCTGAGTCCCTCCACCGCCCAGACGTGAATGAAGGAATCCAGCCCCCCCAACTCCCACCAGAGGAAGGTCTGAAACAGGCGCGGCGTCTGAAGGCTCTGCTGCCGCAGGCTGTTGGAAGTTCTCAGACACCTTCAAAAAGAGAAAGCCCGAGAGGACCCCTGCCCCTTCACATCTGTCCCCCAGGGTCAGCTGGGACCTGCTGATAAAGAAGATCTTCCCGTAGATGCCCCACCCGGCTCATCTGTCAGGATCTACCCCCAGCACGGATTCAGAATCCACTGCAGCAGGAACCAGGGGTCTCCCAGTTGCTGGGAAGTCCTCCTGCAGTCATTTGAAGAAAGCAGTTCAGCTTGGCTGAAGCTTGGCCATCCCAGACAATCATGCAAATGTTCTGCAGGTGAGAGAGAGCAGCATACTGCATTTCGATAGGTGAAAGGTGCAAAGCGAAGGGGATGTACTCATAATGTCAGCAACGAGTACAGAAACACCGAAAATTTTAATGCTGCCATCCAGGGTTGAAGAGGACTGCTTAAAATGTCAGAGCAGGAAGTGAAAACAGGGGTTCCTCTCAAGGACTTGTTTGCATACTCAATATAGAAAGTTTTGTCTGCAGATTTCTTTTGGAAAAGTGTTTCCTATGTTCACATCCAACCTGAAGTGCCTATGATCAAATGCTGTGTAAAACTCACTATTTACAAACTGCTGAATATATTTTATATTCGCCCCCAAATTCACATTTAATAGCATTGGTTTTTATTAGTTCCAGTGGATCTCAGAAATTCACCCCTTCGCTCCAAGCCTACACCACCTTTCCCCCTTTAATTCTTCTTGCTGAGCTAAGAGAAAAATAATGCTGATGAGAAAAAAAAAGAAAGTTGCCAATGGCTGCGAAAACACAGGCCGGTTGCTTCCAGCACCTGCGTGGGAAGTAGCTCCGCGGCCGCACTCACCATAAAGCCCTTCAGGGTCCGGTAGTGTGAGTCCAGCAGGAGGCTGGCCACCGAGCACACCTGCGCGGTCCTGTCCCAGCCGTCAGAACAGTGCACAAGCACGCTTGCCCCTTCCTCTGCAACGGCCTGAAAAACAGGATCCGCAAAGAGTCAACACAGAGCGGCTACAGACAGGACACATTTCGTCAGAACCAGGTTTGGTGTTGTACCTGCAGAGACCAGAAAGCCTGTGTCCACCCGAGTAGGGCAGTGTCAAGGGGCGAGTGATTCGGTGCCGGTAGCCAAAGCTTTTCCTTCCCACACCCAGCAGCCGCCACTGCCACCGCCTCAATGAAGCATATGTACTATGTAACGTGTACCACCTGTGAGCTGTGTCTCCATGACGTGCCTCCTGGCCCACCTCCAACCCCTCTCCTCCTCTCTGGGTTCCCACCTGAAGCCTTTCCACTATTGAAATCCTGGATCTACTACTCAAAAAAGAAAGATGAAAATCATAAATTGTAAACTGCAATTAGAGATAAAAAGGATTAAGAGCCACGTGATGGTCCAAGGTTGGGGAAAGAGTGAAAAAAAACAAAGATAAATGATAGCAGCAAGTGCCTGCTAAGAGAATTTCTAGTTGCTGTCCCAAATGCGCACACAAAATTTTAGCTGAGTGTCTTGACAGGAAACACGCTGGGAACCGGGTTTTGTCAGAGCGCTGGTCACTGCCTGGACCTCTGATGTCACTGATTCTCGGTGTCCCCACCAGAGCATAAGCTCTGTGAGAGAAGAGGCTGGCTCATTCCGCTCTGCATCCTCAGCACCTAGAAAAGTGTGGGGGACTAAATAGACACGCGTTGAATAAATGAATCATCCAGTAAAGGAGTGTACACCATGTTGTAAGAAAAGACATAGTTGTCTTTAGGTGTAAACCTAAGGGGAATTGATAATAAAAACTAAACCACCATGCAACAAAACAGACGATGCATCCAAAACCACTTTATACAAAAAAGTCGCAGCAAGATTCCTCCTCTGGCAAAAGGGAACCTGCCCCCCAGGTGCTGGAACGTGACTTTTGCTTGTGCCGCCGTTCAAAAGCAGGATTGTTTACGAAGACGAAAGCCTCAGGCTTCCATCACTGAAGTGACTCACATCTGCGCATGCTCTCCCATAGAAAATTCTCTCCTCGGTCTAGGGCCAAGCCTACCTGCAGAGAATGTTCTGTATATATTTTGCCACCTGCTCGCTGCGCTGACATACTACCCACCAAGCACCGGCCTCTCATTTGCAAAATCCCGTCTTCAGAGGGCGAACTTGGTGGAGGTCTGCAATGTACTCCCCGGTCCGTGCAGCACCACCTCGCCCTGGGCAGCCGACGGGGAGGAGACAGGACTTCCACTCCAAAGTCGGAGCGCGCCTGCGGGTCTGCTCTTTCCTGTGTTTTCCCTGCAGTCACGTACCTTGGCAATGAAGATCCCTGCATCCATGATGGCTTTAATGTGCCTTAACCAGCCAGAGTTCTCCAGTCCCCACAGAAAGTCACTCATGGAGGGAGATTTAAGTTCGCACACTGCAAGATAAATCAGAACAGCCAAATAAAGACAACCTCATTTTACGTGTGGTCATAGCTGCAGGTAGTTTGTTAATGATTCCTTCATTGTAGTATTTTCTGGAAGACTTACATCCAGACAAGGGCCCCAGCTTTCCACATGTGATTCTATTAAACCGTAAGTAAGACCCCCGTGTTCTCTGGTTGTGGAGATTGCTGCATCTGTTTAGGTGTGTTACACTTGTATAGTTTAAACCCCAATATTAATGAGAATCACCAAGGGTTACTATGGTAACGGTCCAGCAGAGAAGCTCTATTTACCCCTTCAGCCCCGCAAACGGGCCGGGCCGCTGAGCAGCGTGGGCTGAGGGTGCTGTGGGGGAGAAGCAGGCACGCAACTGACTCCAGCGCTTTCCTAACTAGAATGATCACGCAGCCACTCGAGCTCAGGATCACTGGGAAAACACGAGACTACCCCAGAAGTCTGAAGTGGAAATGCTCTGCCCACGACTCCCGCCCTGTGGGAGTCAAGTGTGTGACTCAAAAATGCGACCGTGGACTTCAGAACTGCTTCTAGAGCCTCAACTTAGGGGCTTTCTTTCTGACTGAAAATGAAGAGCACCTAGATTCCCAAAGGTTTCTATATTTCTACAACTAAGGCAGGTGTGCAAACGCTTCCACAGTAGTTACTAGGAATTTAATCTCAGAAGCTTATCTGTTAGTTTCCATAAAGCCTGAAAAAGCTTTAGAACTAGTGTTCTGACTACATACCACAAATAGTACATTCCAAATATATGTTTATGAGTTTTGTACCTATAAAGCCCTCTGAGGAATCTTATAAACCAGCCAACAAAATTAAGGGAGTTCCATAGAATTTTATTTAAGTTTCTTTTGTTGCCCTCTGAGATGCAGGGAGTGGGGACTCTTACTTCCCACTCCCACCGTGTCAGGAATGAGCTGTTCAATCTTTCCCAAGTCATTTCAAGTATTTCAGCCTCAGTGTCTGCCTGTTTAAAACAGGGGAAAGTGTCCCAAATCACACGTTTTAAGTCCTCTTCCAACTATAAACTCCCAGAATCAACTCAGCTCTTCCCAGCTTTGTGCATTGGGAATAAGTAGTATGTAATTAGTGACCATACTTCGTCTATCAGATGCCCTTCCCGAAAATATGCAGATAACAGGGTTCATGTGTACTTCCTGCAATGCAGTAGCCACCAAAAAAGGGGCAAGTACTAAATTCTGAGTCACAGATGACAGCAGTGACAATGAAGGAAGGAAATGATGCCAAGATTCCCAGCACAAGGCCGCCCTTAAGAAAACCACGTTAAGCATGTGTCTAGGCAAGATTCCAAACTCTTCCCTCCAAACACCTGCCCTGAGCAGGACTCGCAGCTCAACGACCCACAGAGATTCAGATAACAGAGTTGTCTCTGGCACAGCTCTGGCTCACAGCACTGTGCTTCTGTCTGAGGTGACAGTGCTTCCCCTCCCACCATCGCCGGTGGGCAAGCCCTGTCAATATCTGGTAAAAGAACAAGCCAACCAGCACAGGGAAGGGTGCTGGGCTGCAGCCCGCTGACAAGCAGACAGCCTGATGCACAGACTCCGCCGCTGTACTGCTCAGCCCTGTGCATGCCCAAGGCACTCAGCAGCAGGTGGAGCGTTTCCAAGAAACCAATTAAACACGTAAAAAAAGTAAACAATAATGCAACAGTCACTCAGACTGAAGAAAAGAAAGTAAAGAAAGAAAAAGACATTACTAATTAATTCCATGTTTCCATGCTGTCTTGCTGCTTCAAGTTTGTTAACGTTCCCAAGCAGGTTATTATACCTTCACTATTTAGGTACTAGCTGTGTGAGCCTGGACAAGTTACTTAGCCTCTCTGTGCCTCAGTTTCTTCAGCTGTAAAGTGGGGATAATAAAAGCTCCTATATCAAAGGGTTGTTTTATATGCTAGCCCTCATTACTACTGTTATCTTCAAATAATTTTCTGTTCTTTTTGTTTGTATTAAATTTATTTAACTATATCATACCATACAGCCTTTGGCAACTTGGTTTTTTTTTCATTCAAGGTCTTGTTTTTGAGACATCCATACGATGTAATTTCATTCATTTAACAACCATGTGATATTTCTCTCCAGGAACATAGATTATTGGCCATACCTCTAGTGCTCAGAGTTGTTTCTGCTTCTTCAATATTTACAAACAGGGCAACAAAAACCATCTGTCTACAATGTCCTGTGGCAAATCTCCCTGCACAAGCACTTCTGTGACTGAAGCAGGCTGGTCCATAGGGCCCCTGGGTCTTCACCTCTGCCCACTGTTGCCTGCTTGCCAGAGGGGCTGCCCCGGTTCATATCCGCCCCAGCCGCGTGGGCAAATTCCTTTCCCCCACATCCTACCTAACCCTTGGTATCGCTGATGCTTTCAGTTTTCCCCATCTTATTTCTTTAAGGATATTCGTTTGGGATTTGTTTTCCTTTCTTCTGCTCTCTGAACGGATCTGTTACTCTCAAGATTCCTTACGTTTGCTCATTTGTCCTCATGCATGAGTGTGGTCTTTGTCTTCCATCGTGGGCTTTGCTCAGATTTCTGCTCCTCTGTGTGCTTTCACAGGTGAGTATGAGTCCCTGCCTTCAGGGGACTGAAGGTTCCGAGTGCACAAACTGGCTTTCTTGGGCTGGGGGACGGCAGGGATTTGGATTCTGACCCCCAGGTCCATAATTCCTTTCTCCTGAACAGCTGGAGGACCCAGGGAGGGGTCTCCCAAACCGCTGACTCCGTAGGACTAGATGCTGGGGTCTTCAGAGCAGAGTTGGGAGGGGAACCAGGGGTCTCACTCTTCCCTCACCGACTCTTACTTACTCCCTCCTTGTGGGCTGGCAGTCCCTGTCTGCCTCTTCGAGCTTTGCTGGTGTTGCTGAGCCCAGAGCCTCTCCTGGCATCCTTTCCAGGAACTCTGTCACTCTCTTCACTTGTGAACGTGGGGGAAGAGCCTCCACGAGGCAGTGCAGGTGGGCAGGAGGTCGGAGTCTAAGGGACACTCGGCCAGGCCTTCTGCTCACTGGCACTGCTGCCTCTGGCGCCAGATCTGCTGCAGCCCTGCGGGTCCACTGGGCTTGCGTTGGGCTTTCTCACGTGTCCTCACGTGTCAGCTTGTCACCTGCCGACAAGCTTGTCGCGTGTCATGCATTGTCACCTGCTGGCTAGTTCTTAGTTAATACTCATCCATTTTCCAGCTTTAAAATTTTAGTTGCAGGCACCTCTTCTCCCCTTCTCTTGTTCTTTCGTATTTTGGCTTTTTTTCCCCACTTCATTACCAGTGTGGTGTGGGCAGGGGGGTGCATCAGCGTGTCACTGAGACAGAGACGAGAGATCAGGTCTGGGGGCTGTGCGAGGCAAGAGTCGGAACGGAGACCTCCTACATCAAACGGAGGCATTTAAACGAGGACATTCCTACGGCTCCCCAAATTCTACTATTATAAATAAAACACTACCATCAAAATAGGCATGTTGTGTCTTTCTTTTTTAAAACAATATTTTGGATCAGTCCCTCAGGAGTGATAATCTGATAAAAATATACCATGTTTCTCTAACAAAAATATGTTTCTGTAAGCCAATTTCACAACATCAGATATATTTGAAGTACCAGCTTTATCACAGTGTTTTCAGTATTAGATACTATATTTTTTAAAACTAAGTAAAAAATGGTATCTTGGAGTTTTAATTTTCATTTTTTTAATGACCAGAGCAAGTTTAAATGTTTCCCTATATGTTTATTTGTTTCAACTTACTGCTTCCCCTTTTAAAAATTATCTTAAACTGAGTTGTCTCACTTTGCTGAGACTCAGTTTCTTCATGTGTGAAGTGTAGACAGTGACTCATACCGTGCACTGTGGTTGTGCAAATCAAACACCACCATTTAAGTGAAAATACCGAGGCACACCTGGCACATAGCAGTGGCCCAAGTTTAGTTCAGTGAGTGAGCCAACGTGCACATGGACAGTTACAGAGCCACGTGATGGCCAACGTGACCCTGATGCCCATGCAGAGTCCAGGCAGGAAACTCGGGACGGTGCTGGGAGAAGTGCGGTTGTCTGGGCAACGCCCCAAAGATGGAGCATGTCGACTGGAAAAGGAGGACGATGCCACAGTCTTTACTTCTTTCCCACAAACACCTGCTTACCTCGAAAACGAAGATTTACAAAGAGGCATTAAGAGAAGCACAATGTCCACGAGGTGAGATGTGACAGTAACTCTACACATAGCCCTCCCTTCCTGTCACCGAGGACACCCTAGGAGAGTTTTATCCACATGTGGTGATAGTAACTTTCTCAGCCCTGGAAAGAGCCTGTTCCAGGCTCTCCTACTGACTGTTCTGAGAAAGAAAGAAAAAAGTTTAGGGCATTCTTTTTTTTAAATTTTATTTTAAGGGAAAAACCACGTATAAGACCCAAAGGAGTCTGCTGCAGAAAGTACTCAATAAAGTACAAACTTTCTGCACGTCCGGAAGGCATCATTCATATCTCCCTGGGAGGTATCAATGCCACACAACAGTTTGGTTTAGAACTCATAAGTCCAACTTCAGATTCAATCAGCTCCAGAAAGGACTCACATGGGATACACACTTGGCCCTGGATTTCAGACTCTGATGAGACAGCCTGCAGCCCTTGCTCACAGACGGGGCTACTTGCAGCCAGAATTGTGCTCCATTATTCAGAATCGACTCTGATAATACAAATAACAGAGGTGGGGAAAAGGTGAAGAAGCCCATCCTGAGTGAAATGCACTATCTCTCTTCCTACCGAGGGACCAGCAGCGAAAGCTTTGGGTGCCAAGGACGGCAGCACCGTGGGAGGAAAGGCCTCGGAAGCTGGGCCTCGTTGCATCACCTCATCAGCTGAGGCTGTGCGGTGGTTTATAATTTACTCGGTAAAAACAGGTAGTTAAACATTCGTCAACCCCCCTGAAAGGCATCCAGGGCGCTGTCCTTGCCCACTGCAGTGACACAAAGCTGGAAATATGATGCAGCACCGCGGTCCCTTGTGAAACAGGGACAAGACTGGCCCCTGGAACTGGGTCAGTGTGCAGGTCCTGTGGACATGGAGACTCAGACCCTATGGACATGGGCAGGAGGGGCGGTTCCTGATAAGAAACCAGATAAATGCTAATTTAAAAAGGAAAGTCAAAGTGAAACACTAGAAGCACTCTTAGGAACTACTTTCTGCAGAGAAGAAAATGTGAGTTCTCCAAAGCTGGCTTATGAAATGGCCAAGTTTTTCACACCTTAAAGCACAGGGACAGCTAAACTGCCTATGACAACCTCCAGAGAGTCGAGAAGTGCAAACAACCACGCCCAGGCACTGTCACTGTGATCTGACATGTGGCGAATTTCCTGTGGGGGTCAGATGCAGGTGGTTCAGGGGCCGTGATGTTTTCAGATGCAGGAGGAGATTGATGTTAAAGTGTTTGCAACCAGGGGCACCGAACTGTAGACTCACAGCTGGTGGGAAGCGCCCGTGGAAATCGTGAGTCCAACCCTCTCGTGTTACAGTAGGTAACAGAGCCCCGGGGGAGGGAACTGAGGGTTTGAAGTTTCCCAGTGACTGAGATGGTGCAAGGAACCCAGGAGAGAGGACAAAACTTAGGCCTGTCTGTGTCACCGCACAAGTGTCTCCAGCCCCACTGTTGGGCTCTCACTGTACCCCTCTTGTTCCAGTAAAGCAGAGAATCGCCTCAGTTACCGGGAGCAAGTGTGTATCCTGGAAAAAACTCATCAGCGCTTTCTTCATTCCAGACCGACCCCACGTGCCCTGTTCAGACAGTCACCACCCTGGTTCTCAGGGCCACCTCTCCCCCAAGTACAAGTGCAGCCTCTACAAGCCTCCTCAGGTCCCCAAGACACAAATCCTCCTCTTTCTCTTCGGTTCCGGTTCCCATGAGCACCAGGAGCAGCGGCCTGTGGCAACAGACTCCTTCCCGGGCCTTTACAATCAGAAAGAGCTTAACCAAGTAAAAGTAAACCCAGCTGGCTTTGTGTGAAATGCAAAATTTCTGCTAATCAGTTATGGCCTGACTGGCCCCATGAATGATTCTTTTATGTTCCATAATCCACCACTGTCATTTCCTTTACTGTATGTTGGTCTCAGTGTGTCTCGGGTGCATGTGGCTATGGGTGAGAGGTGGAGGGGATGGTTCAACTGGGGGAGCAGTGCAGGGGTGCCGCTGTTTAGCCACTGGGATGCAGTTTATGAACCTCATCTCTCTACGAGAGCAGTGGGCTGTTGCTCTGACTGTTGGGTTGCTATATGTGAATCAAGCTAATGTTAGAAGGGAGAAAGAAATATCCTTGGGCACTTTTCTCCTTGGATGTTAAGTACCACCGGAAAATGCCTGACTGACTGCTATCCAAGTCACAACACAAACAATAAGAGAAAGGCTGTCAAATGTTTAAAGAGTCACTGCATCGCTTCTCCGCCTTTTGGCTAAGATCAAGTGTAAAGAGTCTCCGCAATATGACGTTCTTCCCAACGTATCCTGCCTATATAAATAGCATCATTGTGAAAACACAATTTTAACATCAAAAGACTATTGTATTCTGCTTTGGCATTCAAACATTTCACGGCATAGTTTTAATGCCGTGCACAGGAAATGGGGTACCTTCCAGCATTTTCTGCAGACTGTTCCTCATGACATGGATGTTCTCTATCCCGATGAACTGGAACTTGATGTTGGAGTAATTGTCTTCATTCTCGTAGCCTTTCCCGGCAGCACGGTTGGCCATGGCATTGAGCTGCAGCGGTCGGCAAAACAGAACAGTCACCGATTGTATCCAGGACCAAAACATCTCATGGCTACCCCTAAAAACATTCAAGATCATGTGCAGAAATGTAGTGTTTTACATCACAGGGACACCGTGCTGAGGTACATTGCTTCAGACACAGGCGCTGAGCTTGTAGTCAGCAACAGACATGTGTTGGCATGGGGTGCATTTTCTGATCTGGGAAGAGTCATTCTATGGGTAAACACTTTGGAGATGCCTCACACGGTTCCCTGTCGCAAGTGACAATATGTGACAGATCCAACAAGCCCCAGTTCAATACCAAACATTGTAACCTGTAGGCTGGCAGAAGAGCCTCGGCAGCTGTCAGTGGGAAGCTCTGCAGGTTAACTCACGGCACCTTCGGGGATCAGGCTGCCGGTGAGCACATCACGAGAAAGGAACGTGTGCATCCCTCTAATTCCCCTACAAGAATCCCCCAGACAGTTACACCTGGAGCAGGAAGCACTGAATACCAGGAGGAGAGGATGTGCAGACACCAGGTCTCCAAAGGCATGTCCTCCAGCCCCCTTCTTTCAGTCCAGAGACCTGTTAAGAAGGCTGCGATCACTTTTATTCCCATAATTTTGTACATGAGAAGTGGGCATTTCCTAGTGCACGCTGGGCACAATGATAATGGATTTTGAGGAAGTTTATTAAATACGGACTTTTGCCCTAGTCGCGTGTATGTAAAATCAAGCCAGGGAGAAGTCTTGCTTTAGCTTGGAAGTACATAGATTTCTAGAATTCTTGCTCTTTGGCTGAGGGGGTGATCCCATCTAGAACACCACACTCACTGGCCATTCTCCTCCTCTGCCCACAAAGGTCAGGGGGCTGTCCTGGGCCAAGAACTGACCACAGGGACTGGCCACCAGAAAAAAGCATCAGCTTTGAGAACTTCAATGCAGTACTGAGAGCATATTAACAAATACTCTTCCAATAGCTCACTGTAAAAAGCTAAGTTAAAAACATGCATATTCTGCCCTGGCTGGTGTAGCTCAGTGGATTGAGAGCAGGCCTGTGAACCAAAGGATCGTAGTTCGATTCCCAGTGAGGGCACATGCCTGGGTTGCAGGCCAGTTCCCAGCAGGGGACACATGAGAGGCAACCATACATTGATATTTCTCTCCCTCTCTCCTTCCCTTCCCCTCTAAAGATAAATAAATAAAATCTGTAAAAAACATACATATTCTTTGACCCCTATCTCCTTGTGAGAATTTGACTCAATTAAAAGTACCAACATATGAAAGATAAATGCCCAAGAATGTTTGTAGCAAATTATTTTTATGGCAGTCAAAAGCTAAAAACCCATGAATATCTCCATAGGGCAGCAACTAGATAAATTATTGTAAATTCACGCCCTGACTACTAACAGGACCAAGGAAAATACAAATCATCTCTCTAATCTGTCCATCGACACAGGCAGACATACTTAGAATTGGCCCACAACACTTTAAGTGAAAAGACTAAGCCACAAAATAATATTCTACAATTATCCTATTTTCTGTAAAACAAACCAACCTACAAGTAAGTGTTCATGTTTAGGCACATTTGAAGAAGCACGGTAAGAATATCTGGAAGCCTATACCAACCTGGCAGAAGTTACAGAAGAAAAAGAGAGGCAGCAAGTGATGGGGGTCACGGTCAGAACTACTTTAGAGACTCCTTATTATAAAGAAGAGGTATTAGTTTCATAAAATAAGTAACAGAAGTGAAACGTTAGCCAAACAGCCAAAAAGGGCTCCGCTCCATGATCCAGCTCATATCAACTGGGCCACATTAGTCCCAGAGACCCCTTTTCCAGTTTATACAAGATTGTCCCTTCTCCGGGGCTGGTGTGGTTCCATGGATTGAGTGCCGGCCTGCAAACCAAAGGCTCACAGGTTCGATTCCCAGTCAGGGCACATGCCTGGGTTGCAGGCCAGGATCCCAGTATTGGGTGCACGAGAGGCAACCACACATTGATGTTTCTCTTCCTCTCTTTCTCCCTCCCTTCCCCTCACTCTAAAAATAAAAAATAAAATAAAAGCTCTGGCCTTAATCAAGAAAAAATATTAAAATAATGTTATTTTAAGACAACTTACATTTAAGGGTTAGAATCATAGATATGGAGACCATTTGGAGAGTTATCAGCTGGGAGGGGGAAGGGGAAAAAGGGGGAAAAGGTATAGAGATTTAGAAGCATAATAGACAGGGGGGATATTAAGAACAGTATAGGCAATAGAGAAACCCAAGAATTTATATGCACGACCCATGGACAGGAAGTAAGGGGGGCTATCGCTCAAGGGAAGAGGGGTATTGAGTGGAAGGGGCAAAGGAAAAAAATTGGGACAACTGTAATATCATATTTAATTTAAAAAATAAGACAACTTATGTTCATGCTTTACAATTTTTAAATACTTTAAGGGGAAAAACTTTGTACCATTACTTTAAGACATTATTGTTAAGAAATTTACTATTATAAAATATCACTGCTTTGTATAATTATTTTTCAAGCTGTTGGCTTCTCTTGTACAGCGAGCTCATAAAATAGGACCATTACTGGGATAAGTGGAATCACCTCCTGCTACCCGATCCTTAACTTTATTCTCTCTCTTGAGTAATTCAGGTTGAGCCTATTCACCTGCAGGGATACACTTTTTAAACAGTGCAACGAATAAAACAAAATGTTATTATTATTATCTGTAGTTACACATCTGTTCACATCTTTACATAGTCGATGACTTACAACCCAGGAGAATATATTGCCTGCCTTCTTCAAAAACAAAGCCGCAGCACAAGATGGCCTCTTGCAAGTCAGTGGTGCTTCTCCCAGTGAACACAAGGTGGCACTGTTTCACCTCCCATCCGAAGTGTACGGAGTCTCAAGGTTTCTACATAGTGCGCAGGACCTAACGTGGTAATGTAGCGAAAACGGAACCCTCAAAGCAGGAAATACAGCTTTAAAATTAATAAAAATTCAAGAAGCTATGCTGGACCTAAATACAAAATAAATTATATATTTATTACATATTATGTAATTACATGTTACATTATATATTCACTATATATAAATATGTTATGTAATTGGCCCAGCACAAATAACGCCCCTTTTTTTATTACAAAAGCATAAGCATGTAGTTCTGTAACATAAAACAGTGCACTCAAGCACACTATGTGACATTTTAGGTGAAATGTTCAAATTAAAACTATACATTATTACACCCATATCATTACCCTACCAACCGCACTCAAGCAGGCCTCACTTCTGCCGGACCCTGTATGTATTCAGGCAAAGCATCCCTTGTATAACAAAACACCATCAGTCAATCTAATTTGGTCCCCTGTCCCTCTGGCTGAGAACTTCATTTCAGAACCAAAGGAGGGGTTGTGGGGAAACGGGGTCCTTAGTTCACTGTTGGTGGGAGTGCAGACTGGTACAACCATTATGGAAAACAGTATGGATTTTTCTCAGAAAAATAAAAATCGACCTGCCTTTTGACCCAGCAATTCCACTGCTAGGATTATATCCTAAGAATCCTAAAACATCAATATCAAAGAACCTATGCACCACAATGTTCATAGCAGCACAATTTACAATAGCCAAGAGTTGGAAGCAACCTAGGTGCCCATCAGTAAATGAATGGATCAAAAAATTGTGGTACATATACACAATGGAATTCTATGCTGCAGAGAGAAAGAAGGAGCTACTACCCTTTGCAACAACATGGATGGAACTGGAAAGCATTATGCTGAGTGAAATAGGCCAGGTGCTGAAAGACAAATACCATATGATCTCACCTTTAACAGGAAGCTAAACAACAAAACAAACAAGTAAGCAGAAAAAAAAAAACCCAAAAAACAAAGACACTGAAATAGAGAACAAGGGGATAGTGACCAGAGGGGAGAAGGAAGGGAAGTCAAGGGGAAAAAGGGGGAGGGATTTGGAGGAACAAATAGGAAGGACACAGGGACGAGAACTAAGGGGGGGAGGAAATGGGAGGGAGGTGGGGAGCAAGGGGCAGGGGAGGCTGGGATGGGAAAAATAGACAAAAAACTGTACTTGAAAAATAACTAAATAAAATTTAAAAAAAAAAAAAAAAAAAGAACCAAAGGAAAAGCTACTGACTTCAACTCCTAAAAATCCCCAAATAGATAAAACAAGAAATATAACTACATATAGTTTCAATTTATGCTTAAGAAACACAACAGACCAATGAAAAGTGGGACTGGAAGAAAACGCCCTGTTTCCACCCGAAGATCACTCTGCTGTTTGATAATCTCAGCACCTTTGGGTTTAGAAAAACTCATAAGTGAAACAAAAAACCCCTCCTCATTCCTCAACAAAACTTAGTGAATACCTACTGTGTGCCAGGCGGGGGCGGGGAGATGTTTCCTGAAAGGAGGAGGACGTGAGACGGACTGTAATGGTCTGGATGGATGGGGAGAAAGGGAAGGGAATTCCAGTTCAAACAGTGGGGACGGGAGAAGGTGGGGGTCAAGTCGAAGGAGCAGGTGGGTAGCCCTGACCCAACCAGTGACAGTGGGCGGGAGGTAAAGGTATGGCAGCGGCAGCAAGGGAAGCCGCTGGGAAATATTCAGAGAGCTCCACGAACAGGCCTGCTCGGACGTTTAGACTTTTTATCGGTCGCCTTGGAGAGCTACTGACGGATTCTAGGGGAGTTAATGTCCATGAGACTGAAGACCCTCCGGGATGGGGTCAAGGATGCAAGCTGCCCCGGGAGCTTGTCAGCCTTGTTTACATCCTTGACCTGGCCCAGGCCAGGCGTTCCGTGAAGTTTTATTGACTGGCTAAGCCCCAAATAAATAGCTGAATAATGGAATGACGTGGAGAGGTGAACCGTCTAAAAATGTAAGAAATAGACTCGGGTTCTTCCCCTAACCCTAAACCAATCATACATATCAAAACCATAAACACTTAGTCAACAATCCTCTTGATATCGAGCTAAAGGTCAGCCTGGGCACTCTCTTAG